TTAAGAAAATATTTAAATACAGTGACTCAACGATGTCAATAGATGACCTTCGTGGAATGTTACCATCGACGTTTACAGTAGAAGGTTCAGCAGGATTGCTTACAAGATTGTCAATTGGTGGCATTTGGTCTCGTGAGAACATTGTTATAAAATCCAGTATAAGTGAATTTGCTGAAGAATCTATATTATGTCTTTCAAACTACATGTATTCGCCGCCGAAGCATTATAGTATAACAAACTTTGTCAGTAAGTTTAACATAAGACTTGTCGAACCTTCTTCAATGAAAGATGTTGTGCTACCTAAAGACGGAAAGGATGGACTCATTATTGAGATGATTTTAATAGCATATTAAATGAGCTTGTTCTTGAAGGTCATTCATGATGAAATAACTGTTGTAGAAGATGTTAGCAATTGTTCAGACATTTTGAAGCGTATAGATGATATAAGAAAGAAGTTAGATAGACCGCAAAGCGGTGAGGGCGAAGCCCGTGAGAACGCTTATGTTTCATTGACTTTCTCCAGTAAGAGAACTTTTATGAGATAATATTGAAGAGAGATGATTTAATATGGTGTAAATGGTAGCTTGGGCAGCTTTAGGCGCAATGGGAACAAAAGCATTAGCATTTGGAGCAAAAGCACTTGGAGCTTATGACGCAGTAAATAAAATGAGTGGAGGAAGGGTTTCGAAGACATTAGATGCAAATAAAGGGAAGATTGGAGGCTGGGTTGCAAAGAAGTTAAGATTAAATAAAATAGGGCTCATAAATAAAGCATCCAATTTGGTTGCGACTGAGTCAGAAAATGCTTTAGGAAAGGACGATGAGTTTGCAAAACACGCAAAAGACTTTAATGACCAGATGAAAGGTGAAACAATGCATTTAAATAGAGTCGATGGAACTAAAGAAAATGTTTCTTCTCCACCAGCGGTTTATCCATACGGACCTTATGGAATGTATGGAAACCCTTATGAACGACCATTTGACCCATTGACTGGTGGAAGTAATTGGTATCATTATGGACGAAGAAGAAAGACAGTCAAGTTGGAGACAGATGTTAAGAAAGCAACTAAAAAGAAACCAAGGAAGAGAGTTATAAAGCAATGAATTCAACAGGGTAGAAAAGAGGTTAGAAATGAGGTTAGATCTAACCTTCTACCCTAAGTTTATTTTTGCGCTATGTTTTCATACGTGTGAAGTCGTTAGTGAAGTCGTTAGTGAAGTCGTTAGTGTGTACGTTAATGTGTACGTTAGTGTGAACGTTAGTGAGAACGTTAGTGAGAACGTTTATTTTTACATTAGTGAGTTCGTTAGTGTGTACGTTAGTGAGAACGTTTATTTTTTCATGCATGTGCATTGTGTCGCGGGGAGTTGCCATGGGCAATGACCTGCGCACAATATATAGCGTACAGAGAGGTGAGATGAGGTGGTTTATGTGATAAATACTTTACGTGGCAGAAATAGTTTAAGGTTAAGTTAGTGTGTACGTTTGTGTTGTAAAATATACGTTAACGGTTTGTAAAGTGTCAGATTGACATATTTTCGGTAAGATGGCGCGCAGTGCCACCATACTGAAGATATGTATATTAATTTACGCTGTGAATGTGTCAACAGCGGTCATGCCTGTATCTGTATCCCATATTTGCCACAACCTTTCTGTATCTGCATTTGTGTATTTCGGTTTCAGCTGATACATTTGATTTGGCGTGTAATTTGTTCCAGTTAATGGATTAATTGGGAGATCTTCATGCGGTGTGTTATTATTGTACTCCCAAATAAAGGCAGGAATAGCCTGAATGCTTTGGCAGCGCTCCAATGTCAGCCAGAATCTCTCAATCTTCTCATTTTGGTAGGGAGAATGAGAGTCTGTATGCCGCCATTGGACGCCCCAAAGATCAAGTAGATCTTGAAAGGCGCCCCTATTTTCTGAACCGTTGTCGGTCCAGAAACAATAAGGGGCGCCAAATTCAATGAAGGCGGAAGCCGCAACGTTCGCTGTCGTCGCTGCCAGCATATCTGTATTTGTATACACGCTAGGACTTTGCGGCTAAAATTGTCGATTATGCCACTAAATATACTGGCCACGAACACCCCTAAAATAATGAATATCTGCGTGCCAGATAAGATTGGGGGAAAGCGCCCAATATCTTACTGCTGTTTCTGGCCCGGCATGCTCTAATCGCGTCTTGGTGAAATGATTTTCTTTGAAGTATCTGCGTACTTCTCTATAAGATACATCAATTTGTTGTAATTTCAAACGTTTCCATTGTTTTGTTTGACCACAGGGAAAGGCCCAGTGGTCATGTATCACAGCAAGAGCTTTGAGTTTGTCGTAGGGATTGACCCTACGACCTTTCTTGCCTTTAGGCAATGGGATATTCTGTAAGCTAAATTGATTTTGTAAAAAAGATTTTGAAACATCTAAATATTTGAAATCATTTGATTGAAGGGTTGGGGCGATGGGAACATGGGTGCAAGCTTCTTCCCATGTCATTTTACCTTCTTCAATCTGATTGGAAATACCAATTAGGTAAATTCGATCGACATACCCTTTGTAAGGATTCATTCTAATGAAGTACGTTAACAATCAAAATATTCTATAAGTGTCTAGTATGGAATTCAAAAGAATAAAGAAAATGGTAACGTAAGTAAACGTATTATGAAATAATTTATAATTAAAATGAAAAAAAGAAAAAAATAATAAGTAAAGTGACTGGAAATGAAAATGAAAATCAGTGTACAGTTTTATTTTTTTTCTCGCTGTGAAACGTATTCGGTCTTTTTTTTAAAAATTAATTTTTTGTTAGAGATAAGAGCTAAAACTCGGTAAACAACTTTCTTTATGTCTAGAAAATTCTATCTTGCTTTTATTTTTTTCTCGCTGTGAAACGTATTCGGTCTTTTTTTTAAAAATTAATTTTTTGTTAGAGATAAGAGCTAAAACTCGGTAAACAACTTCTTTATGTCTAGAAAATTCTATCTTGCCTTTTATTTTTTTTCTCGCTGTGAAACGTATTCGGTCATTTTTTTAAAAATTAATTTTTTGTTAGAGATAAGAGCTAAAACTCGGTAAACAACTTCTTTATGTCTAGAAAATTCTATCTTGCCTTTTATTTTTTTCTCGCTGTGAAACGTATTCGGTCTTTTTTTAAAAATTAATTTTTTGTTAGAGATAAGAGCTAAAACTCGGTAAACAACTTCTTTATGTCTAGAAAATTCTATCTTGCCTTTTATTTTTTTCTCGCTGTGAAACGTATTCGGTCTTTTTTTTAAAAATTAATTTTTTGTTAGAGATAAGAGCTAAAACTCGGTAAACAACTTCTTTATGTCTAGAAAATTCTATCTTGCCTTTTATTTTTTCTCGCTGTGAAACGTATTCGGTCATTTTTTTAAAAATTAATTTTTTGTTAGAGATAAGAGCTAAAACTCGGTAAACAACTTCTTTATGTCTAGAAAATTCTATCTTGCCTTTTTTTTTTTCTCGCTGTGAAACGTATTCGGTCATTTTTTTAAAAATTAATTTTTTGTTAGAGATAAGAGCTAAAACTCGGTAAACAACTTCTTTATGTCTAGAAAATTCTATCTTGCCTTTTTTTTTTTCTCGCTGTGAAACGTATTCGGTCTTTTTTTTTAAAAATTAATTTTTTGTTAGAGATAAGAGCTAAAACTCGGTAAACAACTTCTTTATGTCTAGAAAATTCTATCTTGCCTTTTATTTTTTTCTCGCTGTGAAACGTATTCGGTCTTTTTTTTAAAAATTAATTTTTTGTTAGAGATAAGAGCTAAAACTCGGTAAACAACTTCTTTATGTCTAGAAAATTCTATCTTGCCTTTTATTTTTTTCTCGCTGTGAAACGTATTCGGTCTTTTTTTTAAAAATTAATTTTTTGTTAGAGATAAGAGCTAAAACTCGGTAAACAACTTCTTTATGTCTAGAAAATTCTATCTTGCCTTTTATTTTTTTCTCGCTGTGAAACGTATTCGGTCTTTTTTTTTAAAAATTAATTTTTTGTTAGAGATAAGAGCTAAAACTCGGTAAACAACTTCTTTATGTCTAGAAAATTCTATCTTGCCTTTTATTTTTTTCTCGCTGTGAAACGTATTCGGTCATTTTTTTAAAAATTAATTTTTTGTTAGAGATAAGAGCTAAAACTCGGTAAACAACTTCTTTATGTCTAGAAAATTCTATCTTGCCTTTTATTTTTTTCTCGCTGTGAAACGTATTCGGTCTTTTTTTTAAAAATTAATTTTTTGTTAGAGATAAGAGCTAAAACTCGGTAAACAATTCCTTTATGTCTAGAAAATTTAACATTCGTCTCCCATTTTTATATATTTGGTTTAGAATGTTCGAAAATGCGTAATATGTTCATTAATATTAATTGAAAAGAACCTTGAATTAATTCAATCTGATCTCACAAAATATTTTAAATTACAAACTTTGTTGTTTGAATAGATAATTAGTATTAAACTCAAATAACTAGTTTATTTTTGAATAAAAATTATTTGAATTTATTCAATTTTGTGATTTTTCCTTCAAAAATCAAGTTTTAATATCTTATTTGCCATATAATTATAAATACAATGAAACATATTCGAAATTGAAAAGTATGACTTTTTCTGTTCTTTCAATCATTCAATTTGAATTTTGCAATATTGGATTTCTCATTAAATAGCTATTAAAAACAACAAGCAATTTAACTTACATTCAAATTTATTTGTGTTATATTCAATCTTCTCAAAACTTATAATTTTCGGCTATAGCATGATTATATGCTATATAATATAATAAACCTGTAATAGTATCATTCTTTCAATTATTTGAAGAGAAAACCGAAAAAATCTATTTTCGGTCTATAACACTCTCAATTTTATATTAAGATTTTCAAAAATCATATGTAACATGTGCTTGTTATTTTTTAATTCCGAAAATAAAATTAACGTAAAATTCTTCTCAAAAACGAAGTTTACAAAATTCGAAAAAGTTCTAATAAAAAAGTTTTAATATGTCTGTTCCCCCACCACCACCTCCACCACCACCACCATGCACTGCAAACCACGGCGGCGGTGGCGGATTAGTTAAGCCTACTGATGATGCATTACAAGCTTTGATTGCTAAGAGAAAGGCTAATGCTGGAAAGAAGCCAGCTAACCCACCTCCAGCTAAACCACCACCAAAGAAGGCTGCTCCAATGGATCTTAACGCAGCACTTAAAGCAAGATTTAATAAGAACAAAGCACCAGCTCCAGCAGAAGAACCTCCAGCACCCGCTCCAGCTGCTCCTCCACCAGCTCGCCCTCCACCACCACCACCGAAATCTGATGCTCCACCTCCACCTCCAGCTCGTCCACCACCACCACCACCTACAGCTCCTCCAGCCACACCTCCTCCACCACCTCCGAACCACCCACCGCCACCACCGCCTAAATCTAACGATATTCCACCTCCACCACCAGCTGCTATACCACCTCCAGCTCCACCAGCAACCCCGCCGGCAGCACCACCAAAGAAGCCAAAGGATAAGAAGAAATCATCATCATCTTCATCTGGATCAGAATACTATTCAGACTATCCATACTATTCCGATGATGAGGAGAAGGAAGAGCCAAAGAAGGAGGAACCAAAGAAAGAGGAGCCAAAGAGGGAAGCTGAAATTCTTCCACCTCCACCTCCTCCATCCAGACCAGCTCCACCACCATCAGAGCCTTCATCAGATGAACCTAAGAAGAGTCAGAAGGCTAAGTCACGTCCATCCGCTGCTGATTCAGCAGAAACAACACCAGATGGCAAGCTTAAGCTTCAGTACTTCGAGTCAAGCTACAAGAAAGTCAGCACCGAGTTCGGTATCCAGAATCTTTTCACTCCTTTCGTTAAGCAACGCGATGAAATGCACAAGCATGCAGAAAACGCCATCAACGCATTCATGGAAGATCCAAACAAGCCTCTTGATGAATACAGAAACACAATCAACGATTTCATGACCACATTCCAGCGTAACCTTATCACCGCTTCAAAGGATATCACAACCAACCTCTCAAGCAACCTTGACCTTGTCGACAAGCTTACAGAATCAGTCAACAAAGCCAGGAATGAATTCGAGATTGCCCGTAACGAACAGCTCGAAGATGCTCTCTCTAGACTTAAAGTTCCTAACCCAACATCAGAAAATAATTCCGTCCCAGACTTCATCAAACCACGCAAATACAGCTCAATCTACATCTGCTTACCAGGCGTCAACATCAAGATGAACAATCTTCAGAATGTTGCTGGCGATGTCATGAATCCTAACATCGAGGACCTTGTTAAGGTAATTCCAGCTGATCAGGAAGCCGTAGATCTCTTCTCTACTCCATTCGAATACTTCGATATGGGCGAGACAAATGAGATGAAGGATCCATTCGAATCAGCAGACACTGTCGAGACAAGGAAGAAGCTCAGACCACAAACCAATGCAAAGGGAGGCTACGACGACGAAGAACTCGTTAATTCCGGTGAAGCCCCATCTGCTCCACCTCCACCATCAGCTCCAGGAGTTCCTCCAGCACCACCGTTACCAGGTGCTGGCGTTCCACCACCGCCCCCACCACCAGGAGCCGGTGCGCCGCCACCTCCACCACCACCAGCAGGCGGAGCACCACCTCCACCGCCCCCACCACCTCCAAAGGGCGGTGCACCACCACCTCCTCCACCGCCAGCAAGAGCACCTCCACCCCCAGCAGGCACTCCTCCTCCACCAGCTGCAGCTCCAGCACCAGCAGGCGGTCTCGTGAAACCAACAGATGATGCACTTCAAGCTATGATCGAAAGAAGAAAGAAGACTGCAAATAAGGTCAAGCCACCAGAGCCAAAGCTTCTCTTCCAGAAGTAAAGCGATTTTTTTAATTTTTATTATTTACTTTTCATCTTTTCCATTCGGAGCGTCACTTTTTCAAGCTTGTATTAGATGAAAAACTCAATCTCTAAAGCGGATGGAATTAACCAGAAGCTTGAAGAGATAAGGAAAAAACGTAGGGAGAACAGAAAGCTTCGTTTGTCTGCACCAAAGTATCAAGAAGATCCAATTGGACAAGTTGAATTTTTGATGTACATATTGCCAGATGAAGTAGACAAAAAATTCTTAGATAATACAATAGAACCAACGTATTTCGATTTCCCTCCTGTAAAACCTAAGATTACAAAGAATTTGGGCTTGATTAAATCTTTATCTATTTATTTTCCAATTGGAAAAGTTTCTAATTCCGATGAATGGTTTATAATTTCGCCATATATACATGTTCCAAAAGTATTTCTTCCTGCAGACAATTGGGCAGAAAAATCTCAAATCTTAATCGCAGCAATTACATATTCATGCAAAGTACTCGATGCTTTATCAAAAGTTCTACATATTTCTCTTCCATATCCGATTAAAATAGATGGAAACAAAATTTTTATTTATAGAAACGAGCAACCACATGATTTAACAGTATTTACTACTTCTCATTCCATAAAAGCTGCAGTACATCTACTTAATTTTAACGCCGCAACTTTTGGACATGGAGCACCTGATGAATTACTTCCGAACCTATATTCGGCCTTACACCCAAACTCAACTGAGCTTCCTCCTGAAGAAAGTGTTGATGATTTGATCGAAAAATAGAATTTAAATTTGGTTTCAAAATTCTTGAACAATTCGAACTTTAGGAATCCATTAATATGCTTCCAATATCATTCCACTCTTTTTGATCAAATATCTTCAATACATCTGATATAATTTCAGATCCATTTTGTAATCTTCAATTCCGAATAGGAAGAACGATTATATACATACTACTGCTAAAGATTACAATAGATGATGTTATTTAAGGTTTTTTCCACTCAACAGTCTTGGGATAGTTGCTATTTTATTCAGAATTAATGAAGGACAGATTACCCTTTTCGGAGATGTTAACACCTCCTATGGACAAATCGATTGTTATCCCTCGATCTATCACGCATTCAATTTTGGACTTTACACTTTTCAATTTTGAAAATAAAAAATTGACATAACGAATTATCACATTTTTATAATATCATATTATACTAATAAAATTTAATATAGTTTTCTGAAAATCAATGGTCAAGTTCAATTTTTGTTTTATGCGATTATTTATTAACTCTATAAAATTGGCTATTTAATTAAAAATTAGTGAAAACTTTTTCAGAATATCTCAAAATTTGACATTCTTTCAAAGTAAAAGAATATTGACCATAGTTTCCATCTTATATATTGCTGAATTTTCCATTTTTCTGATTTTCAGCAACGGCGATAATGAAATAAGTGAAGTAATTTTTTTAAATGTCAACTCCATCGAAGGAATTGACAGAACAAGAGAAGATCAAAAAGCAGTATTACGATCTTCTCGAAGATCTTGGCTATCCACCCGAAAAAAGGGAGCTACTAGCCAAAAATGTTAAAGAAATGAAAGAATTTATTGAAAGAGACGTCGAAACAAGCAAACAGACAAAGCCACCTCAATACTTCTTTGACCAGCTAAAGAAAGAGCTCTCATATGAAGATGTTAATGAGTTGTACAGACAAACTAAAATTTGCAAGTTCTCATAGGCAAAGGAGTTTCTAAAAATTGGCGGATTAACTCAAATAATTAATATCTTAAGAGGTTACTCGTATGGCGTTTCTAAAAATCAACTTAGTCCTTTATCTACAAATCTACTTCATTCTTTGATCAAATGCGTCAAGAATCTTGCCAACATGAGTATCTGCCAGTCACATCTTGCCCGAAATTTGTCTTTTATCCCTACTTTAATCAGTGTCATTCATCCACCGAGTTCTTCAATGACATCCGACATCCTTTCGATCCTTATCATGTTCTCATCCTTCCCTGACTATGCAGAATACGTTTTCGGAAATATTTAATATTTGAATCGAAATAATGTCGTTGGCTGGAAAGTTTTGTGCGATTTCCTCACATCAAATGCACACAATCCCAGTGTTGTTAAGACTTTCGTTGCTTTCATATCCAGTTTACTTTCCAATGTAATTGATCCGAAATTTAGAACACAACTCCTTCTTGAGCTCGACAACAGTGGAGTTCTTATTGCTATGATGTCAATCCCATCCGAAGAAGAGAACGCAAGGAAGCTCAGGCAAGAATTAGTCAACATTACGAATTTATTCCCGAAAGAACACATCAATCCATTCGATCCAGTCGTATTATACGATTACGTCGAGAGAAATGTCCCTCAGAATTTACTACATTCCTGCTATCTCTCAATCGCGAGTATGATACAAAATTTACCAAACTGTGTAGAGCCAGCCTTGAATCATATCCTCGATTTCTTATTCTACTACAGAAGCTATGCCTCCAAAGGTAACTTTGATGCCATAGAAGAGGCTACTTTGCTCTCAATCCAAGACACAGATTATCCATCTGTCGCTTTACCCAATTTATTAGGTATATTGTACAAAGATTACAACTTCTTAGATTACGTACACCTCCAAAGCATGCCATTACCATCATTACGTGATCTAAAAAGCCTTGATTTGGTTGATGACTTACAATCAAAGCTCCAGAGAGTTCAGGAAGAACTGACAATCTCTAGAAAGTGCTCAGACAAGATATCCATTGACAATGCACACATGCAGAAGATAAAAGAAGAAGAAATTAAGCATCTCAAAGAATTATTGAACGAATCGAACAAGAAAGTTGATGACAAGATCAAGGAAATGGACAGACTCAAGGCTAAAATAGGAGAACAGATCCAAGTTAAAGAGAAAAGCATCCAAGAATTAGAAATCAAATTATCAATGGCCACAAATGATCTAAAAAAGCTCAAAGAGGCCAAACCAAATGCTGCAGAAGACTTAGATGATGATAAAGAGATCCAGAGACTCCAATCCGTCCTTGAAGAGAAAGAAAAAGCAATTGAACAACTGAAACAAGTCAAACCTGTTGTTACGACAGTTGTAGATACAAAAGAAATCGATAACCTCAAGATCTTGTTGCAGCAATCGAACTTGGAGAACGAAAAAATGAAGAATTCTTTGGTCGAATACCAAAACCAGATAGAAGTCTTCAAGAACGCTCTACCGAACGCTGCAGAGGATATGGAAGACGATGCAGAGATCACAAGACTCAAAGAAGTTATCGACAGACAAGAAAAAGAACTTTCAGTATTAAGAGTCGCGAAACCAAATGCTGCTGAAGATTTGGAGGACGACAAGGAAATCCAGCGCTTGAAGAAGCTTCTCCAGCAAAAGGATGAAGAAATCCTTAACGCAAAGGCTGAAGTTGCAAAATTACAATTAAATTCAAAGTCCTCTCAAAATTCTGAAGTCCCTCAAAATTCAGAACCTAAACAAAATTCAGAGACCTCTCAAAACAACACTTCTCAAAATTCAGAGGCCTCTCAAAATTCAGAGAGTCCATCACCTCCACCACCAGTTGCTCCACCTCCTCCACCGATGGCACCTCCGCCACCACCTGTAGCACCTCCACCACCAGGAATTGGTCTTCCTCCACCTCCACCGCCTGCATTTGGAATTCCTCCACCTCCTCCAGGCGTAGGTGTTCCTCCACCACCACCCGGCAGCTTGCTTGCCAAGAAGAAGAAGAATACCGCACCACCGATGAAGATGAAAGGATTCTTCTGGCAGAAACTTAACGAAAACCAGATCAAAGGCAGCAAGTGGTCAGAAATGGAGGAAGTCGATATCGACACACAATCTCTCATGGACCAGTTCCCTGTCAAATCCAAAGAATCATTCTCTTCGTTTGATTTAAGTTGATATAGTGCATTAAATGTATCAATATAGTCTTTATATTTCGGATAAAGCAAGTCATAATAATTCTTAGTTTTCTCCTTCCTATTTAGAAACATGCATTTTAATTTTTCACTTACTCGCAAAAAGTGACGCCTTTCATCTTTTTTCCTAGGTTTAATGATCGCATCCTTTCTGCTCGTCATACAGGAAATGAGAGAAATGATTGGCAGAGCCTAATTTATTACTCCAATTGGAAGCTATCATGAAAAGTATACTTCAGAAATCCCAGAATGACAAGACAAAAGTGTGTTATGCACTCTTGTCGGTCAAAGTTCCGCAATCAGAATGTGATTGCGGAAGAGTGTCTCATTCTGAGAGACATTCAATGTCAATGTCTCCCAGAATGGCACATTGTGACCGACAAGAGTGTATAACACACTTATCTTGATGAAAAATGATTATAAAAAATATGAACGTTGATTCAATATACTTACCTCGTTTCATGAAAATGTTAATATAACGTTGATTTTTTCCATGGGATTCAACTACATTTTCTGTATATGAGCTTTCCAAATGGAATATTTTTCACATATTTGTTTCAATTATTTTGTATATTGATATTTAAGATATAAATATAGACGATATTGAATGAAATGCATTTGTAATGGATCATATTCATTTGTAAACTGTTAAACTTTGAATTTTCATCATCTAAATATAAATTCGATATAAAAACAATTTACTTAAATCTAATAAAACATTCTAATATTAACAAATAATAAAAATTAATTATTCGAAATTTCGGAATTTTGAGATTGACTGATTGAATCTGCAATTGACAAGAATATTCCAAGTTCCCTTGCGAGTTCAAATTCCCAATTTGGAATATTCTGCATGAAATGCGTAATAATTATTCCAGGTTGAGCGTAAATCATGCAATATGCTGATGGTTCATCAAATATCCATATCTCTGAAGCAGTTTTTATGTTCTGAATGTACTGATCTGTTGGAGTATTTTGACTGATCATGTTTACAGTGCACGCCGCCTTCTTTTCATTAATAATTGATTGGATGTTTGGTACTTTTTGCATTTCGTTTGAAGCAATAATTAAAATTGTATTATTAATCTTATTTTCTGTAATTGGTATTGCTTTCCTTATATAACTGTAATCGCTTGATTCTTTAACAGGGAATTTGTTCTGATTAAAGCATTTCGTCGATGAATCGAGTAATTTAATTTGTGGGATCTTTGAAAACAGCTTAATTATAGGTGTATTAACTGTATATGATACAATCAATCGTTTCCTAAATTGAGAATTGTATAATTCTTGAAGAATTGGCAAAATTGAAATTTTCAGAGATTGTTCATAGTTATTAGTAAGGAAATATATAGGAGAATTATCCATAATCTTTTTATAGTTATATTGCTTTTTGAAATCTTCGCAAGGGTGGGTAAAATTGTTGTAATTACTTGATAATGGATGTTTGAAAAAGAAATCTTCATAAACGAATGTTGTAATTCTATTTCCTGATAAGCAAAAGTCTGTTAGCATCGGACTATCATCTTTTCCATGACCCCAGCTTCTTTTTGGAAGTAAAAACGCAACAGGATCAATATTCATATTCTCAGAGTAAAGAACAAGTTCATTAGATACTAGTTCAAGCTTTGCATCTGCTGCCTGAGAAACACAAATGTAAAATGTGATATTTTTCGGATTTTGATCTTTGTAGTCCCATAATGATCGTTTTGTAAACGTAGAATCAAAGAACTTGGATGATATTTTGATTTTCAAGTTACTCATTAAGATATCAAATGAAGCATGGAAAATAAAATCAGTGATAATACTAAATTCTATTTTATTCGTGTTTCTTACAACTGAGATTTTCTTTATACCTGATGTTTCATTGCTATTAGGAGGTAATCTTGCAAGTCTTTCGAATTTATCGCAATAAGTATTAACTCCAACCATAAAACATATAGCAATAAGGAATATCATTACATGCTTTATATCTAAATTCGAAAAATTATATACTTTGGCATTTCCATCCGCATACATTTTTCGAAAATTAGAAAAAGTGACGAATTGAGCTCATTTAACATATTTGCTTAACTGATAGTTACAGACTAATTAACATATGATACGCTCACAAATAGGAAATGCTGAATGTCAAAATCAAAATTAAATTCGAATTTGATCCAGTTAGCAACCTCTTTTATATGACATTCAGTAAGATGCTTAAGAATTGCTTCTTAGGATGGAATATCCATGTATAAAAATCAGAGAAAAATTAAAAATAAAAAAAGTAAAATTATTTGTTCGAAAACATTGGTAATTTATGGTGGAACAGTTAAAGAAGACTGTATTTACTCATCTTCCTCTTCGGACTTGTTCTGTCCAGCCTTAGCATAGCGAGCGTTGCGGAGGAACTTGGCGTTCATTCCCTTCTCGAACCAGAGTTTCTTGACAACGCACTTATGGATACCATTGCGGTGGTGCTGGTGGCTCCTGTTGTGGGCAGATGTGTTAGAACGTTTGGCCATTCTAAAAAAGAAAGACCATCAATAATCGTTTTCCTCTCAATTCATATTGGTTTGTTCTCTCCTTTATTATCCGTGCTCTACATTTCAACTACTTGCTGTCTTTCTACGTTTATTTGATAAAAATTAAGTGTGAATGCCATAAGAGCAAGATTGCCTGAGATTGAAATTGACTTTAAATATAGATTTGAATTCATTCAGTGAAAATATGCTCATTATATATCTTAATCACTATGCGTGCATAGTGTGATATAAAATTTCCTTGAAAGCTTTCTCGATGACGAAATTAAACGGGTTACTCAAAATTTGCAAGCAAATGAACTAAAGTAAGTGAATTTTTATGAATGAGTGATGAAATATTAGTCAGATAAATAGTTTTGATCTGGTTGTTCATGATCTTGAGCTGGCACTGAATCCTCTTCAATAATTTCAGATGGAGAGTTTCCTTTAGAATCTTTACTTTCGCGTACTTTATAATATATAATAAAACCAATAATTACGCAAATAACAATAAAGGTAATGGATGCAACAACTCCGGATATTGCTAGCTCAAGAATATTTTTACTTCTTGGTTTTGCATCAGGATCATCCAGTTGTTTTGAATTCGGATCTAATGGATCAGCAAGTTGTAATGAATTTGGATCCAATGGATCTCGGACAAAGTTCATTTCGTGCAATTTTACTGATCTACAGAATAATTCTGGATCTGGGCAGTATGCTGTGCGTTTAAAATTTCCCCATGAACTATATTTTGTTGGATCAGAAATAACTGAATAATTAAACTGTTGTCCTACAGTTGTTTTATTGCATGTAATGTTAAGCGGCATACCATTAATATGGGATGAGTTTTCAATATAAAATGTGAAGCTCTCATACTTATTGCATTTGAAGATGCCGCAATCTGTTTCATAGAAATAAATATGATCGTAACCTGGTAGAACTGCCTTTCCTTTTGGACATACTATCTGTGGACCTTTTATTCGCTGATAATCCATAACATCTATACTTGATACATAAGACTTGTTCAAAGGATTATAGAATTTCACACCTTTGCAAAATTCTGTGTTTGTGTTTTGGCAGTTGTTACCCTTCATATTTTGGTAGCCGCTTCCAAGATATTTAAAATCAAATCCAGTATAAAAATAGTTATCATCAGAACCAAGTAAATATCCATCAGGGTAAACTAATTGAGGAGGTCCGGTTGCGAAATCTTTAATAAACTTACCTCCAATTTGAGATTCGGGATTTCCCCAAACTAGAGGCTGGGCCATTGACCAATTGCATTTATAATTCCCTGTATCCTGAAGAATTGCAATCGTAACATCTGTAATTCGGTTAAAACTATGAGATTTTCCTTCTACATCCTGACCGATAATGGCTTCTGTATAGAACGGACGAAAATCTACATGCCCTCCGGCAGTTCCTGAGCCACCATTAAGCTCGATTTCGATACCAGACCTACAATTATTATCATCTCCTTCAAAAACTTCAACACCATAATGCTTTTTAGCGAATATATGGGCGTAAGGGGTAGTTAGAAACTTAAATTTCTTTCCATATTTGGTGAATGAGCAGAATGTTTGATTTTTTGTGTATTTCTCCGTGGAATTATATGGGCGAAAGTTTTCTGAATATAATGATACTAAAACATGCATTAGTTCATGAAATAGAAGATTAACGCCAAAGGCTGTATTTGTACCGAATTGTGATTCCGTATCTATAAAGTAGTTTCTAAAAAATGAGGCACTTATCATCATAAATCCCGAGTTTGGCCTTTTTAATTCATTCCAGCCCGAAACACCAGCTTGTGCTACGAGACCTGAAAAAACAGGAAAATTAGGTATCATTATAGATACTTCAAGATCTGAATCTCTATTTTTGTCTGGTATTACTTGAATGAAGTTTTCAACAAAGTTTTGCAAGTTTTTCAGTGTCTTGTTAAATATCGTATAGTTGAAATTTTGAACAAGTTCATTTTTTTCGCAAGTCTTATTATAATTGAGAACTATCAATTGCCCCTCTTCATAGCATGTATAGTGATCACGTACTTCTCCTGTTAAGTACTCAAAAGTCCACTTGATTCTAATATTTTTCCATTCATCATCGAGGCTTTGACGAGTTTTGTTCGAACTGTTTGGAATAAATAGAGGCTCATCTACTATTCTCCGACCATCTTTTGTGAAACCATCTTTCAAAAAAGGGTGTCTTTGCATGAAAAGTAGCAAAAACATTTTAATAATATCAGAATTTAACACTTTTCAATGGTTATTCAATTTGAATATGAATCGGAGTTGCGGTATTATTACCAAGGATATAAAATGATTAGGAATTCCATAAAATAAATTTTGATGTACGTTTGAAATACAAATGATTGTATTTTTAATGCACATGTTATTTACTCAATCAGAATATCTATCTGACACAGATCTGACAAATTTGAAATATCTGATTATTTTATTGAATTCTAAGAGTAAATGAGTTAGACAATAACTTTGAACGATGTTCTTTTTTATAACGTTAACTAATGAAATTCCGATCTCTAGTCGTCAATATCTCATTATTAATTCTCCACAAATTGATTCAGCATAATTTTGTGCCTGCAATAAAATTTCAAAATTCATTTCTCAATTTTTCCGACCAATATATCTCCAATTCAATCCATCATTGAATGAAATGCTTGTATTTCCAAAATGAATGCAATGCTTGTATTTCCAAAATGAATGCAATAAAATTTTAAATTTGTTTAAACCCAAGAATACTATAAGAAAAAATAGCCGATTTAATGCATGAGCATGAGAACCATCTATGTTGCTTTCAGTGCCATGATTTATTGTAACGAACAAAAAAATATTTGTATTTCCCAAATATCTTCATCATTATATAAAATATTAGTGCTTGGCTAAAACAATCTCTTAGTTTTCCAAAATATATTAATTATCTTATTCGAAAATATTATAAATCAAAGATTAAGGAAATGAATATTTCTTGCTTCGACTGTTGATTTGGTTATTGAAATATATAGCTACTAAACAAGTCTTTCGAACACAAGATAGTCAATAATATCACTATCATTATTCTCTTGCTAATCAATTCCCTTTTTATCTGTTTTTTCCATTGGCGCGTCGCGCCGGTAAAACAAAAACTATTATGCTCTCATCAATAAGTGTGCTACAGCAGTTCAATTATTAATTAATTTTGAAAAATATCCATTCAGTTCAAGACTTTTGTACCTATTTAACATTCAAATATTACATAAAACTCATATTCAAATTTCGAAAGTTGATAGAAAAACCTTTCTAATTTTGTCTACATTACTGAAATACAAATTTATTCCATAAATATTCATCAATATTATTATTCAACCTTATCAATCAGAAATTTCGAGCTAATACTTTTAAATCTTGGAATCAATTTTACTCAGACATTCAATATGAATTCATTAATCAATCAACATTCGTTTCAAGACAAAATGACTTTTATATGTCAGAAAAAAATTATTATTTACTATTTATCGAAGTACAAGATCTGAAAACAAATGCAATTTTCATTCAAAACAAAAATAATATTAATGCCTTAATTGAATCTTGCAAATTTACCAACGTAATTACAAACATTCCTACACAGAAAAATGGTGCTTATAATGATACCAGAGCTGGTACTATTTTCTTTGAAATTGGAGATAGTAACTGCATTATTAATAGATGCATGGCATTTAAGTGCTATAATAAGATTGTTCCATCAGAATATTATTATGACGGTGGACAATTTGCAACAATTCGTTTCGCCCGAAATCAAATACTTGTAACGTCTATAGTTTCTAGTTCTGATCAATCATATGGTGTCTCTCCATTTAGATCTCGAGATACTTCGGGAAATTATACTTGTTTAAACATCAGTAATTGCAAATCTTATGACTCGGCATTATTCACTGTATTTCCAGGTGAATCTGATTATATCAAATATTCTTTATTTGACGGAAATTCGGCAACAAAGTCTGATTCAAAAGGAATCAGTGTTTTATACAATGGAAAGTTCACAATCAGGCAGTGCATTTTTACACAAAATAGTCTAAAAATATTTATTTATGCTAGATTGGCCACAAATGTAGTAATTGAAGAATGCAATTTTGCTGAAAATCGGAATGAAAACTATCTAGCTTATGCTGTGAGAGGACGTGATGGAAGGCTATATGGGTATTCAAAAATTATCGTCAGTAATTGTTATTTTAAAGATTCTAATACTAGAAATTATGCTGATTATGGTGCAACTGTATCATTTGATAATAAAAATAACGCATCAATTAAAGACCGTGTACTGGCTATTATGTGCAATGCTCTTCATCCGCATATTATATCAGGTATTATCAAATACCAAAAAGTAAATGCAAAACTAGGTAAAAAAGTTAATGTTGCTTTGCGAAAAGGAGTTTTGCCAAACTTGAATTTGATCAAATTTGCTTATATTAGAAATATAAAATAGCTATTTAAATTTATTTCATTAGATGTACAAGCAGTCAAGTAACTTGATTAGAAGAATTATCAAAAAAGAAATACTGGCATTTTGAAAATCAAATCACTTTCTTTATTTAAGTTAATCCTTGAAATTGTTAAATGGCAATGCCTTTGTTTTCAAAATGATGGATTTATTCAGACAGTCAAATTAATCAGTTGATATTTATTCTTTGTATTCCCTTTCTAAATCAATCTAAGAGTGAATCATTTATATATTCTTAAAAATTGCTTCGATCATCAGGTCACTTGGAATATATTATCATAAACGATCCTACAGGTGCTACACAAGAATTTCTCCCATTACTGAAAGATAAAAAATCTGCATGATAAGGATTCACTATTGATTGTGGAACCAACAAAATTAGATAAATCTCTGTCAAGGAATTAGGACCGGTCAATATATATAGAAAACTCTCTTCTTCTTTAACATTTACCTAATAAATGCCAACGAAAGTATAGGAAGATAAAATTAGTTTTCAATCCTGATAAATACAAAATTCCAAGTAAGGGTGATGTATCGGAGCTCAACTCTTAAAGAGCTATACAATCCATAGCTATGCCAAATCATCCAAATGCAATCTTCATGGCCAAGTTTGAGGGGATTCTCTAATTTTGAAACGAACCCAATGATACTCGACCATGAGAGAAAGAAAAGCATATTTTATGGCCAATACATGTGCTAACTTTCGGCCAAGAAAGTGAGTTTATGTAATTAAAAAGTCGAAAGTGAAATCTTTGTCTTGAAAATGTGTTTCTTTCCCGACTTTTAAGGTTGCACTTACGCCTATCTGACTTTAATTCAAATTTTTGACAACTGGTGTGATGCCTCTTTGAAATTTAACCTTAAATAATTGTATTGAAGGCCATGTCATAGGGGCGTAAGTGCATCCTTAAAATTTAATATTTTTTAAGAGCAATTTATCTCTTTTTAATCTTTTATTTCTTATTAACATATATGAATTTGCCTGGTCAATTATTAGCACATTTTATGTTAATTTATAATTTTATATATTGAAAACTATATGAAAACATGTTTAAAGTCGAAAAAATACTAATTTTTATTGCAATTAGATAAGATATCTAATCCTCTTCAAAATATCTGATTTCATCTGGAGCATCAAATACAGTAACAACATTTCGGCCAGGATCATAAAAATGTCCTTTAGAATCCAATACAGCATAATGAATCTTACCGTTTAAATTATATCTCCTTAATTCATAGTAAATATCATAGCTACTTGTAGGTCTTTCTGTTAATTGACGAATTACAGCTGCATTAGCAGCTTGTTTCCAGTCTATCAAGTTAGCATTTTTGTCAAAACCTCTATGATAGTTGAAGAATTCTTCACATCTCTTTGGATCTTGTCTTCTAAATAAATCCATGTAGCAGAAGCTGAGAAGCAATGATCCATTACGACGAATCGCGGGTGATTTAAAGAACGATGAATCCATATAGAATTTTTCTTCTTTTTTCATAATTGGAGGACATTTATAAGGTATAAATATTTCTAGTCCTGTTGTAACCGAAAGTACGACTCCAGGATTTGCTCTCTCAACATCATCTCTAGTTACACCCTTATCTTTATATTTCGATAAAATTCCTTGTAAGTCATGGGGACCAGAATATCGTTCCATTGTACCACAAATATCGGAATTTGAGACTTGGTCATTCGCAGATAAATTTATTGAACCTTCCCGCAATTATCCAAAACATCATTGTCACTTTTAAAATCTGATTTATCAAATTTTATGATTATAAAAGTATACAAAACTTAAAATGTAACTTATGATTTATAGTTTAAAATCATCTCAATCGACATTTCAATTGAAAATTAATAAAGGATTCAATTTTGAAAGGTGTCGTAAATCAATGAAGGAAACTATTCCAAAACTTTGTATCCTTCTTATTCATTTTTAAAAATCTTGGTTGAATGGCTTTTATGAAAAAAGGATAAGAAAATTTTCAGATTTTGTTTAAAAAAGGGGTGAATAAACAAATAAATATGGGTGATCAAAATAGTCTTGTGATATTGCTCGCAAATAAATAATAATTATTCTAATTCCTTGGCATCGTTCACTTCAAAGAATCCTTCAACGCCTTCTTCTTCGAAGTCTTTCCTGAATGGGTCATCATTTTCGCCAGCGATGCTTGTGGTCCACAATGGATTATCATTAGTAACAGTGTTTGAAGTTGTTGGTGCTATTGTAACTGTTTCTTCTACCATTTCAATAGAATTTGAGTCTTCATCATCTTTTCTCTTCTTTACAGCAATAAACCAAATAAGTAAAGCAGCGGCAAGAAGTAGAATAATGCCTGCAACAACTCCAATAATGATGTATGTAGTATTATTCTTTGGTGAAGTTGGAGTTTCTTCAATGGCCAAATAAACATTGGATTCTATAACAACAACAGTGACAATAGTGAACTCGCCAGTAATTTCTGTTGTGGTATAAATAGGTCGATTTTCTGGGTCATATGAGATAACAATTGTGTTTATTTTAGTTGTTGTAGTGCTTGTGTATGTCTCTATTTTAGTAACTGTTTGAATTCCACGTTGGCCTTTACCAGGCGTAATAATTGGGGCTGGTGTTCTCTCCGGGGTTGGCGGACTTGGAGTTGAAATTGTGGGAGGTGGATTTGGTCTTATTCTTGAAACCAAAATTAAAGATTTAAAAATAGTTGTTATGTGATGATGTTTTGTATACTGCGCTGGATGAGTAATAAATTTTGTAGGAGAAGGAACAAAATAAGTGGATTTATAATCTTCAGTATTGCTATTTGATGCATAATTATGTGGTGTATGAAGTCTTAGCTCTGAATCATCATACATGCAAGCGGAATTTGGAGAATCACGATCATAGTTATAGAAAATAGATAATTCCCGCGAGTTTCTTGCAATTTTGTTTATATTCATACTATCTTTATTTGAAAAGTAACTAACATGACCATCTAAGAGAACGTTATCACCCACATTAGCATCGGTCGGATTAAATGTATCACCTGTCATAGCCATATTATTAGAGAAACAGCATAATTTAGTTTCTAAGATAAGAGGTCTTTCTGACTCAATTGCGGTAAAGAGAATAGCTCCACCTCCGCGTGCACTAAACCTTGATGATCCTGTGGCTGATGGTGAAACATTATTAATAACATATCGAAAATTTAGATTTCTCTGACGATCATTAACTATATTTGTTGAGAAGTAGGATCGGAAAATTAGGAGATCTGTTTGGATACTGTAAATTACCCCACCACCTATTGCAGCGGTGTTATTAGAGAATATTGAATCATCAATCTCACTATTGGCAGCATTAGAGAAACAAAGAGCACCACCAACATCATGGGCTGTATTGTTCTCAAAATAGCATGAATCGAGTAAAAGAAATTGCTCTGAACTAATAATACCACTATATTCGGTGATACCTTGGAAATAAAATGCTCCTGCAAATTTAAGAGCATTGTTTTCAGTGAATTTAATATAATTAAAGAAAGCTTTGCAAGCAATGAAACATACAGCACCTCCAATTGAGGCATAATTGCTTTCAAACGAGGAAAATGTAGATCGATGTGCTACAGCTGCAATTTGTGAATGTGATGCATATAGTGCTCCACCACTAGCCGACGAAATAGTTGACCCAAATGCGTTGTTATTTGTGAATCTAACTTCATTAATAGTAATTGTGCATTGAAAATATTCACTAGATCTAAATGAATGACTGTAATCCAATAAATTAATATCTTGATTATAGGTATGATTAATATTATAATTTCTATTATGAAATGATGGTGGGTCTATTGATAAAACCGAAAAAAAAACAAATAACAAAAGCATGAAAATAGGATATTCCAGACTATTTCAACTTATAAAATATAAAAAATAAACTTCAGAAATTATATTGTCAAAAAAAATTCTGATCCCATCTCAATTTTTTTTTGAAAAAATCAAGATGGAGAAATTCCTCTCATATAAGCATTAGATTTTGGTTTTCATAGACGTTGAATAAAAGAACTGATCTCCATTAAAGCAAATATTGAAGCATTAAGAAAAGAAAACTTATCTAAGACTACATCTTGAAAATCAAAATAAAGATTAAATCATTTGAAATAAGTAACAATCAGCTAAGTTATATATTCATCAAAACAATAGATAGTTTACATAAAAAACAAATAAAAAATAAACAATTATTTTTGTTCTCCAACTTTTCTTTGCAAATTCCTTTGCAAACACCTTGGACATTGTGCGTGTATCAATGGTAGCGCGTATTGAGTCTCAGAAAACTTCGCAATTTCATCTAAACCGTTTTCTTTGCAGAATTCGCAGAGATTTTTCGTGGAAAGCTCCAATTCGTCAGGAAGCATGACATGGCCGCATGAAAACGTTGATACTCGCGTGGAATCAACCACATAATGCGATGGAATTACGACACAATCAGTTGAATTTTGTAATAATTTGATCGTAACTGAGTCAATTCCTTCGTATTTCTTCGTTCTCCTCCGTGGAATCAATAACTTAACCTGTTCCGGTGTTAAGGATTTAATATCATCCGGATTCCACAAAAGAAGTTTTCTGGCGGCTTTTGACGATATAATTTTATCGTCGAGGGGAACTTTCGCGGCCAGAAGGGCATGGATCAAGGAAGCAGCCTTGTTTTCGTCGAACTTGTTAAGGTTGGCAATCAAGAACTTCGGATCTTCAGGCAATTTCAAGTTCTGCCAGTCGCCAAATAAAATTTGGAGAAATGGCAAGAATTGGGTGGCCTTGAACATAGGAATTATGTCTTCCTGCTTGTAATGAGTCGAAATCAGCGACAATTTGTCGAAATCTGGCTGAATTTCGGATTTTATTTCTTCAAATAAAACTTCAATCGGATCAGAAGCTGAACCAATGAGGACTACTCCTTCATCACTTACCTGACTGATATTCAGAATCGTCCCAATACGTTGAGGATAATTAATAAATTTATAATTTTCCCCTTCTATGATCATTAAAACGCCTTCGCCAGCAGCAAACGCCTTTGTATTTGTTGTCTTTGTGAATTCTACATTGAAATCAAGCTGAATTGTCGTAGTTTTTGTATCTGACGATTGAATACATAAATTAGGGGAATAAAAGAGATAATACGTATCATTCGAAGCACATATAGCTTTGACAAAGTGCTCTGAATGCAAAGGAGTGAACGTTTCGTCCTCTAATAAAAGATAAGCCGTTCCTTCACTTGAAAGACCGATTGTGAGCTTATCTGTGAGCGCCAAGTCGATGAAATCGCCTTGGTATATCTTGAGTAACCCGTTTTTGTCGATTAAAGTGAACGTTCCGTTGACAGCAACTAATCCGAGTTTATTTGATGAGGAAAACAGGGCAAATGAGGGCGGATATGCGGCCATCTGAAGGATATGAGTATCCAAAGCTGATCCGTGCATGAGTTGGAAGTCTTTGTTCAAAGCAAAAAGAATTCCATCGAATATCTCGAAATCAAAGAAAGGAACGTCGGTTGAAACAGGTGTGTCGTTGATCACCAGCTCATTTGCAGTAAGGTAATTCGCTTCATCAATGATTTTTACCGCATTTTTGATTTTATAATTTTTTATCTTTGTATTTTTTGAGTTATAAAGCTGATGAACGAGAGCTTTGAACTGCGGGGATGCATCGTATGGTGGGTATTCTAGATCAATTTTATCTGCATTTGAGATATATTTAAATGCAAGGTTTTCATTGAACGAATACGTATGATATCTGTAAAGCAGTGCCCCTGGGATATTAGATTTATCCTCCAGAACGGCGTTGTAATACTTGGATGACCGTAAATCAGAAGGAAGGGGGAGAACCCTGTTGTCACTTTTTATTCTATTTGAGAGGATTTTGAATGAAGGGAAAATTGACCACTTCACTTGTAGTCTTCTGAATAGAGATTCCATGACATCCTTCATTACTGACTTCGGTACAGTTGCCAGAGCCGATTGATCGATCAATGCCTCTAAAGTTACGTGTAATGCGTATCTTTCCTTGCCAAGAGGTAAAAATCTGTGCACGATTTCAGTGAAATCGCAATTACCTTGCTTATAGAGTGACAACGCCTCATGGTATTTACCTTCTTGTATCGCATCAAACGCCATACTACTACAAATATGCGGAAAACTCAAATCAAACGCTCCGCAGAGCTCGAATGCCTCATTCCAACGCTTCGACTCCGCCAAATTACGGAAAATATTACTTGCTTCGTCCTTCATTTGCAAAGTGGTCAATTGTCCAACAGCTAAACAAGCAATTTTATCCGAATTATAGTCCAGGACTGCTATAGACGATATACCGAACAGAAACGCTGTCTTCGCGTTGTCCAAATTCTTAAAGAAGTTGGCAATAATTCGACCACCATTTGAATAAAAAATGAAATGTTTCGTAACTGCGAAAGAGTTTGGTTGGGCGTGGGCACCGACACTGACAGGAATGTCAAGTATTACGTGTCCTTCTTTGTCGAATAGGTATAAATCCTTTTGGAGAATGGCGAACTCCCATTTCGTTTCATTATATCCAGATGCTTGTAAAAGGAAGGTGGATTTGATCTGTTTAGTAAGAGCAAGCTTCCGCGCTTTGACTGATAGTCTCACATCGTCAAGAATTATTGAAAGAGTCGAACATTCATTCTTTGAATTGAATCCATAGATAATCGCTGTAGTTTTATTCAATTTTATGGCGCATATAACGATGCCTTCGTATTCGCAGTTGATTACAAGATCTACTTTTTCTTTTACGCGCCAGATTTTGATGCCAACTGAATCTACAACAATTAGAAAGATTCCATTTGATTCTAAGTCCCACCAAAATGCATTGACAAGTGTGCTGGTTGCATTTGCAGGTGATTGATAGTAGCAGCGCTTTGGTGGAGGAATATCATCTGAAATATTGATTTGTCTGTTTGAAAACGATATGGATTCGTTAATTTCATAGAGATTCATCGGATGCGCTCGCTCGACTATATGAGAAATTGGAAATATTTCGAAAGTTTTGTCTTTATAAAAAATTGCTATTGCTGAAATGTCGCAGGATATCCTTAGTTTGATTATTCCTTGTCTTTTCGTTTCTATCCTGCATGAAACAGGTACTTCTACAAGTGGAGACGTAACAAAAATATAAACCATGCTAACAGCAGTTGTAACGGCTGTAACGCTGATATTTCCATAAGCCATGCTGTCCATGAGTGTGAATTGGTCCGAGGAATTTTCGATCTTAGCGATCAAAAAATCCTCCAAAACATCCTTCAGCATGGCTGTCACTTTTTTCCCGTGAAATCGTCAAAATCTCTGTCAACTTCAACTTTGCATCCATATATGTGTTTGCCTTCAAAAAAGCTAAATTTGAATTTTGGCTCCTACGATTATGATATTCAAGAATAAAAATTATAAATTGCAATGATTCGTTTGAAAAAATCTGTTTGTTATGATGGACTTTAATTTTGATGAATGTATGATTATCATTCTTCCTTTATCATTGCTATTTTCTCAGCCCAATAGAAAATGAAAGGAAAGTATAAAAAATATATCAGGAGATTTCCAAAACGAGAGAAAACGAAAATCAGCCATAGTGTAATGGTTATCATGTAAGATTGTCGTTCTTTTGATCCGGGTTCGATTCCCGGTGGCTGAGATTTTTAGTTTCTTTTTTAGTTTTGATTTAAGCTCTTGCATCATTCAAAGATGAAAAGATAAGTAATAATCAAGCAGAAAAATCATTCTTACATATGTCATTGATACATGATTCATCCGCCAAACATTTACTCGTGGATCTTTGTTTTTAATACACTCTCACAAATAAGCCGTCGATGGTATGGCATGCTTGACGAAGTTTTGATAAAATGATTCACAGCTTTCGAAGCTCCCTTTTTTTCAGCAGGTTTGATATGTCCTCAACAAGTAAATCTTAGACTGTAACATCATAATTGCAATGAGTTGACCTAAAGCTAAAAAAGAAACTAAAAATCTCAGCCACCGGGAATCGAACCCGGATCAAAAGAACGACAATCTTACATGATAACCATTACACTATGGCTGATTTTCGTTTTCTCTCGTTTTGGAAATCTCCTGATATATTTTTTATACTTTCCTTTCATTTTCTATTGGGCTGAGAAAATACCAACGATAATCCAGCAATTTATAGATTAGTATTATAAGATATTACAAACAAAAATATAAAGTTAATTAATATAAATTACATAATAACATGGTTTATTTGAACAATTTATTAAGAATATCTTTGATAGCAGAATATAGTTCTTTTTCCTGTGGATTCTTTTCTGCTGCTTCCAGTGGTATATAAACACTACCATCCTGAAGATTTTGCAAATGTAAATATAATTTATTTGTAAAATCAACGAAAATGACCTTTCCGCCAGCAAAATTTGTTTGAACTACTCTATTATCCATTCTAAATAGTATACAATCCCCGTCCTTCTTCCAATATTTCACATTTGGAAGTAATTTCTTGGGATTGAGCTTATCTCGCTTTGGAATTTCGCATCTCGACTTCATTTCCTTTGCTGCCTTCAATATAAATGAAATTTGTACCTGTTTTTTATCAGCAGCTGTCATTGGAACAATAACAGGACGAACTTCATCAGTTGAAGCCCAGATTTGCATGAAGTCTTCATTAATATCCAAAATTATACGAGTTCCATCTGTAAAATTGGATCCGCAAGTGCCATCCAACATCAAATAAGCAAGATTTCCTTTTTTGTCAATCAAATATGACTGGACGGCATAAGTAGGCGCTGTATCCATATGCGCTGGATGCTTTACTTCTTTAGTTTCTTCTTTATCTGCAAGCTGTAGGAACGGATGTTTTAATAATTCTCTAATATTCGGTCTTAGGCTTGGTTTTACTTGTAATGCGCTTTCTATAAAATCTTTTGCTACAAAAGATAGTTGTATGTTCGGTGGAAAACGAAATTCGCCTGATACAATCAATTTCGACATATCTTTCATATTATTTGCTTCGAAAGGTGGATGTCCCGTAAGTAATTCGAACGTGCATATTCCTATGGCCCATATATCAACTTGGTAGCCGTATTGATGAAGGCCAATAACTTCTGGTCCCATGTACATAGGAGTACCAGCAAAAACGAAGTCTTTTTTCTTGCTATCACTAACTATCTCTGAAACACCAAAATCAATGATTTTGATGTCTCCATCGTCTGAAATCATAAAATTATCTAATTTAAGATCTCTATGAATAATATGATGATCATGACAGTATTTGACGCCAGAACAGACAGATTTGATGATCTTTGCCGCTTCTTTTTCAGATAATGCGCCTTTTCTCGAAAGATAATTTTTTACATTGCCTTTGAGGCATAATTCCATCAATATATACGTATTGTTCTCATCTTTGAAGTGATCATATGATTTAACAATGTTTTTGTGATCCATTTTTGATTGAATTTCGATTTCTGCGAAATGTTTAGCTTTAAAGTTCTCATTTTGAAGAGCCTCATGTGGTATTACTTTCAATGCAAATGATTTGTGATCACTTTCTCGGCGAACATGAAAAACTGAAGCGAAACCACCTTCTCCGAGTTCAGAAACGAAATCATATACATCAACTTCGCCATTCGACTTCATTCTTTGGAGATGGGAAGGAATGTTCAAGTCTCTTTGCATCTAAATTCGTTATAAATTTTTTTGGCTGACACTTTTTATTTTTCTTCAATCATTCAGTCCCACATAGTATCTCAAGTATAGATCTTCGAATGAATAAGATAAATAGAAGTAGTAGGCCCCAAATTTGAATTACTTGATCTTGTTTAGGAAAGTTACTAAGAGATTAAAAAGATTTATCAATTATTTTTAATCTTCATAATTTTTATCAAATAAGCATCATGTTATTGATTAGCCATTTTTACAGTTTTATTTTTTTGCAATGTATAATGGCCCAGTTAACTAAGTCATGTTATTTGAATTTGAAAATTAGTATTGAGTAAATGTTGATGATGTTTTTCGGTGTTGAGGATTGTCTTGTCTCCATATTTTCTTGCATTGAATTATACTGAATAAATAGAAGATGTTTATTTCTACAATAAAAATTTAAAGTGAAATATTATACTAAGCATATGGAACATGTAATATTGAATTGATGAATTATACTTCTTTTGGATGATAAAACATTGCGACGAATAATCAATTTTGTAGGTCGAAGATAGTGGTGTTAAAATCTTTTGAGAGATAGTATACAAAACAGAGATGTAGAATATGTGTATGCGAAATAAATATATAAATAATAATCGGGATAATTTCTCATAAAATTTTTCTTGATCGGTTTTATCAAATTTGTCAGATTAATGTCAGAGACAAAGATATATTAGGTGAACGGTAACTACTATAGTGATACAAGCATTTTGTTTCGAAAAGTGAGATAACATCGTCCTTCCTTTTTTTCATTGAACGAATAATTTTTATCATTATTGTATACTGATTGTATTCATAAAAGTCCGATACAAAAAGAATTGAAATAAATTTGAAAGGGACAATTTCTGAAAATTTATAATGATTTTTCAACTTTTCGTGTTTTCTAACTCTTTTTTGCAAAACATCTTTTCTAGAAGTGGACACCGAACAGCTGACAGTCATAAGTCTTTTCAAATCAATTCAGATTCGACACGTCTTAGTTTTGAAGATGAAGGGTGGAAAAACATTCGAGTAAAATACGATTTTGATTACCTCACTGGTGTTAAACGCCATAAAGATTCATGTTATGAAGTAGGGCAGATTGTGGATGGTAAAGAGTGTAAAAAAGAAAATTTAGTTCAAAATTATAACTATACAAACTTCAATAAGACGTTGAAGAATCTCAAAAACTTCCTTGAAAGTTTTCTTTTTGTAATACCTGATGAAAATAATGATTTTGATCTCAAAATATCAATAAATATCCTAGAATTGACACTACTTTCTTATGAGAGATTTGTGTTTACAGATGTGAAAAAATGGTACAATTATTCAAGGCCCACCTAGATAAGTATTATAATATATGGTGAGGTCTTCAGAGAATATTTTTTAAATCCTGAATCAGGATTATATCAAAATAATGCAGTCGCAATGAAAATCATGTTGCAAGCAATTTTACATGAATTAGTGATCAATCTTGGGTCAAAATACGATGGCAGACAATTTTGTAGAATGACTAAATATGGAAGAGAATTTACTATATTAACCACGAAATATGCTCATATATTTGCCAAAAAACACTACGGAGTAGATGTTTTTGAAGGTGACGATAAAAATTGTCCATCTGGTATTGAAGTTGATGCTGAGTCTGATTATTCACGTACAATTGATAAAAGATTACTACGCACAAGACTATTTTATTCAGATATAGGTACCTATAATTTTTTTGGATTGAAAGATAGAGCAGATTTTCATCGTGTAACAGATGCAACAATGGCTCTTCTTCAGGATTCAGGAAACTTTATGTGTAACTGGTCAATGGCAAGTCCTCTTGTTTGGGGAAATCCTGAATCAGAACTTGGGGGAAAGTTTATAAAAGATTTTGCAATTGGTCCTCCTAAATTAGTTTTCCCTAAAGGATATGAGTTTAAAGATAGTAATTATTTCAAGTTTACGCATTATGATTATAAAATGGGTAGTAGATTTGAACCACCTCAAATGAAAGCAAATCTTGATTGCACAAATGATACTTCTTACTACTGCAGAGGATTTAAATTTTACAATCCATTTAATGAGTCATATATATCTATGTTTCGTGAAAATGATCATGTTGATTTTATATCTGCTCCACAAGTTGTTTGTCCAAAAGGAATGGCATTGCTACCTGGAAATAATAGCCCACAAATTTCAATAAGGGAATGTGGCTATTATAAATGCAACAAATATGATAGCTTCACTTATTACATTCCAAATTCGGCCTACATTAATTTCAAGCCACTAAACATTACTTGCAATAAGACAAATATTGGACAAAAGTTTTATTTTGTACTATATACAATAATGGTTGGTTATTGGCAATATTCTGAAAGAGATTTAATCTGTCCTGATCCAGAACTATTCTGCAGAAGAGTTAAGTTATATGATATGAATTTTGTTAGAGATCCTTCTGATCTTGAATCAAAGCAACTTGATGATCCATATGCAAACACTACAGATAATGTTAGTGATAAGGCTGCGGGAAATTCAACTGAATCTCGAAGTCAAATTGGAAAAGCATTATCTTGGGCTGTTTTAAGCGTGACAATTGTTACAATTTTTGTCATAACTGGCTTCATTATTTACTATAAAAAGAAAGATTTAAAGGATGATACATCAGCAGACGCACGAACAACTTGCGAAAAATCATTTATTTGATTTAATTATTTTTCCTCGATTAAAAATCTAAACAATCAATAGCATTTGAATTTGGTAATTTTTGATATCGAAAGTTACATGATTTAAAAGTAATATAATTTGATATTAAACATAATTATATATTTTTTGTGTCTTGACTTCAAAGTTTGTAAGAAATTAAATGTTTTTACGAGAAAATTTTGACAATGGGTTTGCTAAATGATAATTCATTTATTTTCTTTGTTTCAATAAATAATGTATATAATGGCTATTGGATTCAAAAAGTGACACACATATACTCATTGGGCACAATATCCCTAAAACTGGTTCTTCCACACAATTCGAATCATTGAATAACATTTGATATGGAAAAAAAAAACATTTTATCATTTTGCGCGTTGTGGAGGCTCCTTATGGTTCGGGCGGAACCCATATATACCATATTTATTAAGCGCCCACCATTTCCTGTATAAAATAATGTAATAAAATATATTAAAAAAATAAATGTTTAAAATATATATATTTCAAAAAAAGATTCAGTGTATAAAGTTTACCAGAAGTTACCATTCCAGTAGAATTTCTTATCATTATCCGCAGAATTGTTATTATTTGATCCTTCGAATCCAGTGTTATTGTTCTGACCTGTGAAGAATCCTGATTCCTCGGCATTATTATCATCGAATGGATTTCCTGTTTCGTCTTCGTTCTGGAACTGGTAAACTTTCATTGCGTTTGGATTTGTCATCAATTCATCGAATGTTGGTTTGAGGATGTCTGGTGTTGTTTCTGATTCAGAAGCTTCTCCTGCAAATGGACCATACGTTGTCACATTCAGTTTATCGCCAACAGGTGTCAAGAAGATAATGATCAAAATGATAATGACAATAAATACAAGGCAAGCGATAACGATACCAATAATTAAACCGATGTTCTTCTTCTTATCGCTTGACAAACTGAATTGTGATGCTTCAACGTTTTCTCCTTCTTCAGAAACTAATTGTACATTGCCATTAACTTGTACTGATGCATCTGTTGAGTTGTAATTAATTGTAAGTTCTACTTTATCATCAGCATTTGTTACATTGATAATTGTTGTTGTTCCATCTTCAATTTTAACACCGATTGGACTTGTTGTCATTCCTGTTCCATCGATGTTTACTTTTAATTGTATTCTCTTGTTATTGTTCTCGAGGTAAACCTTGTTATTGTTCTCAGTGAAGTCACTCAATGCTGTGATCAAATCATCATTGTTGTATATGGATACTGATGATACATTTGCATCAACGTTGTTGTATGTTGTATCAGCTGGAATGTAGATCTTTGATTCAAGAGTATTTGCCATGTTAAGTTTCTTGACATCTGTTGCAGCGATTTTGATCTTACTGCCACTCATAATGAGTAATTTAGATGTCTCTTGTTGAGGCTTCAAATTGACAATATCGGTGGTCTGTAAAATTAAGGGGGTATTACCTTCAATTGTGAGGGTTGACGGTTTTGTAAACAATGCTGTCATTGTTGGGTTTGAATCTTCAAGAATGTATCTCAAAGAAGACTCACTAGCTGAAACAGTGATTGTTGTAGGGCTGTTCAACTTGTACTCGGTGACAGATGATGAGAAAGGAACATCCAATTTGGAATGTGGTACGTGGAATTTTGATGCTTTGATTTCAACTCTTGGAATTGAGTATCCGAACCATATTCTCTTGTATGAGATTGATGGAACAGATGATGGTTCTCTTGTGTGGTCGAAAACTTCGAACAAGTCACTAGCGGTTACTGTTGATGTCTTTTCTAATGAGACAATGTCGGAGTGGATATCTGTTGCAGACAATGTGATTTCGGAAGCTGTTGAAGACAATGTGACATTGTCTAAGTAGATTGTCTCGCAGGAAAGAGCGTGTGTAGAGGATGTTGTCTGGAGAGATAAAATGAAATCTGTGAAGAGAAGCTTGGAGTATGTATCTGGTAATGTAACTTTAGCTGTGATAGCGTTGTTGTCGCAGCCAGTGATGTTTATCTCGTATCCAGTGAACTTGGCAAGATTTAATGTAGCTGTGCCAACGCCTGCGACGTAGATGAGAAGTCTGGTGTCAGAAGAAATTGAGATTGATTTGACATAGTTCTCAACTTCGCCAAGGACAACTGTTGTGACTCCAGCTGGACAGTACTTGGAGACACCGCCATAGGCGCAGAAAACTGCATTACCTTCGATTGGAGCAGGGGATGGAGATGGGGTTGTAATTGGAAGTGGAGTTGGATATGGTGATCTAGCTGGAGTTGATGCAGGAGTCGATTTGGGTGTTGATTCAGGTGTTGGTATGTATATGAATTCTGATGAAGATGAAGATGAAGTAGATTCTGTTGACTCACTTTCTGAGGAAGTGGAAGTGGAAATTGATGTTTCACTCTCTGAGGAAGTGGAAGTGGAAATTGATGTTTCACTCTCTGAGGAAGTGGAAGTGGAAATTGATGTTTCACTTTCTGAGGAAGTGGAAGTGGAGATTGATGACTCACTCTCTGAGGAAGTGGAAGTGGAGATTGATGACTCACTCTCTGAACTTGTTGAGGTAGAGATTGATGACTCACTCTCTGAGGAAGTGGAAGTGGAGATTGATGTTTCACTTTCTGAACTTGTTGAGGTGGAGATTGATGTTTCACTTTCTGAGGAAGTGGAAGTGGAGATTGATGACTCACTTTCTGAGGAAGTGGAAGTGGAGATTGATGACTCACTCTCTGAGCTTGTTGAGGTGGAGATTGATGACTCACTCTCTGAACTTGTTGAGGTGGAGATTGATAACTCACTCTCTGAGGAAGTGGAAGTGGAAATTGATGAAGATGTTGTTTCACTCTCTGTAGGGGATGAAGATGAGGTAGTTTCACTCTCTGTAGATGTTGATGATGAGGTAGTTTCTCTCTCTGTAGAGGATGAGGATGAAGTTGTTTCACTTTCTGTAGAGGATGAGGATGAAGTTGTTTCACTCTCTGTAGAGGATGAGGATGAGGTAGTTTCACTCTCTGTAGATGTTGATGATGAGGTAGTTTCACTCTCTGTAGAGGATGAGGATGAAGTTGTTTCACTTTCTGTAGAGGATGAGGATGAAGTTGTTTCACTTTCTGTAGAGGATGATGATGAGGTAGTTTCACTCTCTGTAGATGTTGATGAAGATGAAGTTGTTTCACTCTCTGTAGATGTTGATGAGGAAGTTGTTTCACTTTCTGTAGAGGATGAGGATGAGGTAGTTTCACTCTCTGTAGAGGATGATGATGAAGTTGTTTCACTCTCTGTAGAGGATGATGATGAAGTTGTTTCACTCTCTGTAGAGGATGATGATGAGGTAGTTTCACTCTCTGTAGAGGATGAGGATGAAGTTGTTTCACTTTCTGTAGAGGATGAGGATGAAGTTGTTTCACTCTCTGTAGATGAAGATGAGGTAGTTTCACTTTCCGATGAAGAGGAGGAGGAAGATGATGATTCGCTTTCTGAGCTTGATGAAGAAGATGAAGAGGAATCTTCACTTGATGAACTTGATGAAGATGATGTATCAGCTTTTGCATCTCCTTCTTCTAAGAGTTCAATTCGAGGTAATTCAACTTCAACATTCGTAATTAATTGATTAATATTTCGATTTATTAAAGTTTTGTTGATGTTATCTGAAACGTAATTTATCTGTTTGTCGGCTTCATTTGAAATTATATTTGATTCGGATTTTAGGGAGTTTGTATTTCTAACACTATCTAAAGCTTCATTTGATTGAATATTGCTAGATGGCTTCTTATCATGCTTTAAAAAGCCAAATAAGGATATAGAAGCAATTAGAAACAGCATATGAATTTGACTGAATCTTCAAAATTGTTTATTTTGCAAAAACATGTATTTCAAATACATATGAAAATAAATGAAACTTATATTTTCCATATTGTATCAACTTGTAAACTACCATTAACGGAAAAATAATTGTAAAGAATTCAAAACGATATTTTTTGATATTTATCTTACAATATAGCATTAGTGTAAATGCATTATTTTTCCTCAAACTATTCAATTTTTCAAACATTTCAAAATTATAAAACATGGTATGCATAATATTGTTTTTTTATAAATATATATAAATTTATTCTGAAAAACTCCAAACTAAAGTCAAAATCTGATATTTTTAATATGGCAAATGCAATTAATTGTATATGCTCAAAAAAACTGCTTTTTGAGATTTGATTATGTCTCGTAATGTAAACTTAGCAAAAACCTTATTCTATCGTTCAGGGTTATTAAATAAATGATTATTCATTTAGATATAAACCTACTTCGGTTGAATATACCAAATGATGAAAATTTTAAATGATAAAATTTCATGATTTTAATTCGTTGAATTGTTGATTATCAGTTGTATATTAGATTTTATTCCTCACAAACTTATGATATTTACGTAGTCCGAATGTTGAAATTCAATATGTGAAAATTGAATTTCATCAAAATATAAAATCAATGGGTAATCCTATTTGTACAGAAATAAAATAAATAGATCAAAACCGAAATTAATATTTTGGTTTCATAAAATGGAATTTAGTGAAAATAATATTGCCAGCGCATTTTTGGAAAATCTTCAATTCCCTGCAATATGGAAATATCAACTTCATATAATGAAAAATTCGAAGGAAGAAGCCACTAAAACTCAAGTTTATGTAGCATTAAAATCATATCTTGCTTCAATCGGCAATATTTCGCATTTATCTTTCATTGAAAGATTATATGAAGGAAATTATCGCGGTCCACTTATAAATCGCAATCTTGAAGAAGAAAATGATCTTGAAACAAAAAGTCTTCGAAGAGAAGTTGACATTTACCGCTTAAAAGAGAAAGAAGTTGATTACTCTGTAACAGCTTCCGCACAAACACGACAACTTAGATTTTGGAATGCAATTCAGAGCTATAAACGCGATATTAGAATCCGAAGTAGTGCAAGTTCCTCAGATAAGTATTATGAACAAAGAGCAGTATTGCATATGATACTTGGGGAATTTAGGAAATCATATGTTCTCGCTAAAAAAGCAAATAATTATGAATTAATGACAGTTTTATCATTTATGAATTCCGAATTTAGAAATATAATCGAAATACTAGATGATGTTATCATGCAAATCGAAAATACACCTATTACAGTTGTTACTCATATGGAGTTATTTTATATCATCGGATTCTCTTTTCTGGCTTCATGGGATCTCAAGAAAGATGACAACGAACTATTTGAAGAGTTTATGAGCTGCTTAGAAGACGAAAAAGACAAACCACTTCGAGATTTAATGATGAATTTCAAGAATCATCAGTACAAAGCTGTTATTGAAGGTTTTAACTCTATGTCGCCTATGGGTTATATTTCCATGTATATGCAACCATCTTTTTCACGTCTTAAGAATGAGATAAATAAGAACATTGTTTCCCATCTTTTATCATCCTATGTTAGTATGGCAGTATCCGAAATTAAAGAAAATACTGGCATTTCTGCAATTGAATTACCTGAAATTATATGTGAATGTATTTCTACAAATAAATTAAGTGGGAAATATGATTATGTTGAAAGAAAATTCCAAGCATCGCAAAACGATGAAATTATTGAAGAGCAAGAAATAATTGACAATTCCATCATTGTTAAGTCGATGATTGAAGTCGGATACTGGAAATCTGAATTGTTTGAAAGAATGAGGAAGGTAATTAATAGCAAAGAAGTCGAAAATTAAATTGTTTTTTATAAATTTTTGTTTTTAAAAACTAATTATGCTTATAACATTACTAATATTTTTAAAAGTGATGTATTTTCACTAACTTTTCATTTGCTCTTATTATTAACAAGTAATGACTCAGCCACGCGTGTTGGTTGATAGCTAAAATGACAATATAGATTTAAGTAATAGCATATTAATTGAAATATAAAAATTCTAAAATTGATAAGATATTTCCCCAAATTTAATAAATATATGATATTTCGATTTATATGACGAAATTTATACATATGTCATATTAAATATTGTCAGAATCATTCATTATGTCATGAAATCATTCAACGTGATTTTCAATTCAAAATAATCGTTTTGGGTTCAAATAATGGTATGCATAGAGAATATAAAATAGTAAACAAATCCTCGATTTTTTGCAAAATTTTTGCACACTTCACAATGTCCTATTGAATTGAGAAGCATTGAATTATTATTTTGCATTATTACATTGGATATAGTCTATATATTCCTTTATCATTTGAATTATCTCTGAATTTTATTTTTAAACGTGCACTATCTAAATTTAAACGGCCACTTTTTTATTTATCAATATGATTGATATCATTCATATCTAAAATTGATTTGATATTGAAATTTCATATGATTTTGAAATTTTCTCAATTTTTCTAATGCTAATGGCCCCATTTCTAAAGATCATCTAGATCTTTCATTTCTGCAAAGTTTCATCAGTATATCCATCACGGTTGCCCTAAGATGATTTTCCTGATTGTTTGATATCTCCGTATAAAATTTCAAAAATTTATCATTTATTTTACAATACACTCATTTAACTTTTCTTACCATGACCTCTAAGGTCTAAGCACATTACAATTTCTGTTGTTTTTACGTTTTTCTTATAATATATTTTATTTTAATAATTAAATGCTAAAGGCATGCATATTATATTTTAAACATGCATTTTACTAAACTCTGATAATATTAAACAAATCTAAATACCAGATCGTTATATTTTGAAATTATATTTATATTATTATATAACAACATGAAAATGCTAAACTAGTCGATAATTGAAAATATAGAATAATAAATGTCTTTCTTTGCTTTAATTCTATTAAGAGCATACAATACTCTTGTTTTCGTTCTTATACCTCTCAGAATTTTCCCAGATTGCGTTCAATAACTCAGATTTGGAAAAAGTAGCATAGCGAATGTATGCATAAAGAATTTTATTAGTCCAGATGATATTAAAATATCTTTTTTCACCAATTTCACTAAATACCCTCCGTTTGATAGTAAATGTGATTAAAAGTTTAACATATATCTATCCAATGTATTTAAAGAGTAATTAAAAGTCTGTGGGTCTAACATTTCAAAAAAAGTGAAAAAAAAATCTGAAAATTAGCTTTTTATTGAGAAATTTTATTCAGAAATATGTAACTTTATTAATCTAATTGCAAAATAATATTTTTCCATACTTTGACTGAAAAAAATGCCAGCCTAAAATGTCTGTCGTTGATAACAATGATGATCTTTTTAAGCTTATTGATAAAGAAGATTTAGAATCCATTAAAGAATTAAAAGAAGTTGAATATTCAATGTCAATACCAAATGAAAAAGGAATTAACGCATTTCAATATGCATGTATTAAAGGTGCATTCAAGATCTTTGAATATTTCGTAGAAGAAAATCGATACATATGCCGATCTGTAGATAAGTATGGCAACAACCCTGCAATTTTAGCAGCACTAGCAAATTCGGAAGATGGCAATAGAATTATCGAGTATTTAGTTCAAAACAAGAATATAGATATCACAGCAAAAAACAGCATGAATTTGTCATTACTACACGTTTGCTGCATTAATGATTGCAATAAAACTTTAGAATTTTTGCTCGCAAAATACTCTGAAAAGCTTGATTTTAATGACGATAATAACTTACTTCGATTCTCACCGATTGATTGCGCAAAGCAGAATAATTCAACTAAAGTTATTCAGATTCTTAAGGAAAAAAGAATTATTTCTCCAAACTATCAGATCGGTACTGTTGCACCTGTTCAATCTTCTCCAAATGATAATAGATTAGAACTATTGCAAGCAAGAATAAAAAGATTACAAGAAGAAAACGAGAATCTACAAGAAGAAAACGAAAGTTTACGTAATGAAAAGAATAATATTACTAAGCAGCATGAAGTCGAAAGAAATAACATCGAAAAGCAAATTGAAGATTTACGAAAGGAAAATAATCCAAATCAATATAAAGAGCAAATCACAGCTTTAACAAATCAAATTGCAAATCTAGAAATGCAAAAGAAATTAGAACAATCAGAAATGACAAGCAAATTTAATAGTGTTCAATCACAAAATTCAAGCAAAATAATAGAACTTGAAAGTGAAATACAAACATTGAAAAATAATTTGATCAGAAATTCAAATCAAATTAAAAATTACCAAAACTCTTTTCGTTTATATAAGCAACGATCAGAGGAACAACTCAAGGTTAAAGACAAGGAATTGGAACGAAAGGATAATAAAATTAAGGAAAAAGAAACCATAACTCAGCAAAATAGTCAAGATCAATTTGAACTTTCACAAAGAATATCTGATCTTCAGACTAAAATAACAGAGATAGAGAAGCAAAAGAAAGATTTGGATACAATTTTGAAACAAGAAAAAGAAAAGTCAGAAAGACAAAAGAATGAATTTGATGCCGCTATGAAACAAGAAAAAGACAAGTTTGAAAAGCAAATATCCGCTCTGTTGCAAGAATTGGAGAAACTAAAACGAAATTCTGAAAATATATCAAGCAACAACGCAGATTTTGAGGAAAAAATCAGGCAGTGTTCAGAAGAAAATCAAAAATTGAATTTCCAATTGAAACAAGAAAGAGAAAATTCTAAAAAATTACAAAACCAACTTTCAGTTTTAACAACAGAAACCGGACAATCTAATTTACTTCAGTCAGAAGTTAATAATCTAAATAATAAAATTCAAGCATTGGAAAGCGAAAAGAAAAGTTACTCCACACAATTAGAAAGTTTAAATGATGTTAATATATCAATAGTGAACAAACTTTCTGATAAAGAAAAAGAAGTTAATGGTCTAACGGAACTTTTAGAAAGCGAAAAAAATAAAAATGCTGAACTGCAAAATAAACTGGATAAGACTGAAGAAAGACGCAAAAAATCCTTTGCTTTAAATAAAAGGTTTAAACAGCTATATCAAGAATATCAATCCAAAATTGCATCAATGGAAGAAAATATCAAAAGCTTAGAGTCTACAATAGCATCGCAAAAGACAGAAATAACTAAAATAAATAAACAAGTTCGAATACAAAAGAAATATACTGATCCTAACATTACAAATGAAATGGAAAAAATTAAGGAAGAAAACAGAAATTTGATTTCTATCAATCGACAATTGGTAACAGAAAATAAACATCTCCGTCAAAATTTATTGAAGGAAAAATCGAGAGTTGAAGATTCGCAAATCAACACTTCAAAAACTGAACGAGAATCACCAAGCGATTACAATCGAACTAATTCAACTTATCCGCGAAGACACAAGACGGATGCTTCTAGTTCATCTTCACCATCTTCTACGCCAAGGCAATCATATACTAATTCTCGTTCTTCATCATCTTCTTCTACAACAAGGCGACAATCTACTGATTCTCATAATGAGCAAGCGCTTGATGGCTTTGGTACAATCAGAAGGCCACCATGGCGTGGCAATGGAAACATTCAATTTTCACGTGTAATTTATGACACAAACAGTAATAGCGGAACTGGCGCCGTTGTCGAATGTAAGCGAAATCGAAATACAAGAAAATAATGTTAATTTTAAAATAAATATATCTTTTACAATTTATTTTCTTCAAAATAAAATAAAAAAAAAAAACAATTTAATATCTCCATTTGTTATTCCAAACCATAAATTCAAAATCTGGTGTTGTTAGAGCATAAACCCATGGACACCAAAGGAAGAAACCGAATATTGCTAAAAAGCATATCAAAGTAAGAAGAAATCCAGTAAATGCAGGTGAAAACTGCCTTTCTATAAGAATTACAAGCTCGTAGATACCAAACATAAGAGGTATTGCGTAGTGGTAAAGGAAACAGTCCCTTGGAATTAATGCAAATGGAAGAAAAGAGAAAAGATAACCTAATAACATGTCCAAACCCTCTGCATCCAGTGTATTGAAGAACTTTGCAATAAGAGAACCTATTATCGATCCGAAAACTGGCCACCAAATAAGGACATTCCCCATGCAAATTAAATGTTTTCCATTTTCGGTCCAAAAGAGGACCCAGCGGCCTGTAAATAGCGGCCATTGGTACCACTTTGATGCGTATGGGTGTCCATATCCTACATTGAAGTTTGAGAACTGCATATAAAGTATTAAACTTATTATTCTGAAAATCATTGGCTTTGCTTTGTTCCTGAGCTCCCAATCTGGGTTCATTTTGTCTATAAGACTTTCATTGATGCATTTCGGAATCAAAACGTTTGGATTTTCAGGATAATATGGTAAAGAAGATAAATGAATCGCAAAAATAGCGAAATGAACGAATGCAACAGTATAAACAATAATTACAGTACGGATTATTTTGAATTCAATGTCATCTTTTAATAAAAACTGTTTTGCAATAGCTAAGAGGACAATTCCTCCAGAAGTATATTTGCATGACGCTACTAATCCTAATGAAGTACACATGAAAAGAAATGAAACCCAATTTTCGTATCTATCGTGAATATAAATCGAAAGAATGGATAACATGGAAAAGAAATGTAAAATAGAGTCTGTTAGGATATGTCGAGCTTCTATAATGTATGTTAGTTCGCATGCAATGCATGTTGCCGCTCCAAAAGATGTAAAATGTCCGCAGTTCATTGCACGAGCTGCTAAATACGCCATCGGAACGCATGCTGCACCAAAAAATATTGGTGTCAGTCTTAAAGCGACGTATGTCATAGAAGGATATTTTTGGCCATTTAATTTTTCGAAACTGTAATCTCCTTTATATCCAGCAAAAGAAGCAACTGATGCCATGATTAATTTAGCTAATGGTGGATGAATATCGTGAAAATATTGACCTCTTAAATACCAATTTGTGAAATTTCCAAAATGAACTTCATCAAATACAACTGTGTTTGGTGCTTGTACTCTAAAAACGCGTGTAAGCATTCCTATTGCTGTGAATAATAAAACTAAAATTGCATCTGTTGAATCTAAGTCGAAAGACTTTGTATTTCGCTTTGGAATTACTTGACTTAACACTTGCTTGAGTTTATTAAACCCTCGTTGGTTTTGTATTCCCGAAGAATGTGGGAGTGACTCAATATCGCTTGAGTCACTCATTTAAAATTCAAAAATCTCAATAATAAAGAAGATTTGGATAATATAAATATGATAAAATTTTAATATTAATCAAAATAATGCAAATGTACAATGAAATTTCGGACTATTGTTCTGGATGCTGAAATCAATGTTCTTAGTATATGCTTGTTGAGGAATCTCTCTACTAATCTTGTATAAGTATGTTCATTTTTGACACTAACATTTTTCGTTTATGCATTTTCGCAATTTTTATATCAAAATATACACAGATAAATCAATATTGATATCACAGATTCATTACACATGTTTAATTATAGCTATTATATCTTCAAAAGGATCTGAATAACATAAGGCTATTTCCCGTTCATTTTTGATTTTTTGAGAAGTTTACATTCTTCGTTTTTTTCTCTATCGAAAATGAGAAGGTATTCTTGCTTGTACCCGAAAGGCACATATCAGTACAAGCAATTTTACTATAGAGGAGGCAATAACTATAGTGAGCAAGAATACATTCAGAAAAAATCGATCGACGCAATTCAGGAATTTAAAACAGCCAAAAAGGATTTAAATCAATCGAAAAACGAATATTCCACAACTGATACTACTTTAGGAGAAACTAATACATATTTATCGATGCTTTCTCAGTATTTGGGCGGTGAATCAAGTAATGCTTACATAGCAATGGACTTAGCCAAAAGAGTTGAATACCTGATGAATGAGCTTGATAAAACTGATAAGGAACTTGAAGAAGCGAAAGCCAGCGTCGCTCCTAGCATTTATCTACCGCTTAGTAATGAAAAAGCTCAATACACAACTAAATTTAGTCTACTCAATGAGCAATGCAGTCAATCTCTTGGTCGCGAAAAGCAAAGCATGCAAAACATCGCAAATATTTTAATATCCCAAAAATACTCTTATTCTATTGATGTTCTTGCTGAATACGATGTTGCTGCGAAATGTGATCAATACTTAGTAAATTTAAACAATCAGAAATTCGGAGATGTAAATCTTCTTCAACCGGAAACGCAAGCAAACGAACTTCTCAAGCAAACAACAGCAATTAGTAGTGATTTACAGAAATACTCAACTCAGCATGAAAAGAAAGTCGAATCCGATATAAATAACAAACTTTCGAAATTACATGAGCAAAATGTCATTCAAACATTAATAAAACAGCTCGAAGACTTCAAGAAATACTGCAAAGGTACTGTTGATATTGAAAAAGTTACTGAATACATGGAATCTGATCAAGAAGAAGATCCAAATTTAGATTTAAGTCAATTCTTCAAGGATGATGAAGAAAATGATGAAGAGGAAGAAAGTGAAGAACAAAAATATAAGTCTAAGCGCACAATTTTGAAATATCGTCTGATTCCGATGTCAAATTTCAGAATTAGAGCTAAAGTATTCGAAAAAAGGAACAAAAAGTCATCAAATGAAGGAGATGATGATGAATACGAGATCGATGAGAATGGAAATAGAATCAGAAAGAAGAAATCAAGAACAAAATCGAGAGATCTGAAACCATCAGGAAATGATTTGTGGGGAGAAGAATTTCCATTCAAAGTCCAAGTTGGAGAAGATGGAAAAGTCGTCCACACAAGAAAGAAAGCAAATCCTTTGTCTCTGAGAAGGTTTGTTACTAAACAAATGAGTCCTTTGTTCCAAAGAATTTCGCACAAAGATGTTTTGTCTGATGACGAATACGACGACATAGTTGAGGATACAAGAAAAGAACTTGAGAAGGCAAATGACTCAATTTTAGCAAAAGACCCTCAAGTAGAGGATTAAAATTATTTGTTTATATAAATTATATATGTAAATATAATTAGAGTGTCCAGAAAAAACGGTTGGCGGCAAGAAAAAGCAGTTGGTAAGCATAAAAGAGCCAGAATTAGGGCAAAAAAAGTTATGTATTCATATTGTTATGGAATTCATATTATATATTTAATTTTAGATTCCATAAAAATGATACTCAGCTGGAAATACAAAAATTTTTTGTCAGATTTTTTACAACAAAAAAATATATTTTTAAACGTAAGCGAAAAGCTTTCAAATAATCTCTTGATATATTCTACATATATATTCTATATACATCATATTTATATTATTAATTTCCCATAAAACTGCGTGCCAACTGTTTTTTCCAGTGCCAAGGGGTTTTTCCAGACCCTCTATTAAATTTTTTTTTGAGTTCTGTTGTTGTTGATACATTATTGAAATATGCTAATATGATGCTAACAATTATCATAAATAATAGTTTAAATGAATGAGAGAAAAAAAATAGACATAAAGACTTTATATTTATATGACAAATACTAGCAATTTGCTTGACTATTATATGCGATTATTCAAATTTTGTCTTTCTAGATTTCACCAGAAACAAATAGCTGTTGATCTAAGCTTTTGGTTAATTGTAAATATTTACATTTGTAAATATATTTGAAATGATTATGAATGATATTGATACATCTGAACACATGTTAATTGATCAAAGAATGATTTCGAATGAAAATATATTTGTGTAAATGAAATTTTTCGAGAAAACATGGAAAATAATTCTTCGATTTCATATTAACATCTTTTTGATGTCATTTAAGTTTAGACGCCTTGCAATATCTAATGGAGTTTCTTTCTCATTATTTTTGATCTTCTTATTAATGCCTGAGTAATTGCATAGATATTTGCAAATTTCATATTCTTCATTCAGAATTGCCAAATGAAGCGGAGTGTTTCCATCTTTATCTTGTTTGTTAATATCATGTTCATATTTCATAAAATATTTTAAGGCATCACAATATCCATTCTCGGCAAAAATATGGATTAGAGTATCTTCACAAATATCCCATTGATAAATATTTGCTCCACATTCTACAAAATCTTTTGTTAGTTGGATATTTCCTCTACAAGCTGATGTTAAATAAATACTATGATTTCCCATTTTTGGCTGTAAAGTTGAGGAAAGTTCGGAATGATAATAAAGAATTGTTGCTAAATCTCTTTGATCTGAAGCTTCTTTAATCAGATTATAAACATCATCAAATTTTGATTCATCTAATGCCATATTATTAATTTCTATTATTTTAGGTAAATGTCGACCAATGAGATCAATAAGATTTTGGTTTTTTAACTTTTTTAACATTAATGCATATTTTGTTATAAGGTATGTTAAATCTCTTAATTCTCTAATATCTTTTTGAAGTTTTTTGTTTTCAATCTCTAAGCTTTTACTTTTTCCTTCATTTAAACTATTTGATTTCTCCAAACTGCTAATTTTCTTAATTAATTCTGTTTTATCCGATTGAATTTTTGCAATTTCTTTCCTTTTTTCTGAATCTTGATATTATCTTTTTCTCTTCTTATTAATTTATCCTTTATGTTTGCGTTTTCCAAGCTAATCTGTGTATTTTCTCTCCTCAATTTTGTTATTTCATTGCATTGGCATGTGTTATCATTTTTGAGTTGCTCTTTTTCTTTTTTCAATTTTTCTATTTTTTCTTTATGATTTGAGTTAAAATTTTTGAGTTGTGTTGTTTCAGCTCTCATATTAGCCAATTCATCATCAATGCTCTTTTTTTCCAAGCTTAGTTGTATATTTTCTCTCTTCAATTTTGTTATTTCATCGCTCTGACTTGAGTTAATATTTTTTAGTTGTTCTTTTTCAATTTTCAACTTTTCAATTTTTTCTTTTAGAATTGAACAATCCTTTAAAAGTTGCTTTTTTTCAATTCTCATATTAGCCAGTTCATCACCAATGCTCTTTTTTTCTATGCATAAATGATTATTTCTTCTCCTCAATTTTGTTATTTCATCACTTTGTTTTGAGTTATCTTCTTTAAGTTGCATATTTTCCACTTTAAGATTAGTTAAATCATTGAATGTTGTAGTATATTTTTCTTGTAACGTTGTAATTTTGTCTTTTAATTCTTTAATTTCTTGTTCCTTATCTTCAATTCCATCTTGAAATGTCTTGAATTTTGTGATAATTAATGATTGAATATTTTTCTTTAAATCTTTGTCATCTATTATTGAAAATGTCTTGAGCGATTCATAAATATCTTCAATTTCAATGTATTTGGCATTGAGATTAGATAGAATATCAATAAATGAATGGTCTTTATTGACAATAGAAAATATTAAATCATTTGAACTAATGTTACAATATTTGAAATGAGTCATTAATCGTTCTGCAAAATCAAAGCCTGCCACAATAACAGAATCTCTGAGGTCATCTGTATCAATAGAATTAATCTTTTGGCATATAAAGGCAAATATCTTGCTGTCATATCCAATGTACTTACTGAATTTGATCGTTCTATGTATGTTTTCTAAAGTGAGTTCTCTTTTTTCGAATCTATCAATATAAATAGACATCAGCAAATCGCTTTTTAATTTCTTTCCAAGCTCCAGGAAGTCAAGGACAACACTATCTTTTATATTTTTAGGTATTTGTAATTGAAAAATCTCTTCAAGAACTATATATGTTTTTGATTCTTTTACTTGAGCTTTGAATCTTATTTCTTCCTGGCATTTATTTAAAAGATATTGATCTTTCACAAAATTGAAAATCGCCCCTGCAATGTTAGTAAAAGTATTATACATATGATCATTAATGAATACTCTAATTGGATTTGCACCATGCATTTGCTGAAATGCAGCTACTTTAGCAATGGTTTTAGTGATGATATCAGTCATGTTGAATAATGAATGTTTTTGGATTTTTTATAATATTGAAATTTTGTTTGTGGTATTTGTGGAAATTGTTAACACATACAAAAAGTTTAAAACTTGAACTGTTTGGTTGACAACTTTAAAATATGTTTTCTAGCTTATTTTTACATTGAGCTTTTAATGTTTGTCAGCAATTGTGATTTTTTGTAAATTTACCACTTTTTATTGTAATAAAGAGAGAAATCGAATTTTTAATCAATTCTAAAAAAGTGAACTGAGTTTTATAGTTTACCTTCTTTTGTGGGGATATCAAAAAAAGTCCACTCAACGTTTCTTATTTTTTGGAGCTTAAGAATAATAATACCATGTCTCGGTAAATGAATGTTTTATGATTTGAAACCTCCTTTGCATTGATATGGCATAATGCAATCACAAAATCTAAATTGAGAGGTCCTCAATGAATCCTTTGTAAATAGCACTGATTAGTTTATCACATATATAAACAATTCATTGCTTTATAGATGGATTAAAAAATATATATTTTATATTGATAAATTTATGCATATTGGATTCATAAATAGTTTTTCAAGTTCAAAGTTATTGCTAAGTTTGGCTTTTTGAAGGTATATAGACGGATTTTTAATCAAGAATGATAAAACTACGGTGACCTAGAATATTTCTGATGGAATAATGCATACTCTCGAAAATAAAGCTTAAAATATCTTGAAAATATATTAAAAACAAGTTTTTGATTTCCGTCATTTGGAAATTTTTGAGTATGATTTCCATAATGATGAAAAAAGATGTATTTTGTAAACTATATCTGTTTGGAATAATTTACGTATAGTGTTATCGATGGTTATTTATTAGGCCAAATTCAAATTTGCTGTTGATCAAGTTGATAATCAGAATAATAATTGTACAACAGTCATAGTTTGATTTCCCGAAAACAGATTTCATCAATAACGTATTTTGAAAGTGGGCAATCATCAATTTTCCAAAAATTGCTTATCAGAAACATAATGGATTTCTGTTTAGTGATTGTAACCAAAAGTAGATATAATAGCTACCATTTAAAGATTTTATTTGGACGTATTGCTGTGATAGTCAAAGAATTTTTTATTGAACTGTACAACGGAATTGAATGGTTTACACATTGCCGCGGGTTGACACTTTCTTCCAAAAATTAAATAACAGAAGATCCTTGCCAATTTCAAGAATGTAATGACTTGGAGTCGAACAGTAAATACTACTACTATAGTGGGTTATGTTCCTTGAACCTTTTTCGCATTTAGTAATAAATGTGTAAAAAGCCCCTAAAAAATATTTTTATAAAATAATGAATGAGGGAATGGTTGCATCAAATGCAATGTATAAATTCATCACCCTGTCGAATTGAAAAAATTAGGGGTATTGAAAATTGAATGCCGGGCTTGAATTTTTTAAATAGGCTCCTATATTTTTTGTTAATGGCGGAAAAGAGGCACTTCATGGCAATCGGAGGAGGCCCGATTGGGCATCCAGCCATTCCAAATTTCCAACTTCCTAACAGGCAACTTCTTAATGCACCAATTAGGCAAATTTCAGGTTCATTTGTTCTGCCCCACCCTGCAATTAAAAAGGAGCCACCTAAAAAATTCCCAGATATATTTACAACATGCCCAGAGCTTCGTAATTTCAAAATGCCAATTGTAAATTTCCAAAAGCAGTTGTCTCCATCAATTCCTCTCTTGGAGCCATCAGAGCCATTCCCAGAATCTCCTGTGCAAGGCAGTTTTGATCCTAATGCTAACTGTATTAACCCGTATGTACATTTTTTTAACTTGTCTTTGAGTTTTTTTATCTTTTTTGAGGAAAATTTAAAAGACTCAAAGCAAGTTTTTTAACTAGAACAACTAACACACAGAATAGAATTACATTTCATACCGCGCGAGAAATGGACTTCTGATTTACACTCTCTTAGATATCTTTGTGATAATTTCTTCAAAAAGAGAAATGGAACAGATAGACTTTTCCCGGTGAAATTATATCATGCGCTCCTTATCACTAAGGCGTTCCCAGATGCTTATCAATACACTGGTGTTAAATGGGTTTCGAATGATGTTTTCAAAGTTAACGGCAATGTGTTTGCCAAGCTCCTTGGAATCACCCAAACTAATGGAGGCCTGTTCCATAAGCAAGGAAACCTTCCTAGACATAAATTTATGCAAGTTTACCGTCAGAACCGCCCCGAGCTAGCAAAGAACCCAGACATTAAGGATGTTGATGACATCTCCATCCTTTTGTTCTACGATTCAGAAAATCGGTTCTCAATGACAAAAGAGTATGATAACAGCATCTCGTAAAGGAGCTGCAACCTTATCCATAGAATTATTTATGATATAATTTTACTTCTTGTTATATTACCATATCTTTTTATGTCATTATCACAAATAAAATACTTCGTTTTGATTATTAGCCTTTCAATCTACATTCCATTGTCATTTTTAGAACTAAATAATATGATTTTATTATTAGTTGACAGTATTTTGTCCAATAACGGATAAAATTTTGATTGAAATATGACATTTATGATGTTATCACTACATTCTTAGTATTACTTATGCCAAATTGATTATTTTCTGATATGATAAAGATAAAAAACTCTAAATAATATTATAAATCATCTTTATTATATAGAATTAGTTCATTATTCTTCATATTCCACCATAATATACATATGAAATGAATGTTTATGGCTCAAATACCCTATAGATAGAATGTTTATCACTCAAACCTAGAAAAATCTCATAAATTTATCTGACATGTAAATAATTTACATTTGTCAAAATACGATATCGCAAGGAAAATGCAGAGTCTTGATTATTACAAGATTCAGCCATTGCCTGCGATTAAAGATCACATCAAAGCAGTTGGAATAAACGATTTGAAGTGTTGTGCGCGTTCTGGTACAATGTTAGCTTTCATTTCGGATATTCCAGTGCCATTTATCTACAATACGAACACAGAAATATGCAGAGACTTCAAATTAGAGAATGTTCCGTCATCTCCTTTATCCGCAATTGATATATCACGCGATTGTAAATATGTAATCACAGGGCACGAAAACGGAAGCATTTCGATTTGGTCTATTATGGATTTTAAGATTGTTAAAAATTTTTCAACAGGATTCAATAAGAAAATCGTATGTTTACACTACGGATGGACTCCAAATGAAATTTTCTTAGGAGATGAGTCAGGCAGAGTCAGTAAAATCCAAATACGCCAATTAATGGGCTATTTCGCAATTTCGGAAACATTTTTAATACAAGGAGATGAAGAATTAACAAATATCATCACAATGAAGCAAGGATATCCATTCAATGCAGTATTTATCTCATGGAAAACGAGCTACATGATATATAACGGCGATACTCTTGCCGTTACAGCCAAATCTTCAAAGTATGAAGACGAAATTTCGATTGATCACTATTTTGATGAAGAAAAGATTGTTCTTACTGTTTCTACACAAAGCCAATTTACTCTACTCTGCTTTACAGGTCCAAAGAAGTTCACACAGATCTGTTCTCACAAATTAAATTCCGGAACTATCGTAATTAGCGAATTCCTTGCATCCGGACTCTTCGTATGTATTACAGATGGTGGGGAGCTTACCATTGTCTCATTTGATGGTAAGATTGCCCAACAAATCCCTGCAAATGATTTATATCAGTCTTCTGTCAGTTCCAGCTACATCCAGCCATACGACGATAAGATGATTTTGGTCCAACGGTTTGGCTGCTTACTCGTAGATTTCCTAGATTGGCGAGGAAAAATAAAAACTTTAGTAAACTCGCTGAATTTCGCAGAAGCCTTCCGCCTGTTGATAGAAATAGATGCAGGACTGGCTAAAGATCTAGTCGGACTTCCGAAAAACCCAACAGAATGCAGAAGACAATTAAGAGATATCACATCTTTTGTCGTTTTACAGTTCCTTAAGCACTATCTGTTGAATGGAACCGATGAAGAGATCGACGACGCTGTTGCTTCTGCAGTTGCTAATGTTGCTTCCCTCAAAATGACTTCGATTCTCGAACAAGCGGCAGATCTGTTCACAGCTGTTGGCAAAGGTATGGATTTCTATATAGGAACACTACGATCAACAGTAAAACAGGTCTCATCGTTGCTAACTCCGGCATTTATTGAACAATTTCTGAAATTAGCACAATCCTCTGAAATGATTGACTTCGCCGAGGAAGAACTACTCACTCCAAAGCTGGATCCAGCTTATACAGTCGAAATATTCAAAGTTGCTTTGAAATATAACTTAATTAAGTTCCAAAAGCGGCTTTTCACAGAATATTTCGATGATTTCGTATCCCCATGTGAGTTATACCACAAGAACAACCGTTTAATTGACTATTGTCGTGAAGTTTTTTTGGATGAAAATCAAAATCTTTACAACAAAGCCGCCAAGCGATCAGTATCACTCTGGTTGTTATATCCAGGCAATGATGGGTCTTTTGGTCGCCTACAGACCCTTTTTAACTCAAGTTTAGAAGATAGTCCGAAATATATTTCTTCGATTCTTTCAGTTTGTCCGATTCCTGTATCAGAAGAAAAGGAACTTGGCTATGCCCCTGTAATTGACACTTTCCTTCGTGTTTTGGAGAAATATAATTTCGAAATCGCGAAACCGATGCTTTCTTCTATTATTCCTTACTACGAACGTGACAAGACACTTATTCCGACCACTGCTGCACTCAAGCATGTGATCAAATACATTTCTGTGTCTTCAGAAAACGAAAATTCCACAGAATTTTTACTTTCGAAAATTCTTGATCGTTTTCCAACTTTAATTCCTCTCAACTCTCTCCAGGAACTCTGCCAATCACGTGGATTCGTCAATATCGCATTGGACAAGTTCATGCAGTCTAAAAACTATTCAGTAATCGTTGGAAGTTTTGTAAATTCATCTGACAAAAAAGTGACAGTTTTTGACTTCATAAATGCACATTTAGAGGATCACGATGAGTTGAGAACATCCATTATCGAGAACATTTCAGGGTTACTTGTTGTCGATGCACAGCAAACATGTCGTGTGATTTACAAGTATTTCAAAGAAGATTTGGAATATTTCATCAAAACTCTCGAGCGACAAACACTTTTTGTGTTTTTAAGAGGTTTGGATGATGTTGTCGGCGACATTGCTTTCGACAAAGACTTGAATATCAAGTACTTGGACATGCTCTGCGAGTATTCTCCACAAGAAGCTGTTCATTTCTTGAAAAACAGACTCGAAATCGATGCAGAAAAAGAGTTTTCAATCGATCTCGAGAAATCTCTGAAAATAGCAAAGAAATGGGGAAGAATCGATTGCGAAATACGTCTACAAATACATAACTCTTCTTATAATGAAGCTGTTGAATTAATCGGTTCCGAAATAGAGTCTTCTCTCTTGGATCTCCTCGAAATTCCTGTTTTCGATGGTTGCAAATCAATCGACGAATTGTCTGATTCATCAGTAGTAAACAGACAAATGCAAGCAGTGACAATTGCTGTTTCCCTGTTGTCAGAACTATCAAAAGAAGAAAATAACATACAGAGATGGCAGAAAGTCTTCAAAAGTTTCCAATTCCCTCTATATTTGGCTTCTAAAATGAAGGAAAGTGACAAAAAAGCGGTTACTTTGACATTGATTTTCTCTTACTTTTGTTTACAAAGTCTCTCAATTATTGGTTCAGAAATAACGTTCAAAATTTTGTCACTTTTCTTCAGTGCATTACCAAGACATATTTATCATTCTGCATTGTCATATATCTTCCAATCATTGAATTACCAGACGAAACTGAATGAAGTTGTCGAGGAAATTCTAATTGACGACTGTTTGAAATTGATTGAAAAAAGTGACAATAAAAGGATGGGTGGATTATTTAGTGGAGAACCTGTTTGTGCTATATGTCATGAACCTCTTCTTAAAGCGTATAGTCCCTTCAAAGTTTTTCCATGCGGACATTGTCTTCATGAAAACACGAAATGCGGATATCACGAGTATTGCACTGTCTGTTCTGGATCAGGAAACAACAATTTGCAGGAAGATGTCGTGAGTACTGATGTTAATTCTGGAAGAAACATAAATAGAATGATGAGAATGTTCAACATGAAAATTAAACCTCAGTATTCTGATTACGTAGAATGTGAATATTCAAGTTCTTCTTTGATGTTTGCACACGTTCAGGAATTGGATGGAGAAAGAGCTACTTATGCTAAACCTGATGTAACTTCTATTGGTACTCTATTCCAGTTGAATATTCCAAAGTAATTATTAATTGTTTTGTGATATTTTTGTTTGTGATTAAAAAAAGTACAAATTTTTTTAAAGTGAATCTCTTTTCTTCGTTTCTCTATTTAGTTTATGAATGACTAAAATATTCATAAACATAATTTTTCATTTGTTTCTTTATAATATTAGTTTGTGAGGCTTTCATAACACAAAGTGAATCTCTTTTCTCTGTTTCTTTATTAACTTTTTTGACTCAAACAATATTATGTATCATGGATAGATTAGCTATATAAAAAGGAAATGAAATGGAAATACCATGATCCCCTTTTCTTTGTTTCCTCTTTTACTTTAAGAATGAATCAGTCCAATATAATAATAATCGATAATATTTCAGTCCGAAAAAATAAATCAAGATTTCGGAAATCAAATTGATCAAAAACTTGGTTATTTCGTGTATTTTCTCTTTCGTTTTAGATCAAATGAGTAGAAATTCATAAATACATTCATTTTCATTGTTTTTGGATCTATTTAATAAAAATTAAGGTGAAATTTAGTGATTTCACAAAATTTATATATGTTTTCCAATGTTCGAAATGTGAAATGTGCTTTAATTTCTGAGACGATGATTGCTGAATGAGAATCTTTGGATCTTTTTCGATATGGAATGAATTCACTTGGATAAACTCCACTTCACTTTGCTTAATTTTAAAATAATGTGGATAATGGATTTAATTGTAGATTCAGAACATGTATCAGGAGTTAATTATCCTCTGAATGAAATATTTCTCAAATCAAGAAAGATGAAATGAAAACGATTATCAATAGCCAAAAGATTGATATTCTGACTTTATAACTATTTAATTTGTAATGCAAAATTTGTTATTTATATAATGAGAAGGTCAACTAGAGATAACTATAAGTTTTTCGAATAAGAGATTATTTGCCATTGGAATATGGGTGCCAAAATTGCATTTCTTAAATGCGCATCGAATATATGTTAGTATGATTAGTAAATTAGGAAAACGATGCATCAAATTTATTGTTTTATTCAAAAAATAAAATCTAAGGGGTTTGAATCAAAATTGGAATTTATGCATCGATGGAAGAAGCATTGATAAATGCTTTTAAAGAAAAAGAATAATTGTTCAAAAAGATATTTGCCAGTTTGGAGAAAAATTCATTCAAAAAATATTCAAATAGAAAACATCATTGAGAATTGGTAAAATTGGATTTATTATATGAATGTAGTATGGAACGAAATAAAAATCGATATGAACTAATATAAATTCAAAATGTCTGGTCGCTGTCAAAAATAATTGAAAATTTTATTTTGGAGTAATTTTAGTATATTGCATTTGCATTAGCATAGATAAAGCTATTTTTCTAATTTGTTTTGAAGGATAATATTTTTTAATAGGCAAACGTTGAATAAATTTAAAAATGTTTAAATTGATAGCTATAATTCAATATCGAAATATAAGCAACTTTATTAGTTTTGAATTTATTTCAAAAAAATAATAATGTTCGTCGGAATTATTTATTAAAATCAGATTCAAAAATAATTTGATCAAAACATTTGGCCAATGTCGAACAATGAATTTTTGAATTAAAAAAATAATTGGCCAATAAATAATGATGATATTATAGAGTTAATAAAATATACTATAACAAATTCCAAACTCAATTTCGAACGATTAAAATAATTCAAAAATCAATTGGGTAAATTTTGATATGCATCATGAATGGAGTTAATTATCGAATTTTTCTTATCGTTTTGATTTTGATTAAGAAACCGTGATTTTTTCTGAATTTTTCCATCGTTTTCTATCAATAAAGTTTCATAATTTTAATGTTCACATAATTACAAAGAAATGATCGTGGCCGAAATTCAATTTGCCATTCAAAACAATGACCCTGTCACTTTCCATGTCTGTCGGCCATATACTTATTATCATATATACATTATTATTTTCATAAAAAAACAGAGGCGAATTTGCTCTCAATTTGTGGCCAGTTTGGTCTCAATCAATTGAAAGAAATTTGTCTATAATCATTCATCGAGTTTGATATGCAAGGTCATCGTTCTCTCCCTCCAATCACATCTCTCTTCCCAGGTATCCAGGACACCCCTCTCCTCATCAACATTATTGCTGCCCCACAGCCAATAGTTGTTGCCAAAAAGACATCCTTAAAATCAAAATTCACAGCTGAAGAAGACAAGAAGCTTATGGAGCTTGTTTCCAAGACCAAGTCCAAGAATTGGAATGAAATCGCAGCTTCTCTTGGTTCAAGAAATGCCCGCCAATGCCGCGAAAGATGGAACAACTACTTAAACCCATCTCTTAGGAACGACCCATGGACAGAAGAGGAAGACAAGCTTCTTCTTGACAAGCACGCTGAATTCGGTACACATTGGAACAAAATTTCCAAGTGCTTCTCAAACAGATCCGACAATGCTGTACGTAATAGATGGCAATTACTTATGAGACATCTCGAAAAGAATGGTCATATCTCATCATCTTCATCCACTCCATCCCAGATGTCCGACAATTAGAGCTTTCTCAGGAATATTATATTTTATTTGTTTGGTTATTAAATGCGTCTTAATCTACTTACTTATTCCAGTCATTTACTCACATTTGAAGTTCATGGTTTTCGGAAAATTTCTGACAAACCATATGTTTTTGTTTTCGACCAAAGATGCATAATTTAATATAGTCTTTAATTATGATGTAAATTTGATTTTGCAAATTGAGATACAAAATCGATGGTTGTCAGATAAATCTTCTCAAAAAGTGGTATCTAACTTCTTCTATATAGTTTTTATGATGAATATTATATCACAAATAGAATTTATATTAATGTCACGATACATTCATAAAAATTGAATAATTTTATATTCCAAGTTATGTCATATTTATTAAATATTCGAGATTTGATATCTATACAATGTATAGATTCTAAATTATTGATCGCTTTTAATATTACGTTCGAATTATTTTATGCAAAAAGGTGACCAAACTATTTTTTGAAAGTCCGCCATAACTTTAATGGTACTATTTCAGCGTGTACAATGAATACAAAAATTCTAAGAGTGCCACATAAAATAGTACTTTAGACTTGAGTTAATGCTACCAAGCAAATGTTAAAAAGATGACTTTAGTGTTTTGATAATCAAAGATTAAAATCATTATTGTCTAAATCAATAATCATAACGACAGAAGTTAATGTTTTTTCATAAGTGCTTTAAATCCACTTTTAAAAGTATACCTCAAAAATCAAAATATCAAAAAAAATTGGCCGATAGGTTTGGCTTTAATTTTTGTCTGCTTTTATGATTTGATATGGATGTTATAATTTTAAAAGTTGAGCCAAATTCACCAATAGGTTTTTGAGATTTGCAAATACTCAATAATTTTCAGCGTGTTATCTTTTATTAAAAGAACTATTTGGTTTCAGTATCATATAAATTGATATTTACTTTCTATTTGAACCTTCATTTAGCTAATGATTTAATAATACAGATTTCATCTAATCCTTATAAGAGAATTTTGAATTTGTTATAATAAAAAAACAAACAGATATAGCTTACACTTCTATAATAAAGATACCTTTTATAGAAATCAGTATGAAATGTGTTTTTCGACACGTAAAGCTCTCAATTCATTATAACATGTTTGTCGATTTTTATATATTTTTCGCTTTCATTATCTATGATATTAAAAATTATGTCATCAGAATGTGAAATAATTAAACAAATGCCCTACGGGAAGTATTTTAAAAATTGATTGTAATTATAGTTAGATTAACCATCATCACTTGCAAACTGAACTAATTTACTACTTCTCCAATTAACACTCATGAACAATGTTTTTTTAAAAAAAATATAATTTTTTATTCTAAATTTTACATTAACATGTCATTTATTATGATCTCATAAAACATATCCATATATTATAGTTACAGTAATATTAAAATTTCAAATTTTGAATTAATTTGGTTATATTATGACCATTAAGCCAAGATCCCAACTTCTCTATGCTATCTATGAATTTCAACTCTATATGTAACTAACACGTTATAAGTTTTGTTTATAAATATAAGGTGCATTTCAGTAAATTACTCTTTTATAATAGTTCTTTTATTACAGCTATAAAATCTATACTAAATCTATATGTTTTTATACTAAATTTATTAATTGTAATACTAATTTTAATTGTTGCTGATCATATGCTAAATTTTATATGAAATTCTTAATTAGAAACTTGAGTTGAATATATATTATATGAAACAATCGGTGTTTAAAACAAAATACAGCTTGATTTATATAGTAATTTATGCTTTACATGTATTTTATATAAATTTTTATTGAATTCAAATATTCAATAGTTTTTTTATGCTAGATTAGTTGTATTTATTTAAATATATTATATTGGCAACCTTTCTTTACCCTGTCCTAATAAACGCATTTTGTAAAAAAATATAGTGCATCAGTTTCGAACTAGCGTCCCCGGTACCCAATAGTAAGGGGTAATAACCATTCGACCATTTGCCACGTAAAGCATCGCCAGATTTTTTTGTATTTAATCACTCCCAAAACACTGTTTTGGCTTATTGGAAGCATATCAGACATAAACGCCATAATCAAAAAATCTATATACCCAATAAGTAATAAATTTGTCGATATAGATTTTCCATAAAATTAGTTTTTAGTCTGATCTTAAAATAAATTTAATTTTTTATAAAAAAAATCACATTTAAAAGTACCTTTTTAGTAGCTCGAAATCCTGTTGGTGGATTTCGGGTGTACTTCAAAATTAGCTTTTCTTCTACATATGCAAGCTATATTTTAAATATGGAGCAAATCGGATCGGCGAAAGGAGTTTAGTTACCTTTTTATGCAATCGTTTTCTCCGTTTCTCATCTCAATATCTTATGAAATATCAATCTACGTTCAAGAGTAATCAATTTCGTTTCCAGACCAGTCATTTGGCATCCTTATTTTTTGAGGTCACATGAGGTCGCACAAAATATGTCATTCCCAACCATTCTAATGAAAATTATGATAGCAATCACTAATATAAAGATATTTTAAAAATGGACAGCAAAGATAATGTAATCAAATGTCGCCCATCTACTGAACCCAAAGATTTATCAGTTTACATAAAGTACTTAAAGAATATGTGTGAATCTTAATTGGAATTCAGTAGTTCAAAACAATCTCGTACCTTCTTTAATCTACCGAAATATTGATTAATGGGAATATAATGAATATAACGCGAGCAAATTGTGCACATATAGTTCTCAAATATTCCTTAATGGTCTCAAGTTAATATACTGTCTTATGGAAATAATTTATATTGGAGTTCATATATAATACAAAGAAAGAAATATTGCAAACTCAGGGAATATAGAATGAGTTTTATATTTTGAAGTTTAAAATCAATCAGAAAAATAAGGGTACAACAAATATGAATTTGAACTGAACTAATTATATATTATGAGGTTCTATAAACAGGGCAACTATACCTCAATAATATTAATTTCCGCTTTTGTACAAAATTTCGTATCTTAAAATGATATTTGAAATAGAATAGTTTCTATTTCATAAAAACCTTTCATATGTAAATGTATTTTACAATACTTGTTTGTGCAAACTACAATTTGATTTCAAACTGAAAAAATACAATGAGCATTACCAAATTTTAAAATAAATATGTGCTAACTTGTTTATGGCTCTTTTTGTTGGATATGTTCCGTGCAAATGAGGAATAGCTTATAAAAAGAAATGAAATACCATAGAAACCATAAAATCTTATTGTTTTTTACTCATAAAAGTGACAATGCAATATAAAAAAAAACAAAATAAAAAAATTTTTTTGAGTAAATTTTATTATGAGTGAAACAACAGAATCAAAACCTACAGATAGCAAGCAAACTACAAACGAACAGCCTACAATACAGAAAATTTCCCAACGTAGAATCCTAAGGGATGTTTTCTTTGTTGTTATTGTAATTGCTGGTATTCTCGCTTTCCTATTATGGCCAAAAGCACAGGTAGAAATTCCAATGAGAACTTTATCTCAACTTCCATATGTATTTAATGAAGATTATTATAAAAAACTCGATACCTATCTTCATCAACTTAATCATGAAAAGATTCTTGTCTTATACGGTCCCCAAGGTGTCGGTAAAACAGCAGGTATTTTCGATTTTATACAGCGTTTGAACAAACAAGAAGGAAGACTTATTATTGATTTTGATTTCTCTCAATTAACAAAATACTCAAATATTTTCGATTTAACATCATACCTTCAATATAATGTTCTTCATTCATTACAGTTATTTGTTAAAAATACAAGAGGTGGAAATCTTAAATATATTTCCCCAATTATTGCAAAATATGACAACATCTGTCCTCAAGGATTTAATCCAGTCGATATTTCATTCATTAAAGATCAAACTCTTTACAATGTTACAAAACAATTCAATGATAAGCTTTCTTATCTTACAAAAAGCCCACAGCTTGCTTCCAGATCATTCTTTGAGTCATTGAACGCTCTTTCTGATGTTGCTGGTCCAATTGTTTTCGTTCATTCTCCAGAAATTTTGATTGGAGCCAAATCTAAATCTGTTCGTGACGTTGTTCAGTCTATTATTAGCGAAGCTGAGAAGTCTGCATTAAATGGAAACCTCACAGTTGTTTTTGAAATCTCAGATTTGACAGCATTTATTGATGGAAGATTCCATCCAGCTCGTTATCAGTATTTGCTTACAGAAGTCCAGGAATTCTCACCAAGAAATGCAGAAAAGCCATTTATTAAAGGAAATCACTTTACAAGACAACAATTCCAAGAGATCGAACCAATCTGCAGAGGAAATGGAAAGTGCTATTCAATGATTAATACCATGCTTAACGATGGTATGTCTTTGAAGGATAGTCTTGAAGAAATTGAAAATGATGCAAAACGTAAAGTTTATTCATCATTTGCAACCCTTAATAATACAGCAGATGCATTGGGATTCTTCAAGGAAATTATTACTAATGGAAATATTCCAATCGAGAAATCCAAAGAATTTTCTCTTCATTTCTTACACCATGATGTTGTATCGATCGCTAATAATACCAGAATTACATTTCAGAATGCTGCAACATTGAAGGCAGCTAGAGCACTTGTTGGAAACGCTAAGATTAATAAATAATTATCTTTTAAATGAATAAATACTACGAAATACATGATTTTTAACAATTTCATAGTAAACATATTAACTATCTTGGGGTAATTTTCAATTTGGGTAATACTTCATCAATAATTTTTCAATTTACAGATAAAATAAGCTATGAGATAACTACATGAAGTACAGTTTAAGCAAATATTAACTGTGTTGACTGTAAAAAAACTCAAGATATCATCAAGAAAGATTTTTCTTTGAAAATTAAATCTCTCATGAATTCATTAAATGCCTGATTCAGCTAAGCTCTCTTGGTTAGATTTGAAGGAATGTTAAAATAAATTTTGATGGGATGATATTAGCAAATAAGGTTTAGAGCAAAAAATAAATATTTATTCGATTTTATGCTCACAGATATCGAGGGTAATTTTGATAAATTTAAAAATTTACTGAGAGCGTTCCTTGATGGCGGCCTTCTCTGCAAGAACGATCTGAACGTTTGTTGGCGGAGAAGCGTAGGATTTTACGCGGCCGTGAGCCTGGTGGATACGGCGCCAGCGGTACTGTGTAGCGCGGTTGCATTGAACGTGGGCAACAAGGACTTCATCAACATTGACGCCTGGCTTCTGTGGAGCACCAGCAAGAGCTGTCTTGATGAGCTTGATGTAGAGCTCGGCGCACTTGACTGGCCAGCGGGATGTTGGGCAGCCCCATTCGTGGCCCTGGGCGTGGTGTGAGATACCACCTTTGTAGCGGAAGAATGGAACAGCGCGCTCCTTTCTCATGACGGCTTCAAGATAAGCGATAGCATCCTGAGCCTTCATGCCCTTGATAACACGGCCTGTTTCCATCATTGGCTTGAAGTGAACGCGCTCTAAGCCTGTTGATGCCTTAAGAGCCTTGGACTCCTCAACATTACTGAAGGTGTAGTGTGTGCTCATCAGATTCAATCAAAAAGGCAAGGCCATGACGGTCGGACGATAGGATTTTCATATCACATGACTGTGACCTCGATCATACAATTCGCTTTAAAACGCAAGAGCAAATGAATAGACTTAATGAAAGATTTGGAATAAAGACGAAATTTTGAAATAGTTTAGTCGGTTTTTGCATTTTTAAAATGTTAGTCACCTTTCTCCTTCCAAAGTGAAAAAAAATTGTTTAAAATATAAAAAGAATTTTTATTCGCATAGGCGACAAACAAGGATTTATAAATAAATAATGGGGCTTTGAGTATTGATCTGAATTGAATCAGATAATTAGCCGTAAAAAATCTTCTAATAACGATTTCTCATGCATGAAAGATGGCTATGAGTGGCGTTAATGAGGGCGTTTGATAATTGGAGTTGGACATAAAATTTGGAGATCTTAATTTTTGAGAATTTTGGTGCGATCTTACTGGTAAAAGCAAGAGTATGGAAGGAGATTGAACTGAGAAAAAAACTAGAGCATGCAAAAGAATCATGCTACAGCTTAGTTGAATGTCATTTATGCAAATATAAATATCTTTTTCAAATTTCAAACAAATTTTTGCCACTTTTTGAAAGAAGATAAGGTAACAAACATTTTAAAATGCAAAACCTAGACTTAAACTATGCCGAAATGTGAGCTCACCGTTACGGTTTTTTCTTTGGGTGGCGAGCTTGCGAGCCCCCCAAAAAAGAAAAAACCGTAACGGTGACTAACATTTAGGAAAAATTTATTTGTGTTTTTTTAATTTCTCCTGAACAAGACTTGAAACCCCATTCAATTATATCTGTGTTACAAATAGTCTCTAAATATGATGATAATGGCTCGGTTAATGCATTACTTTCATGTCAAAAAAATGGTATTTTTGACACTTTACATTTGACAAGAGATTAAATTTTTTTTCATTGATGTTCTTATTGTTAATTTTTCATATTTCATGTTCCATTTTCGCCTCAAAGCAATTCTCATTACCTTTAGCAGTATCAGGAAATTGGACGGCAATTGCTCCTACAAATAAACTCGTTGTTTATTTTATAACTCTTGGTTTTCGTCGTTTTGAAGCACTATTATTCGATAATTTACTGAATGTTAATGTAACTAGAGATAATGTCGCTAGTGTCAAATATAAAAACACAACATTTGAAATGAAATTTTCGAATTATTCAACTCGTCATTATTATGGTTTCGCAAAAATCAACGATGAGCTACAAATTCTTGTTGAGTTCTATTCTCAATATGCAGTTGACGTTACTTTTATTAATCCAAAGACGAAATCAATCGATACATATCTATTTACCAAAAAGCCACAGAAAATGAAAAGAAAAAACATAATACTAATCATGTCCATATTGGCAATGTTTTTCTTGTTCTATCGAAAAGTAATGAAACAAAATCAACAGCAACATCCACATATCAAAAAGGAGTAGCATACCAATACGATTTCTCTGTTAATTTTAGAGTTTTACCTCATATATCTTCATTATAAATTTGTTTTTTTGTAAATATCATATATTAGTAAATGTACAACTATCCTTTATTTTTATGTATTCACAAATCCATTGATTTTCAAATATCTCATATTGAAATGTAAAATTGAATTCGATATTTGAAAAAATAAAGGAGAAATAGCATTCAAATAGCAATAGGTTAATAAACCATCAGATATGTCAGCAATTTCTCATATAAAAGGACGATGATTATGATAAAGATTCCATATAAATTGACATTTTCCAAAAAAAAACTAAAATTGAGCAATCCAAGCGGTGAGGACCGCGATCAGGTTCGCGAGCTTAAAGGAATGCTCAAGAAAATGTATGAAAGAAAGAAGCAAATAGAAGCAGAACTTCAAACTCTAAAGCAAGAGACAGAAGCAAAAAATATGAGACTCGAAATGCTCGAAAAAATAGTAAATGATTCGATGGCTGAAAAAGAAAAAACAAATACAGAGCTTAATGAATCGAAACAACATGTAATTTTACTTCAACAAGAAATTGAAAAAATGAAAACTGAACATTCAAACGAAATCAATCAAATAAATACAGACCACACTTCACAAATCGAAAAATTAGAATCAGAGATTAATAATTACAAACAGCAAGCTCAAAATTCTCCAAATATTAAAAATGAAGAAAATCTTGAACCGAAACAGCAATCAGAGGAAGAAAAGCCGACACCAAACAGCGACTCTGAACAATTAAATAAGCAAATAGAAGAGCTAATGCAGAAAAACAACAAATCAAACGAAGAAATTATTTCATTGAATAATACAGTAGCAAATTTGAATGGAGAAATCGCATCTTTACGTGAGCAGCTCAATCAATCGAATGAACTTAAGAAAACAATACATACAACTTACAAAAAATTAGAAAAAGAATTTATCAAGATACATTCTGAAAACGAAGAGTTACATAAGAAACTAGATTCACAAGTATCATCGGATATGGCTGAAAATCAGAAAATTGATGAGCTAAAATCTCAATTAGCTGAAAAAGAGTCACAATTAGAGCAATTTAACAAAAATGGAGGCAAACTCAAAGGAATATTTAAAGATCTACAACAAAAGAACGAACAATACAAAGAAAACATCCAAAATTTACAAAATGAAATTGTAAAATTGAATGAAACTCTTCAGGAAGCGAACAATGAGCTAAAGAGTGAAAAGGATAAGAGGATATCATTTGAAAAAGACAATAAAATGCTTCAAGAAAAGAATAAACAACTTGAAGATTCAAAATCTCAATTTGATTCAGAGAAACAACATTCAATGTCCAAATTAATCAAAGCGGCTAAAGAAATAGATAATCTCAAGAAGACTAATTCTAAGAAAGATGCTCAAATTCAAGAATTAAATTCACAAATTTCAAAAATGAACGAGAAAGTTGAAATTTTGTCGATGCAACTTGAAAATAATGTATCAGAATCGAGAGAATTAGAGAATACATTAAACGAAACTCTTGGAAACTACAGAAGTCAAGATATCGAAAAAGATTTAATGGAAAAAAGATTAGATGAAATGAGAAAAGAAATCGCTGAGATAAGAGTTGAGAAAGAGCGCTTGGAAACAATAATAGAAGAAAGTAAACGAGCAAGAGCAAATATTGTTCTCGATACTTTTATTTCTGGAATATTTGAGGTGCAAGAAATTGAAGAAGTTGTTGAAGAAAAGATTGAAGTGTCTTCTCCTTATTTACAAAGGATGCTTTTGCAATTTTTCACTCAAGATGACAGAGCAAAGGAATTATTGATACCAGCTATACTTAGATTTGTTGAATGTTCTGAAAATGATGTTAACACCGCTGTTGAAGCATGGCATAGCAGAAAGAAGTGGAAATTATTTTAAATTTTCCTTCTTTCATACTTCAACTTTGTTTACTAGCCGTTTAGTATATATAACATTAGGTCCATTCAACAGAAAGCTAGTTTATTCAATAATTCTTCTAAATAGAAGAATTTTGTTTGACAAATCTAATTTTCCTTTTATCAGAGATATACTTTTGTTTTTATTCGATGTAAATGTTTTTACTATATATAAATTTTTGCAATTCATTAGAATAATAATTGAAATCACACAAAATGTACAATATGTTGAAATATGTAATGCTATAGTTTCTTATTCTCAATAAGAAATATGTTTTCACATAAATCTTCAGCATTATATCGAATTTGCTAGTGATTAATGTATTTTCCACTGTTTTTTGCTCATACTGGCATCAAAACAGCATTATTGCTTAGGTATGATGTAATAGAATTATATAATTGCGTATAACAGATGAAAGCTGTCCAAAGGATAATTCAGAAGAAATTTGACGATTTTACAAAAATTTACATTTGCATAAATAATCGTTATTTTTAATAAATTGAATGAGTGAAGAGCAGGAGAAGCCAGTAGAAGAAAATAATGAGACTAATGAACCTCAGAAAGCTTCGGAAACTGGTGAAACTCATGACGAAAAAGAAAATAATGAATCAAATGAGCTTAAAACGCCAACTCAAACACCATCAGGTAAAAAGAGGCCAAAATCATCGCGTAAGAAAACACCTGGAACGGCGAAAAGGAGAACTGATGTTGATATCGAAGCAGAACTGAAGGCTATTCAGGATAATGAAGGTATAACGGGTCGTGCTGAAATAGTTCGCTATTATTGTGGACATCATCCAGATGTTAGCATCTCAGCACTTCCCCAATGGAAGATTAAGCCTACAGGTAGTATTACATCTGTTAAAATCAAACTTTTCTTCAACAAACGCCATCAAAAGCTATTCTTCTTCTCCGGAATACCTCAACATGAATGGATTGCAACGAGAACGAACGTCGATCAATACAATGAAGTGATGATTGATGAGCACACAACAACAAAAGATGTTGTTATCAAGTTTACTTCTACGAAGAGCCAAGTATTCGGAATATTCGCAACCATAGGAAATCCAGTTGATTTTGGATGGGCTATTCCTGAAAAAGGCTCGTTCGAAGTCGAAACAAGAAAAGTTATCGAAGAATTCTCAAATCATGTCATTATAACAGAAAAGCCATGGCATTTAGCCAAAACTCATTACAGAAGCGTTACGGGAAATAGGCCAGGACTCTTCAGTTGCAAGCAATATCTAATTCATTGTCATCAACCAGGTATTATCTGCCTGGAAGTACTTAACAAGTCGAACAGAAATAAAATGTTAGAAGATGCTATCCAAGGCGCGTTAATTAAGAAAGAAGATAGCGATTTTGCAACAGAAAGAAATTATTTAAACAAGGCCGAACTTCAACTCATTCTACAAGAAGGTGGTGATCGTATTCATCACGCTGGTACAGCAAATTACGTTATTTATCGTACTTTATATGATCACGATTTATTCTACTTTAACGCTATTGAAGGCGATTATGTAATCTGCCCAAGCGTTCCAGAAGGCATCACTCCTGATGAATTGAGCATTACTCTTCACTCAGATGTCCGCGCAAGAGCAGGTCCATTAGATTTAGTCTTCCCACAGAATTTACAGTTCAATTATGACCTTGACGATGCTCAACAGTTCACTGCCTTTGCTACAGAAGGAACTGACGCAAGAGTTTACCTTACATTTCGACCTGATTGCTGGGCCGTTCTTTACATCCGTTGGGAGACGGAAACTTCATCACGGTTTGAATATGTTATATCTGGTGAACCTATCAGAACTGATAATCCAGAATATTACTTAGATTTACCAGCTGGAAAGGTTCTAACTTTGACAATTGCCACTAAGAACGGTGGAAGCAAGATTGGATTGTATTCTCTTATGATCTCAAGTCGTAACAAGCTTACTGTGCAGGCTATGGACGCCAAAATTAACATTACTGATATTGGTAAAGTTCACTTAGATCTTCCTGATGAATCTGAGAAGATTGCAGAGGAAGAAGAGGATGCTAACGATCCTACTGAGAAAAAATCAAAAACATGTCTTATTATATAATAAAAATTATTATCCATTCATTTTTTACTGTTACTGGAAAATACCTAAACATGCTCTTAGTATTTACATGGAAAGATAAAAATACTTCGCCATATGGACAATATAAATCTTTACCTTCTATATTGATTTTAAGATGAACAGGTAATTCAAGCATTACTGACGAAAATAGACTTTAACTCATTAATAAATTGAAGATTTTGATGAGAATAAAAATAAAAATTTTAATAAACATTATTTTTCATTATTTTATAAAGTGAATTTAATTATAATATGAAAAATAGATGGTTTCTATTGTGTTAAAATTTCCAAATTTTTTCGAAAAATCTGTTTTTGATTAAAAATTCTACAAAATGAATCTTATTTTTTCAAAATTCAATTTTTTTTTTTGAATTTTCATCATCAAAGAAAGGAAATATTTAGCTTCTAGTACACTCTACAATACGTTTTAAATCAAAATTAAAGTTTTGTTAATTGAATCTCTCTCAATTGTTAAATTTAACGGGTTTCATTAGTATATAATATAAATCAAACCTATGAAAATTTATATTTCAAGTTTTACTTTGTAGTATTCCCATAGAAATATGATTTTTCGATGCAATAGATGAGTTTTTAGTTAAACATAGGGAAAACTTATGGACAGCATATATTAATAGCTACATTCGGATCAAATTGTTCTATCATTACATCATTATCTCATACAATGAACGGATTTGTTCTGAATTTCGTTAGACAATATGTCAGATTCAATAAATATCATTGGCTTTGATGAGTTGATCAAACGGTCGAATACTTTCTTAAACAAAAATCCAATGAATAAAACAGGTGAAATGTCCAAAACCTATCGTTCAGAAAATGAGCAATTACCCAACTGAGCCAAATCCCAACTCAAAAATCTCTGCATTCGGAACAGTAAATTGCCAAACAATCAGCGGCCTTCCAATTCTTCAACTCCGTGATACTGTTAAGACAAACAATGGTCCTCAATTTGACATTGTCGACGAAGCTATTTACCATTTCCGTACTAACATCTTCATGCGCGACTTCCCAGCTAAGACAGGCGCTGATCGTCTCATCATCTATCTTACATTCTACGGAATGAAGTGCTTAAAGTTCATTGCCAAGAACAAGACAAACAAACAAAAATGCCAACTTGAGCTCGACGGCTGGAACTTAAAGCCATTCCCAATTCCAGGCGAAGGCGGCTTCATAATCGATTCTTATGTTACAGCTCCAGCTAATAACGAGAAGACACAGCTTCGTGAATACTTCAAGAAGCTCCGCATTGAAATGGGCAACAGACTTCTTGCAAGAATCTTCGCTCAAGGAAATGAAGCTGATAAGTGGTGGATTTGCTTTGCCAACAAGAAATTCCTTGACAAGGAAATGGCAAACTAAAAGTCTAAATAAAAGTGTATTACAGTATTCGTATGCTCTAATTATAATCAACTATTATTACGATTTTGTATTTACCTTGAGTTTTAGAGAATATCTAGTATGTAAATCACTACTCATAGGTTTTAAGAATTCAACACCTATCCTATATTTCAGCTTTTTTGGATTGTAATCATATGCCATTAAAATCTTCTCTGTAACTCTTATTTCAAAAGTTATTCGCTTTCAAATTGATCTTTTAATGATATGTGTGGAAGTTTTATTGAGAATATTTTACTTTTTTAATCCTTTTTTATATCGGAATGAGCTTTAAGCTCATGAATTTCAGTAAACACCCTCTACAATCTCTTAGTGCATATGGTTATTTGCATTTCAAGTCGGAATTCAAAGGCTTTCTCTATAAATTTTGTGGGACAGACAGATTATAGGACATTTGATGATTGCATAGAACTATAACACATTTTCTTATCATAGCTCAAGCATTATTTTTCATTGTTCTTCCAATTTCGTTATAAAATCTCATCTCAAAAGTGACAAGGCGCACGTTTATAAAAAAGAACAAACTAGATTTTAGAATGAATACAAGCATAATTCACCTAGTTTCTCAGAATCTCTATAATCAATCACCTTTTCTTATGATATCTACAAGATCTATGAAGTCTAACAATCTCTTTTCACAGTTAAAAATAACAAATTCTTTTTCAAACTTCATTTATCAAAAAGAAAAATCGATTCTCAAAGTATACAACTCCGAATTTAAGAATTTCCAAAATTCTGTTGTCCGTGTTGATGCATACACTGACTCTACTCGAGCAAATTATCAAACGTTTGATCATATGGCTCAAACATTATTCGATCCTAACACAAACTCAAGTTTTTTGAACTGCATATTTTCAAATAGCCAAGATCATGGAGCTATTAACTCCACAGGCCCACTTTTCCTTAAAAATTGTACTTTCACCTCTTGCGCTTCAACAACCACCGGAGGTGCCATATCAGTTTATTCAATCATGATCCTTTATGATTGTACTTTTGAATCCTGCTCTGCTCAATCTGATGGATGCGCATTTTATTGTTCTGCGTCAACGACTGGTGGTGCTGATATTAATGGCCTTATTGTTACAAGCTGCACAGGCCCTAATAGTACATGCTATATAGATGGTACTAATGTTATCCTGAATTCTTTGAAATTTACATCCACGACAAATAGATATCTCTTCTACATTTCTGCAACAGGAAAAGTACAAGTATTCAATTCCGCCTTTGACTTTTCTCAAGCAGCTTCAACAACTGCATTCAATATAGTTTCTACGACAACAACAAACTTTTCATTATATAATGTTAACTTCACAGGTGCAGGATCACTATCTCCTATTACATCGTCAGCTAAATTAAATACTTTAGAGTATTGCTATTTCTCACCAAGTTCAGCCACATCCCCTCTAATTACAGCTTCTCCTGTTTTATTTGGTCCCATCGTCATTTCTGCATCATCATTCACTCCATCATCCACAGACCTTGTATATATTGTCCCATCAACATCAACAGTTCAGAATGTTTTCCTTACAAATCCTGCCTTAGTTTATATTGACTTTGATGAAGCATATTTAGCCAACACAAGCAACTATATTGCAATGCCGATGTCCATGTTTTCAGGATGGATCTCTACATCTTTCACTCTTGGCAAATTTGCTTCAGCAACATCAGCAACTGCATCATCTTCATCATCAGCTGCTTCATCTGCAGCCTCATCTACTGCTTCATCCGCTGCTTCTTCAACTTCAAGTTCTTCATCATCATCAGCATCAAGTTCTAATTCAACATCTTCATCAACAGAATCATCTGACTCCTCTTCATCATCAAAATCAAAACTTTCAACACTTGAGATTGTTTTAATTGTCATTTTAGTTATTATTTTGATATTCGGTATTTTCGGAGCTATATTCATATGCGTGAGAACAAGAAGTCGTCTTGATGAAAGGTACGATCCTTCAGTTCCACCACCATTCCCATAAGGCCAACATTATTTCCTTTTTTGTATTTATCTTATATACATTGTTTTTTTTATTATATCTTCAGTAAATATTGAAAATTGTAATTATAACTATTAAATGATAATAAACATGCTATATAATTCAATGGTAAATGATTTTTCCCTTTAATTCTGCATGATTAACATTTCATATTTACATTCAAATTAAAATTAAAGAAATCAAATTAAACATATTCAAATTATCATAACAAATCTAATCATTTTATAGAGTGTGATGTGACTAAATGTTTATACATTGAAAATATCTATAGATATATATAAATTCCAACAAATTTCTAATTTTTTATGGATTTCATATGTTAAAGTAAGGGGAATCGTTTCATTAGATTATATTTGCAATGTGTATAAAAGTAAATTAACTTCAGAGCTGAAATCAAAAAAATTATAAATTCATTTTCATGGTTTAAGTCGCCATAACTCATACTCCTCAGAAAAAACGAGAGATATTTCCTGAAAAAAATCGAATTGGAGGGAGAATTTAAGAAATTTGATTTAAAAATTTTTAATTTTTAGTTTATTTTAACAAAGTTAAAGATCATATAAATTTTAAAATAATTTTTTGCTATACAACTTATAAATAAATAGAAATATAAAAAAATAAGAAAATCTAAACTTAATTTGCGAAGAAAGCGTCGTTCTGATCAACATCATCCTCTTCGTCTTCTTCATAGTAATCTCCATCGCTGTAGTAGTCCTCTTCCTCGTTTCCATCGTCTCCAGAGAAGAAATCTGCGAGTCCGACCTCTTTTCCACCAGAGAAAGCGTTTCCATCCTCCTCCCCCTCCGGCGGTGTCCTGACTGATTCCGGCGGAAGTGTCTCTTCGTCAGCCCAGTCAGGAAGTGGATCGTAACCTGTAACAGCGCGATTGAAAAAGTGGGAGAACGTTCCGAGCTGGAACTCTGAAACTCCGGCGTCTGTGATGGTCCATGTTGGTGCAGTGCGTGTTGGGAATAAAAGGGACTTCATGTTTTTCACGATATCACTGCATTTGCTTGCAAGTATGGAAAGAAGGAAGTGAGCGCGGTCTCTGATGTCGAACTCGCTGTCTCTCTCGCCAATGCGAAGAACGTACATAGGAATGGCTTGATCTGCACCACATGCGAGTAATTTGGCGGCTAAAGTAAGAGCTTGAAGACGTACTTCGCCGGGTTCGTCTGAGAAGTTCTGTGCAACGTATCTGAGAAGCTGTGGAGCGAATTCTGGGTATGTTTCGTACATATCTCCGACAATTGAGAGAACTGCTGCACGTGCTGATGGTTCTTTGACTTCTATGAACTTCCTGGCAAGGGATTTGAGCGCGTGGAGCTCGTCTTCTGTGTTTCTGCGCTTGCGGAGAAGATGTGCGATAACTAACACGACTTCTGAGAGAACTGGGCCTTCGCTGCGACTCATAAGGCGAAGGAGGCTGAGAAGGCAAGCAGGAATGATCAATTCGTTGACCATGGCGGTCTTTCCCATCGTCTTTACTGCATTTGCAGCAAATTCTGTATCATCGCTGTTTGTATAGGTCGAGAGTTCTCCAAGTATCATGTCGGCATTCGACTGGGAGGCAAGAAGTGCAAGTACACATAATTTAAGGTTTCTGACAGCGGTAATATCGTTTCGTCTGATGAAGAAGTGGTTGAGATGGGGCACAAATATATGGTTGTGCACAGTAGCGATGGTAAGAATCGAAGTAAGTGCTAATTGAGACATAATCTGTGTATCGTAGAGCATTCTGACCATTGGGCGGGCCACTGATGATATATGGGATGGCGGTGCACAGTAGAATAGTAATTGCGTGGCTGCTGTTACGACTGCGTTGTTTGGTGAAGATAATAATTTCTTTGCTGTATGAATAAGAAGGAGATGGTCGGCTGATATAGAATCCTTAGATCCTGCATCATCCCAGAAAGCACCGACATCTTCTTCGTCGAGAGTTTCTGGGTTCTTAAAACAATATCTCGCGTAAATCGTTAGAGCACGAAGAGTGAACAGCTGTCCCCATGCGTCGATCTTTGAGATGTTCTGGCAGATCGAGCGGAAGTGTGTATGTATTAAATCAATATTATTAGGGCAAAGATATAAATAGGCGCAAATTGCACCAGAGAAAGCTATCGGATTTTGATCACCAAGCAGTCTCTGAAGTAATGGAAGATAAACTTCTGTCTCTGAAGGGTCTTCTATTAATTCTGCAGCTTTTACCATTGCGTAAGCAGCTGCTTTCTTTACGTAAGGCGAAGGGTCACCAATGACCTGCGAAACAGCTTCCTGAATGTGCGGAAGTACTTCACGGGATCTAATTGACGACATAACTTTTACAGCCAAAGCTCTGCAAATAGGATCCGAGTCTGTTAAGCACCTCTGGAAAGTATTGACTGAAAGAATAACTTCCTCTGGCGCTTCGTCCGCGTAATGATTTAAGTAGACGTATGCAAGTTGTCTGGCGTTTGGATCTTGAGCTCCAACTTGCTGTACGACAAAAGGAGCGAACTGAACAACATCTATACCTTTAGACATTAATGCTAAAAGAATTTTAAGCGCATTTGTATGATCTTGAAAATTGGTTGATCTAAATAATGTTGAAACTTCTTCAATTTGAGAATCTTGAGAAGAAACAGCAGGTTCCCCTGTAACTGGATTGATCGGGGTGCTAGAGGTGGCTGCAGCATAATCGCTTGATCCAAAAGCACCGAGATTCGACATGAAAATAGGATTTGAACTGATCCTCTCAAATTTATCTCTGTGGAGTTACCTCCCAATTAGTAATATTCTACCGGCATTTGGAAATAAGGTTCATTCTTGTAATTAAATAACATTACAGAAATTATCTTCAAAGTCTCGAAAATTCGCGTTTTGAGAATAAATTTTTATCTTATTCGCATTATATTCTCTCATGATTATGATTTCTCTAATAAACATAAGAAGGATTATTGAATCCGAAGCATATTTTTTGATAGATCATAGGGTTAATTTTATTGCAATAAAATCCTAAGTAACTGGTTCCTGAAACTAAAGTTGAGAATTTGTTTCATATGAGTTTTACCAATGGTAACTCATTTAAGAATACTTCAAGAAATTTGAGAATACAAAGCTATATGATAAACTCTTCCTCTTAAAACCAAATGAATATGACCTATAAACTTTTAGTTTGATCATAAATGATATAACTTATAAGCACAATATGCAATTGCTAAAAAAAAATTAAATTGATATCTAAAATTGGAGACATTACTCACTGGAGTCAGCCAGAATTCATACACAACAAGAATTGTATTTGATTATCGGGTATGAACACGCATATCTTATCCTTCAAAGATAGCGATTTGATAATTTATTTATTGGTGTAATCCCCTGATTTACTTTCTTTTTATAAAAAATGAATGTTTTTCTATTATCAATTACTATGCTTCAGAATCAAACGGGTGTAACAAAGTTTTTGGGAGGAAGTGGCATTGGTATTAACATTGATAATACAAATTATTCTCGTTTATTGTATTCTGAAAATTCATTAACAGCCAGATCAAATAAATTCGGAACAAGATACATGGACATAGGAAATTGTTTAGATCTTACATCAAAAGAACAGAATTTAACAGTAACTTCTTCTTATCCTTTCCATTTGATCTCAATTCCATCAGACTTTTGCAGCGATTATGAATTTGTACTTGCTGATAATTCAGCTGTTTTCATTACTAATGCAACAATTAGCTCAGAATCCACTAAAAAATGCATTTTATTTCAACCATCAGCAATCAGTTATTTTCTTAAAGGAGAATTCATAACAAATAGCTCAGAATGCAGACTGGAGTATACTCCAAATATTAAAAACATAAAACAAAGCGAAATACAAAATTTAACAAATTCATTTTCATTAAAATCAGCTGGTTATCCAATACTTCGACTTTTAAACTGTTCCTCTGAACAAATTTATCTTAAATTTAAGCTAAATACGATAAGAACATCATATGAAGAATTTCGCTGTTATTCATTCCCAGTTCCACAGGCAAATACTGAAGAATCTAGAGAACTGCTGTTTTATGCAACAGAATGCAGCTTTTCATCAGATTCTTTAGTTAATTTCCTTAAATACGGCTATATTGTGTTATTAGTCATCTGTATTCTGATGATATTTGTATGTACAATACCAAAGCGTAACACACGTCCTAAAAACGTTATCGAAATCGTTGCTTTGAAAAAATAGATTTTATAACATTTTTTTGTTATTCATTTTATCAATAAATGTATGTTTATTATAAGAATATGACTTATTTTTTCCATAACATGATCCAAAATTTCTTTTGATATTTTCTTGAATTTTTTTTTGTTATTATTTTATCCAAACTTTAGCAACCCCGGTTGTTTTTCTTGATAATGTGAAACATAAGTTCTCAGTTCAGATTTTTTGATGATGTCTGAGTTATTTAAACAATATGAAGACTTTTTTGAAACATATGAGAAACTGTTCCACAATAAATCTGACGAAACCTTTGAGGAAGATTTTAATATGATTACAAATATTTTGGTTTCCAAGAATAAAATGCGAACTTTAGATGTAATCATGAGTTTAATCATGGCAATCAAATACAACTTTCGTTCTGTTATATTTTATACCAAAATGATCAACCAAATCTTCACACATTATTCAATTTCAACAATTGATTCTGAAATTTTATACAATACAGCCAGATCAATGAATTTAAACTTAAATACTAATGAAAATGGTGTTTATGTAATAGACATTGACAAAAGTTTCATTCCCAAAAAGAATCACATTCAATTCATTATTATGCATGATCAAATCAGCAAATTCAAAAAATTTGCTATTAAACATTCAATTGATGACATTCGGATTGTATTTCCTGGCTTTAAATTTTATACAGTATCTGCAATAGAAGGATGTTGTTATTTTGGATCAGTGAATATTTTCATGTTTCTTCGAACAAATTTCAACATACCAATCACAGAACAATGTCTACAATTGTCTCTCATCGGTGGAAATACCGATATTATCAATGAATGTTTACAAGTTTTCAAAATACATCACAGAAGTTTCAATTACATTATATCTCATAACAACAAATTCCTTGAATATTGTTTGGAAATGAATTTATATAAACCTAGAATTCTTGATGATGATGAAATTATTTTTTCACAAAACTTGAAAGCTTTGTTTCTTTTATATGAAAAATGTAAAGAAGCAATAATTCCATGGTGTGCTGGATTTCCACAATCATATGAACTTTTGAAAGATTCAGATCTCAAATATGAAAAGACATCTTCCGACAAACGAACAATTCTCCATTATGCAACTAGTTTTAACAATTTTGATATTTGTAAATTTATTTTGGATTTACCAAATTATAAAAACGTTAAAATTGATTCTGCGAAACAAAATGGAATGACTTCTCTTGATATTGCAATCCATAATAAAAACAAAGAAATAGCAGAATTACTTATTTCACATGGGGCAAATATTAATATCAGAAGTCAAAATCGAGAAACATATCTTCATGCTGCAGCACGAGAAAATTTAAAAGAAATCGCAAAATTACTTATTTCACATGGAGTTAATGTTAATGTAACGGATAATGATAAAAAACACCACTTCATATTACATCAAAAAAAAATTATAAAGAAACTGCAGAACTTCTTATTTCACATGGAGCCGACATCAATGCAAAAGATGATGCAAATAAGACACCTCTTCATATTGCTTCGAAACAAAATTTCATCGAATATGCAAACATGCTTATTTCACATGGTGCAGATGTTAATGCAAAAGATAAAGATTTGCAAACTCCTCTTCATTGTGCTTCAGAATGCAATTCAAAGGAAATCGCAGAATTACTTATTGGTCATGGTGCAGAAATCAATTCTAAAGATGAAGAAAAAGAAACTCCTCTTCATGTAACTGCATATTGTGATAGTATTGCAGTAGCCGAAGTACTTATTCTTCATGGTGCAAATATCAATAAACATAATATGGAAGGTAAACTCCCCATTCATGTTTCTGTCGAAGAGAGCCATTATAAGATTTCCGAATTTTTAATATCACATGGGGCAGACATCAATGCAACCGAAAAATATTCATTGAATACCGCTTTACATAATGCAGTCACATACGGCGATACCGATTCAATAAAATTTCTTATTTCTCATGGTATCAACATTGATTCAAAAGATAAAGATGGGAATACCTCTCTTCATTTAGCAGTTGTAAATTCTGATATCGAATTTATTGAAATCCTTCTTGAAAATGGAGCAGATATCAACTCCAAAAATTTCAAAGGCCAAACTGTCCTTCATATTTCAGTTGAAAAAAATGACATAGATATTACAAAATATCTTGTTGAACATTCTTCAAATATCAAATCAAGAGATAACAACGGAAAAACAGCTCTTCATATTTCATCAAAATTTAATAACACAAAAGCAGCAAATCTATTAATTTCATCTGGAATTCAAATAGATAAAAGAGATCATGAAGGTAAAACCGCACTTCATGAAGCAGCAGCAATAAATAATACAGAAATTGGCGAAATTCTAATTTCCCATGGTTCAAATATTCATGCAAAAGATAACTATGGAAAAACTGCTCTCCATTGTGCATAATCGTTTTTGCGCATTTTTTGCACCCCATGTAAAACCCAAATTTACCGAACTTTTAATTGAAAAAGGACATAATATCAACGAAAAAGACAACGAAGGGAAAACTCCCCTTCATATTGCAGCAGAAAACGATGACATCGAGTTTGCTAAATTTCTTATTTCTCATGGTGCTGATATCAATGCGAGAGATTATGACTGGAAAACAGCTCTCCATCTGTCTGTACAAAAGAATAGTGAGAAAGTAACAGGATTTCTTATTTTAGAAGGTGTGAAAGTTCATTGCAAAGATTGCCATCATAGGACAGCTCTTGATTATGCCTGCAATTATCGAATTATCAATCTTCTTATTTTGCACAAAGATGATGTTGATAAAAAGATCAAAATATAAAAATATTAAAATCTTAATTCAATTTTTTGATAACTAGTGTGATGCGCCATTGAAAATTAACCTTAAACATCTGAATTGAAATTCATGTCATAGGGGCGTAAGTGCACCACTAAAAAATCTTATTGATTCTTATTTCTAATGATAAAAGACACGTTTTTCCAATGAGAAAAAATTCATAATTTATTATAATATATTGAATTGGGATCTGAAATAAATACAATAGATTTTACATTCAATTCATCGAAAATTTTCACAATCGTAAATTATTGTAAATTTGATGAAACTCTCTGAAATAATTGATAAATGTCAAATTTCAAATGAAGAAAGAAGATGATTTCTGTTATGTAAATGAACTTGCAGCCACAGATAGAAGCAAAAAATTATCAACATCAAGTGAATAACTATAATATAATATCAATCCATCCAAAATCGAAGTTCTACGCAAAGAAACGGAAGAAAGTTCAGTTGGGAAGAATATTATGGCACTAGTACCAAAGATGTGCAGACACAGAATGGAACACCATTCTCAGATACTACAAGTTCTAATAATTATTACGTTTTTAAATGTTTATTTGAAGAATGCAAAGAAATCGGTGCAATTTACATCAAAAGAACAAACAATATTTGCACATTACTTGAGAATTCTAAATTTGACAACTGTAGTTCCACTTCAGATGATGGTGGTGGATCTGTCTACTATCAATGCTTTCAAAAAGGACATTTTGTACAAAAACGAACATGCTACTATAAATCAATAGCAAGCAATAAATTCATGGCATTTAGACAATGGGCTGGATATGATTCTTCATATAAAAACTACGCAATTGATGTTTCTGTTTCTAATTGTGGAGAAAGTGAATCAAAAGGAAGTTCTACATTTTTTATTATGTATGGTGATATAATTATTTCCAACATTAATAGCACAAACAACAAATGTAATCAATATTCATCATATTATAGTCACCTTAACACAAGATCATTTACATGTAATTTCTCAACATTCAGAGAAAACAACCAAACTGAAACTTATTCACTTCAATTTGAGATTAATGAAGGTAGTCCGAGATCTATACAAACAGTTTCTTATTGCAATGTTATTGGAAATAAATGCGGAACAGATAATAACCAAGTTTTATTTGTTAGTACATACACAACTAATGTTGATCACTGCATATTTTTAAATAACACTGCAAAGTACATGTTTCATAACGATGTTAAAAAATACACATTGACTATTTCAGATTCATATGTAGAATCACAGTCAGTTTCAAGTACAGGAGGAAGTGTTATATTTACTAATCTAACAAATAATTACGATTTTTATAATTTTTATCATTATTTCACAGAAAATTGTTACAATGAAGTAAAAGAAATTTCAAATAAATTATCCTATCTTTCTAAATTTTCAAAAACTGTTGTAATAAACAGAAATTCATCAAAAGTGACAGCTCTCAATTTTTTGACATTTGTAATTTCTAAATTGAATGAGAAAAATGAAATAATACTAAGCATAATACAATATTCTAGATTTAATTATAATTAGGAAAAAGTTAGTTTTGAGAATACTTTTCATAGGCATATAGAATGAAATCTTCTGAAAAATAATATCACATAAACTCATATTATTTTCTAATATATAACTATTTTATATAAAAATCAAATTCAATGATCTTAAAAGCGAAGGATAAACCTCAAAATTTACGAATATAATGAGTGGGAATATAATGCTTATCTATCATAAAACCATATGAAATATCAATTTTTGCTTTACGCCTAATTTTTGACGACAATTAGCAAAAATGTTAAATGTTAACACTCAGTCCATTTGAATATGAAAATAAAATTGACTTTGATTAAATGTTTTTATTTATCATGCAATTCTTCTTGCGACCAAAGATTTGAATAAAAGTTCAAAAAAATAAGATAGCTTAAAAAATAATATACGGTAGTGTTTACTAATAGATGAATAGTATATAAATTCTATTAAAATGGATTTGATCCAAAAAAATATATAAAATTTGATCATAAATAAAATCGTTTTAAATTACTTCTTCATTTAAATTATAACAATTATTTTTGGTTTTATATTTTTTTGGATCAAATCCATTTTAATAGAATTTATATACTATTCATCTATTAGTAAACACTACCGTATATTATTTTTTAAGCTATCTTATTTTTTGAACTTTTATTCAAATCTTTGTCGCAAGAAGAATTGCATGATAAATAAAAACATTTAATCAAAGTCAATTTTATTTTTCATATTCAAATGGACTGAGTGTTAACATTTAACATTTTTTGCTAATTGTCGTCAAAAATTAGGCGTAAAGCAAAAATTGATATTTCATATGGTTTTATGATAGATAAGCATTATATTCCCACTCATTATATTCGTAAATTTTGAGGTTTATCCTTCGCTTTTAAGATCATTGAATTTGATTTTTATATAAAATAGTTATATATTAGAAAATAATATGAGTTTATGTGATATTATTTTTCAGAAGATTTTGTGTTCTTCTTCAAAATTTTATTTTTTTATTAAAAAGAATCTTGACAAAATATACATTTACTTTAATTAATATTTAAAAACGTGCTCTATCAAAAGTTCCAAAAATTCAATATTTTAGCTTTTCTGAGGTGTCACTTTTGATGAATTTCTGTTTACAACACTGTATCTGCAGGATTATTTTCATCAAAAAGAAAATAAATAATTTTAACCTTATGAACCTATTTTCAATACTACTGCATTAATTCTAAGTGATTTTGCTGTTAGAACCAACTACTCATCTTCACTGGGTTTCTGACATGAAAGGTAATCTTAGGACATCATGAATGTATCCTTACTATTGATCTTGTTTGCAGCAATTTTCTAGATTATCTACTTTGATGAAAATATTCTTCATTCTATCCAAACTTTTCTTGCAATATTTTGCATCAAGAAAAAATTCTCACCTTTGTTTAACTCTTCCAATAGTGACTGTAGTAATTAAATATCGTGATCGTGAAAATTATCCTCTTGAAAATGAAATTAATAATCAAAGCAAGAAAATTTAAAATAGGTAGCAAATATTTCAGATGATAGGTAAAGAAGATAAACAACACATCTAATTATGTCAGGAATCCTTGAATTAGTCATTGCATTTCTAAACATACATTCAAAATTTTAAAACAAAAACAATAAAAGAACTTTATAATTAAATGATAAATAAATAAATGATAAAAAATAAAACAAAAATATTTCCGTAAACATAATAAAATAATAAAATATCAATTAAGAAACAACTAAATTATGAATCCAGTTATTCACAGTTGTCTTTGTTGAATCCAAAGACATCTGAATGTATTTCTTGAATATTGTTGCTGCTTCTTCCTCAGAAACTCCAAGGTTCAACATATTCTTCATGTATATTATATCTTCTGGCTTTTGAAGTTCTGGAATTCCTGTTCCAAGCATCAACAACATCATGGACATCAACAAATTTGCATTTCGTCTCAAAATATTGTATGCGTTTGCTGATGTATCTTCGAATCTCTTGTATTGCTCACTTCCAACTCCTCCGAGTGCTTCTGCGCATGCAGGAGAGAAGTGGAAAGGTGCATCTTCTCTCTGATATCCAAGCTTCTTCTTGAAATTACCCAAGAAGTGGCCAAAGTCGATGTGGAAGAAGTGACCATCTCTTTGGACCATGATGTTTCCTGGATGTCTGTCTGCCAAACCGATGACGCAAGAAGAGACAGCGTAACCTGCTGAGCTGAGGAGGAAGTTCTCCTTCGCGATGTTCAGTGTGACTGCCGTAGAGTTGTTCTTCGCCAAGAAGTCGTTCATGATGTTAGGCTTGAAAACGCCTGTCCATCTTCCTTCCTCTTGCTGAAGAACTTGTTCTGTGATAGAGTTAGGGACAACTTCGATGAAACCTTGGTTGAAACCTGTCGGGAGGACACCGTAACAGTTCATTCGCAAGTCGAGCTGGTTCTGTCGCCACAAGTGTTCCATGACTTTCATTATTTGGAGAGTCAGCTGGTCTTGTCTCAGGTCGTCGCCAACTTTGAACATCGTCTTGACTGGTTCTGTCGAGAATGGCGCAGCGTTGTGGAATGTGAGCCAGAAAGGCTTCTTCTTAGAGTTCATGACCTTGCAGTCTTCTAAGATGAATGCATCGACAACAAGTCTTGGATCCATAGGAAGATGGAACTCTTCTGGAATCTCAACGTCTTTCAGTCGGACTTTGAATTGTTCTGTTGCTTCTGTGTGACTTAACTTACAAAGGTCGTTGTTTAATTCAACAAGTTTCTGTGTGAATCTGTATCCTGTTTTAAGTTCCTTCCAGTATGAACCAATTCCGTATATGAAATTGACCAAAACGGCAGAGAATCTCTGTCGAATCTGAGATATGTGTGCTTCAGACATCAGTTGCCAGAAGAGCTGGTGTCCGAGGAACTTCGGTTCTGCAAGACCTCTTCGCAACAAGAAGTGTGCAAGTGGAGAATCGTCGTATAACTCGAACTTCAATGCTTGAACGAGTTGAAGCATGTAAAGCATGATCTCGTTATCGTTGAATGCTTCTAAGTGTTCGACAGCGTATTTACGAACATCGCGATCTGCGAATTTCGGATCCAAAAGTGTCAATGCATCTGTTGGAGAAATTTCTGCCCACTCGTTGAGTATGTAAGGAATTTCTGCGACTTGTACAGGAGATGTGTAGTCAAGTGATTGCAAAACGAGTGGAAGCATTCGCTCGTTTTGTTTAAATTTAGCACGATTGTTCCATATCAATGTTTTGTCTTCAGGAGAGAGAACTCCCAATGCATCGAGGTTCTCGAATGTCTCCAATCGTGCGATTTCTTCTGTCGACAAGTGCATTGACATACGATTCGCTGATGGTTGAATCTCTGCAACAGTGTGGTAAACAGGGAATCTGAAAACAGGGAGATCGAATATCGCAACAATCGCTCCGGATTCATTTGACTGAGCCGTTGTCAAGAAATAGTCCAAATAATGCTTATTCCACATTTTTCTGCTTGTTGTTCCCATGTTCAGCCATCCGTCGTGAGTAAACATCGGGAAGTTCAAGCTTGCAATGTTCCCGTTGTCTTTCTTCTTCTTTGGCTTCTTCATGTAGTTGGTTCTTTGGTCATAATCAAATACGGAAATTGATAAGCGGGCGGAATGCGGTAAAACGCGTGGAGATATCTGGAAAGTAATGGGTTGATTAACTAATATGTATTTGGCACCACCTTTTTGTACAGGTAACGTAATTGGGTCGCATATCGTTTGTGTACCGTTTATAATTGCAACAGTGATACCTACGTTCTCTACTTTAGCTGGGAAGTGCTTGAAGCCACGTATAAGTATAGACATAGGCGTTGTAAGCAGTAAATTCGGAATACATAAGGAATTTGTTGTTGAAGCTTTGATACTTGGAATAAAATCGTTCTTGTTCGGTTCTTGCATCGGCGTAACCGCAAGTTCTTTATTCTTGATTGAATCGATGATTTGAGATTTTTCTGCGAGCATTACGTTCATAACTGGCTGATTAGAGACCAAGAACTGTCGTACGCACATAAACTGTACTAATGGTGTATCACCGGCGATGACTTCGTCTGTTCCTTGTAATAATAATACAAATTCACTCGGATCACGACCGATGTTGATCTTCTGGTGCTTTTCGATCTTAGCGATTAATTGAACTATTGCTTTATCCGCCGAAATATCGTACCGGCATTGTATTGAAGCTCCAGTTACTACGACATCTGTAATTCCTGCACGCAGCTCGCATTTCAGAGCGATTTGCGTTTTCGTACATGTATATAATGGTGGGTCTGTCGATGAAATTCTCATTCTTGCAAGTAAAGGACATTCAGTAATTTTTTCATTTCGTAATGTTTCGACGATATGACGATTTTGCGACATAGATAGGTATAGACTTTGTGTCTCTAGTGTAAGCTCTGGTAACGAAAGATCTAATTCTTTGGCATCCTGAATAATAGTTTTGATAAATTTTGAAGGCTTGCTTTCCATGCAGAGTTTAAATACGATAGATTCTGGGTTTCTCACTTGTTTCTCCAAAGCGGCGATCATTTCTGGACAATCTTGAAATACTTGCTGGTCATCTTTAATTTCAAATTTGGAATCAATAATTCTGAGCCTGTATTTATCGGCGGTAGGGATGAACCTATGACCATAAACTTTGCAAAGCTTTTCAAAGATGGCTTCGTAGATTTTTGCAAAAGTCAGACTCGAATTGAGGCCAAATTTGATTACTGCGTTGCTCGGAAGGGCAATGTTTATTTTGTGTTTCGCAACGCGCTTGAACATCCCACTTATGGGTAATTTCAGGCTTTGAAGTTCTAATTCTTCCAAATAATCTTGGATTGATTTTACATACATATTAAAACGCTGCTTTCTGGTGGTTATATTCCTATTGGGGCACATTTTGGTGAAGATCGATGTCGTTTTAAACCTATCATTTTCTTTAATCAAATCCAAAATTGCTTTGTTTTCCGAAGAAACATATAATGGCGTCGTATTTGTCTTCGGAACGTTATCAACAAGGATAATATAGTTCTGGATATTCCTAGATTCTAATAAGTCAATAATATATTGACCGGTTGTACCATTATCAAACGGCATTGAGAAAATATCACGGTCTAAGATGGTGATATCAAGTTGGTGAAAGTCTGGATTGTTGGCTGGGCCTAGTAATATAGGAGGCATCGTTTTAGACCTAAACTGAGTGCCCATACCAGAATTTGATTGCCCCTTTTAACAGAATTCAAAAGTTTACAAATGCATTTTTATTCCAAAATTTAACCGAAATAAGGATTTATAATATTATTATTTTCTTAATATTTGAATTGAATATTCATTTGAATTTAGTGAACTCAATTATCAAACTCATATCAGAAATAGCCGGTCGCTCGATTATGAAATGAAAACTATACATTGAGAAAAAATTACGTCCATTTTACCAATAAACTCAGTCTGCAACAGTTACTAACGTTGCAAGATTTAGAATTTCGTGTAACAAACGTGCTTTTAATTCGTAAAATGAACTATGAATTAGATTTAAATCGGTAATTTTGGCACAACGATTAAATATCAAAAAAGCATTTGCAGGATTTGAAAATCTCGGAATTAAAATCGTGTTTTTAAGATTGCTATTTAGCTGACATTACTTTTAAATGAAAATGTCGATCATACACTTAAGTTATTTTTAAGAATTATTGATAAATCCAAATCGCATTTTCTCAGAATAAATCATATTCTTTAAGAGTCATACCGTAGTCACATAAGATTGTTATTACGCCAAAATAGATGGTACACAACTTTCAAATTCTATATTATGATTCAGATGTTTATGTAATCTCAAAGAATAAGCTATCTGGTGTTTTGAACTTTGAGATCTCTTATTTGATTATAGAATACCTAGCTTAATTTCAACCAATTTAACCGTGTATCAGCAATAAAATATCCACAAAGATTTTTTTATCCTAAATTTACGCGAAACGACCTAATCTTGCTTTATCAGATCTCAAAAATGAGATGTTAGCCATTAACTCTTAGCTATTTTATGAAATTTTAAATCATTCACTCTTCTGAATAGCAAATTTTATTCCATTTACATCTTGTTTTCATATGCGACATTGTTCAATGAGTAAATAAAGGATTGGAAATATTTGACAAAAATTGGATCATGAATGGATTTGAGAACTTTACAATTCTAATCTTATCAAATTGAAAATATAAAATATATATTATTAGTTCAATTAGTATAAATTCTTCTCAATTTTCTTTCTATCAAATTTCAGAAGAAGATCCGATGAAAAATCAAAATCAATAATTTCCCCTTGAAGAGTTAATGATATTTACGCTGATTGTATTTCACAAGGCTGTAAATGATCAGTATAAGAACATCCTTAATTCTCAAGGCATTGACTTAAGTAAATACAAAAATTGGACAAAAATTCAGAATTTCATTCTTGAAAATCTGGATTCTAGCAAGCAAATTAAAGCTAGAAAGTTATTAATGAACTCTATGAACTATAATCGCGCCGAATCCAGCCATTATGATGAAAAATATCTCGAAAATTTTTACAATGATAAACTCAAGATATTTTTAGACAATCAAACCCATATCTACAAGTATCTACCACATAACATATCCAAGAATACAGTTCTTAATTTGATCAATACTAGTCTTCCAAAAATGAAAACGGAATTATGGATCAAAGGATATAAATACAAACCATTAAAGAAGATAATCGTTGATATTGTTAACAATACTAACCAAACAACAGTCGAAGAAATCGTAACAGCGTTGAAATTACCTTTATCTTTTTATTTTGATGGATCAGAAGCTGTTAAACAATCAATGACATCAGAATCATATGATATAAAGGATATTCCGAAACATATATTCATGAATGAGCAAAAAATCATGGGAATTATTAAAGATGTTATAAAACCAGTTTCATCTTCAAAATTAAACATAGAACAAATAGCTACGAATGCATTAAATGCAATGATAGGTGTTAAAAACTCATTATCAGGTTCAATCAAAATTTTTGCCAAATCTTTTGTTGCTTCTTTCTTTACATACTGTAATTGGATGCCAGAGCACACTTTTACGATGAAGATTGGTTTCAAACGACTGATTTCTAAATACGAGAAGTTTGGAAAAGAATTAAATAAATCAGACACAAAAATGGTTGAATTATACAATAAATACAAACCATTGTTTGATGATTTAAAGAGGCAACTCAATGATCATACTATTATCCTTCCAGAAGACATACGAAACAAATATATCAAACCATATCTTAAATATTTTGATGCAGACTTTAAATTAGTATCATTATTCATTCAAGATAATTATAGTCATCTTTATGATGAAAACAACTTCTTTTCTGCATTCAGAGAAAAAGATCAACCTTTAATTAAGCCATTAGTCTTCACAGTACTTACGAACAAGACTGAGAAGGAGAAACAAGAGTCATATGATACAGTTTTCCAGGCAATTCTCTATTTAAACAATCCTTTGACTCCAATTCCAGAATTCACAATGGAATGGGCAGATAAAATCGCATTTGGAACTGTTTTCTTTAAAAAATATAATCCAAATGACTCATTAAATGATGTTTTGGCCAAGATTGGCATCGAAAACATTGATTCTGAAATTATCAAAAATGGAATTTCGAATTTTGTTCAATTTTTAGAAGAAATCAAGTCATTGTCACCTGATATAATTGATTTCATAATCAATTTCCTGAACGATCTTAAAAAAGTTGTGAAAAATGATATGAAATTTGATGATGTCCTAAAAACACTTCCATTTGGCAAAACAATATCACAATATGCCAATGCAGCTGTTGAGCATGCAAACGGGAAGCCGATCAAAGAAGCATTCTGGGATTTAGAATTTAATAATTTTTATATCGAAAGAACAATCGAAGCATGGAAAGAAGTCAAAGTAATGAGTGGTCCTAATCTACTAGATGCTGTTGTTACAGTCAATTCCGATGGAAAGAAGACTATTGATAAGATTTTGAAACTTTGGGACATTGCATCAAAACAGAGAGCGAATTTGACAGCGAAAGACATCGAAAGTGTTTTTGGAAATAGTTTTAAACAGTTTAGGAATGCAGTTCTCCCTTTAATCAACTATTTCCTTTCAACGCCAAGTGATTTAATCAATTACTTGACTGAGATAAATCCGAGAAAATTCGCATTGTCATTTAATGAATTTGCAAATGATCTTTTCAATGGAAACTTGACTTGGGAAACATACACAGACATGAACAACAAGTTGTTTGTGTATTTGTACGAACCATTAGACTTGAAATACGGAAAAGGAGGAATAAGTCGATTGGCCAAGAGAATTTTAATTGGAGTTTTTAGTGGAATTGCTTTCGTTGGAATTATCTCTTTAATTGTATTTTTATGCATCAGGAAGAAGAATAAGAAGAACAAGAGAAATTATCCAACAGAAGAACTCATGAGCGATTTCACTAAAATCTCATTGTAAAAAATGTTTTTTATTATTATTTTATCATTTTAATTATGTAGCATGAATCTTCAAATTCTAAAATATTAGCTCATCAATTTTCGTACAATTTACTTTAATTTTTTTGCAAAATGTTATTCACTTTTGCGGTTTGGAATTTTTGGGGATGCGATCGAAGGGAGAAACCGCAAAAAAACTGAATATCATTTTAGCATTGAATTGACTGCAGAAAAAAATGTTGTAGATGGATTTTCTGAACTTTACGTTGAAACAGCGATCAAACTTTTTACTAGAGCATTTGAGTAATTTAAATAAGTGAAGCGAGAATTCGAATCTAGAAAAAGTAAAATTCCATTATGCATCGGAAAATTTATCTTGAACTTTTTGAATGCTTTAACGTCATTGCATATAAGGGTTTCGTTTTGCTAAAATTGTCACTTTTATAGCATATTTGTTTTTGGATGTTTTGCGAAACCAAAAAAAAAAACTATGATATACAATGTGTGTGTAAAGAAAATACTTTATTTACTAGTTAAAAAATCATTTGGTATTGATCAAGTTATTTTTTCTGGATAAGATATTATATGGATAATTGGATAGAAAATACAATTATATAATCTTGTACCTGGTTTAATTAAGCTAATTGTCATCAGAAACTTGTAATTTTTATGAATTTCAGATTTTCTTTTTATTACTGCTTTTCTTAATAGGTCAAGTTCTTATTTACGTTATAAAGTATGATATTTACAAATATCAAGTTATCATGTTTTTTGAGAAATTATGAGAAACAAACAAAAATGAAAAAGATAGGAATAGCAATGAATAGTGATGTGGGTATAGAAAATGTAAGAGATATGAATGCAAAGCAATCAGTATTTAGGATATTGACCATAGATTTCGAAAAAAAAATGCTGCATATTGAGCGAAAACTATGATTATATTATAAGGCTGTCATTTAAAGCATAATGAAACTATTCCCTTTTCATTTTAATCGAATAAGATAGTAAAGATTTTTGAATTAGCTAGAAACTGATGAGATGTTTTCACAAATCAGATTTTTAATCTCTATAATGCATAATTCACTCAATATCTCAATTTTGATATTGCGAGATATTTTTGCTATCGGTTTCGCAATTTTGACACAATAGCAAGAGGGTTCTATAAGCATTATTATCAACGTAGAATCTGAATATCATATCAGAAAATGTCGCAAATCTGACATTTACCCGACCAAATAGCAAAAATAATTGAATACTTTTCGCAAAAACTTTAAAAATCGATAAAAATATGAAATATAGATATTAAAGAGACTTTTTATATAATATTCATAAAGATTTTCCAAAAATATGATACCGCAAAATTAAAAAAAGTGACGTCTTGAGTGGAGTCAAAGGTCGAAATTGCTAGCTAAATGTTTTTTTAGCGAAATTGCGTATTGTACGTTTTTTTCGCAAAACGAAACCCTTATTGCATAGCATTACAGAATCATCAAAAACATCAGAAATACAAATTAATTGCAAAACCTTTATTATCTGTGCGATTATTTTACTTTCAAAAAATCTGAATTCTCTCAAAAGTATCAAACTCAAAATTTGCTTGATTAAGGATCATGCATTTCTTTAACAAATTGTTAATACATTTAGAAAATGAACCAAAGAGCTAAAACAGAACTCAGATCTAGTTGGGAAGAATATTTTGGCACTGAAACCAAAGTTGAGCAGACGCAAAATGGAACCGCAATCAATGATACAACAAATTCTAATAATTATTACGTTTTTTATTGTTTATTTGAAGAATGCAAAGAAATCGGTGCAATTTACATCAAAAGAACAAACAGTATTTGCACGTTACTTGAAAATTCTAAATTTAACAACTGTAGTTACACCTCAGATGATGGTGGTGGATCTGTTCTCTATCACTGCTATTACCATGGACAATTTGTACAAAAACGAACATGCTACTTTAAATCAATAGCAAGCAATAATTTCATGGCATTTAGACAATGGACTAATCCTGAACCTTCATATAAAAACTACGCAATTGATGTTTCTGTTTGTAATTGCGGAGAAAGTGAATCAAAAGGAAGTTTTACATTTCTTATTATATATGGTGATATAATTATTTCCAATATCAATAGCACAAATAACAAATGTAAACAATTTTCATCAATAAGTAGTCACCTTAACGGAAGATCATTTTCATGTAATTTCTCAACATTCAGAGGAAACAACCAAACTGAAACTTATTCACTTTTCTTTGAGATTAATGCAGGTAGTCCGAGATCTATACAAACAATTTCTTATTGCAATGTTATTGGAAATAAATGCGGAACAGATAATAACCAAGTTTTATTTGTTAGTACATACACAACTAATGTTGATCACTGCATATTTTTAAATAACACTGCAAAGTACATGTTTCATAACGATGTTAAAAATTACAAATTGACTATTTCAGATTCATATGTTGATTCACAGTCAGTTACAAGTACAGGAGGAAGTGTTACATTTACTAATCTAACAAATAATTACGATTTTTATAATTTTTATAATTTTTACACAGAAAATTGTTTTGCTGCAAGAAAATCCAAATTTAGTGGTGGAACTAAAGCACTTTATAAACCTCTATTTCTTAACAGGAGGCGGTAAACAAACAAAACAAAAACAAAAAATAATATATATATATATAGATCGATAGATAGATCTGGTGATTCTATTTTGTTTTGTAACTATGGGGATAATGTGATACTATTTCCATAGGTAATGCATCTGTTTACTTGATTATCTAATATCAGATAATCTAATCCTGATCAGAGGGTGTAAATTTTCTGATAATATCTATCTATTTACTAATCTTATGTTATATATTAAATAAGATTGATTTTTTATACCTGGGACAAAAGGCGTAAGTACCATGTGATATGAAATTGTGAGAATCTCATAGAATATTTTGAATAAACTTTCAAAATATTCTATAATTTACGCCTTTTTTCTCGAAGTTTATATATATAACAATCTTTCAATAAGGCATATTCTGATGGGGTCGTCATTTATGCGATCAAATACTCCATTTGGATGAAGTATAGTGACTTAGTAGGGTCTACCTCTAATTATATTACGTCTTGAGGAATCTTAGGCTTTGTAAAAAATTAAAGATTTTTTTTCCTCTTAAACTACTTCAGAATTATAATCAAACAATGATTTTTGAATATATATTTAAGGATGCACTTATACACATCTGACTCTAATTCAGAATTCTCACAACTGACGTGAAGCGTCATTAGAAATTAAACTCAAAGACCAGAATTGATTGTTATGTCACTTAAAAAAAAATCTAAATTAAAAATTAATATAATATATAACTTTATTTAAGAGCAGAAGAAAGTCTATTCAAATTAGAGCGAGACCATCCTTTAGTGAGGTTTCGTTCCAGTCCTTTAACAGATCTGATAGCTGTTTTAAGACTGTTTCTCATCTTGTCATATAATGACTGTTCGATGCCGATTTCCAATCTTTCTTTCTGTGGCAGAAGGATTGGATCACTGAGAATTCGTGCTATATTAAGTGATGCAAATGAATATTCTTGTTTGACAATGATGTCTGACAATGCATCATAAATAGGGATCATCGAGCCTTCCAAACTATCATCGAAAGGAAGGAGAGACAAGTAATCATTGAAAAGATCGTGATTTGCATCAAATTGAACAGATGAAGAACAAATAGAGAAGAAAAGTCTGACCATTGCTGCGAATGCGTAACTTTCATCAAGAATCTCTTCTTCTTCTTCACTCTCTGCAAAGACAATCGATGAAATGACATCAACTGTCAATTGTGCATCGAAAACATTTGGTGAGTTCTGCATCAAAATGAAAAATGCTTCCATTGACGAACAAATACAATCTTCGCTGTTTCGTTTGAGATGTGAAACTCTTTCGATAAGTGTGTTAAATATTAATTTAGATGTTTCATCATCGAAAGTGATTCCTTTAAGGATATCAAGAACTGATGGAAAGATATATTCTTTGCATATCTTGATTGATGCAAGGAAAAATGTTAATATATCTTTCTGTAGTTCTGGATAATATTTAACACTTTCACTGATATAATGGAAGATTGTTGTTGTGTCATCACGACATTCAACAGGAGAAATTCCACTCAAATATCCAATGTTTCCTGAAATGATGTCTTTGACTGAATCGAAAACAAAACTACTTGGAACTTTGTTGTTTTCGAAGAAAAGACTCATGACACTGTAAACAGCATCTGTTTCATTGCAGCCACTTTCACGTAAAACAAGGTTTCTAAGGCCATTAAATGCTTGTTTTGCTTGGTTTTCAGAGAGAATGGATAAAATCTCTGAAACAGGTGAACAGGCATAGAAAACCTTGGTTCCTGATACTATTTTGAGCGAATTCAGAACAAATTGGAAAAGAATTTCAAAATTATCTGGAGATAATTTGCTTTCTTTGGCGGAAACAGCAAGGGATTCGGCGGCTTTGAGCTTAAGTTTGATGGAAACATCGGAATCGAGGTAGGAAATTAACTTTGGAAGGAAATTTTTTGAGATATCTTCAATAAACTGAGGAATGCATTTAATTACAGCGATAACGTAAGCACCAATGATATCTATATAGTCTGGGGTATTCAATAACTCTTTTGCAGCTTCGTGGGCCAAATTTGATTTTGCAGTTGCTGAATTTGGACATCTTGAAGCGATTGTGCAGAAGATATCGATGTAGGCTGCCTTGAAATTGCCTTCTGGATGCTTGACAAAGCTTTCTATTGAATTTAGGAACGTATCTGCAAGTAAATCTGGAAAATCTTCATCCATTTCGATGATTTTGTTGACAAGCTTAGCGAAATAGCGAACATTCGATGGTTTGTACTCTTCTAACATGTCCATTGCTGCTGGAATGATGAAATTCGAATCAAAAATTCCAGATCCAACTAAAGAACGAGTTGCTCTACTTGCGAGTCTGCAGATATCATCATTATTGTATGTTAAGAATGGTAATATGTTTTCAAACACTTCAGACGTGTAATTATAATCTGATATTCTATCAACTAAGAATAAAGCTGAAATAATCGATGAGTCATCACCATTAAGTAGTTTTTGAATGATTTCTGGTGTTGCATCATATGAAGAAGGTACCATTTGTAAAATTGTGATTGCAAGTGGTGCAAAAACGAAAATTGAAGCGGTTGTTTGTGTTGTATTGACATAATCGAAGTATAATGTTAATGTCTCGTTCATTACATCATCAGCTTTAATTAAATCTACCAGAGACACAACCTTTTCTGGAACTTTAGCTCCGTTGTTCAATTCAATTGATGCAAGCTCTGTAATTTGCTTCAAAATCTCTGTTGCAACATCTGACTTAATGTATTGGAATGTTAAGCAAAGAGATTTTGCAATTTTTAATTTTTCTTCGAATGAATTTTGTTGATTTTGCAGTGCAGTAACTTTATCTGTAATGCATGGATATGATTCTGTTGTGAATTTTGTGGATATTGATGCGAATTTATTTAAAATGTCGTAAAATAAGTAAATGTGCTTCTCATCGTTGTCTGCAATGTCAATAAGAAGCTTCCATACCTTCTCATCTATCAGATTATCCCCTGTTGGATTAGTAAAGTAAGCTTCAAGTACGTCAAACAATTCTTTCATATATTTTTTAATTGGTCTAAAATTTTTGCAAAATCTTTGTGGACTATTGATGTTTTTCCAAATTAGTAATCGAATTACGCATCTTTGTCAAGGAGTCCAGATAAATATACCACAATTTTAATAATTCATTGATTTGCTCAGATTTTTTTCAAAGAATTTGATATGCGATATTTAGAAATTAAAGCTAACATATAACATCAAAAAGGCATAACATTGCGCTTTTCATTAAGAACGCTTAAAATATTCCAATATTTTGCTTTAATTGAATTCAAAATTCATAAATCAATTGTGAAAGCTAAGCATCGGTATAAAAACCGAGTATGAAATGATGTTTTTTATTCAACAAATCAATTAAAAATTAAAATTATAAATACAACAAAATTTATTAGAAAATAACTATTACTGTTTTTGAGAAGGACGCTGGAATTGCCTTCTAATGAGCTCTGGATTTGTTTCCTTAATCTGTCTTGCTAATTGCTTGAAGAAATTCTCGTAAACTTCTGGAGGATTCTTAAGTTCCATGGTTTTAAGCTTTCTAACAGCAAAAGTGGTAAATGCAACAATTTCCTCTTGGAAAGGTACTGTTTTTGCAGCTAATTCAGCAGAAAGAGAAGAAACATATTCGTAATCTTGTCTTGCCTTTCTAAGTTTGTTCGCAACATCATCCTTGAGACCATATTTATCAAGTCCTGTTGAAACAAGCTCTTCAATGAATTGTTGCATTTCTTCATTTCGCTTAACCCATCTTTCATAGCTTTCTATACCAGCAGGAGAGAATAACTCTTGGCCAAATTCATCTTGGCATTGAGCAGTGCTTTGTATTTCTTTCTGAATTGAATTATATAATTGTACGCTTAATCTATCGATATCTTTATCAACATTTTCCTTTGTTGGCTTGGAAAGATTGTCAACAAGCTCTTGGAGCTCGGCTGCTCTGTTCTTTAAGAAGGCAACAAAGCGGGTGTGACATCTTTCGAGAGTTTTGAGTGTACTAATGAAGGATTTCATGTGTTTGGGGAATTTGGTCTGAGCTTCGGCCATTTGGTCACGAATTTCTTCTATCTTTGGTTCAAAACTATCATTTAAGAATCTGACGTAATTTACATCGAGTGTTGTTTGTGGTAAGTTTGGAGTTCGAAGAAGAAGTTCTGTTGTTGGATCTTCGAGCCTCTCAGCGTATTCTAAAGCTGTTCTATCGTGATTATCTTGTAAATCTCGTTTAATACCGTATTTCATAAGAAGTAAGCATGATTCTGCTTGTCCTTCTTTTGCAGCGAAATGCAAAGCAGAATGCTCAGAGTTAGCCATTTCTGCGTGATTTTCGAGTAATAAGTTGACAGCATAGTTATTTCCTTTGTGAATTGCGTGTAATAATGGTGTTTCACCTCTGTTGTTTGGAATATTTACGTCTGCTTCGAATTGAATTAAATATTTCAGTGCTACGTTGTTATCGCATTTAATTGCAGTCGTTAATGGCGTATTTCCGTTCTTTTCAATCGGAATATTCGGATCTGCACCGCTTTCAAGCAAAGCAAGAACTGCGTTATTTTTCGCATACATTATAGCGTAATGCAGCGGAGGAACATTCTCCGAACATAACGGTAAACTTGGGTCAGCACCTTTTTCAATAAGAAATGATACTAATTTCTGATTGTCATCATCAATGCAGCAAAATAAGTAGGATTTTTGAGTATTATTTTGAACATCTTTGATCACCTTATTCGGGTCTTCACCTGCGTTGAGCAGCTCCTTTATAACGTCTATGGATGCCATATGCTCAAACTTCTGTTACAAATTTTTTTTCTAACGCGCGAAGTTTAGAATTTTTGAAAAAGTGACAATTATTTTAGTAATCACAATATCTTCATCAAAAATGCTATATTTACTTTAGGTTAACGAACATTATCTTTACAGCTGGACATTTTAATTAACTCTTACATGTGTTGCTATCTTTTTGATTAAATATTCCTATAAAATAATTTTATAATTCTGATGAGGCCATTATTACAATGATTTTAATTTCTATTGCTGAATACATCAGTGTTTATAATGAGAAGCTATAGATTATTAAAAATAAAAATTTTGAATAAACATTAACTTTATTTTTGCATGTAAGCCAATGCTAAAAGCATCAATTTGCATGCAAATGAATAGTATATATAAGAAGTATCTTTCTTGATGAAAGATGGAAATATATTGTTAAATTATTGACGCATCTTTGAAATCATAATAGCATATGGATCATCTTCTGGATCATATGCAATAATAAAGAGAAAATCTGATAATAAATGAGAAAATCCGTATGAAAAAAATAAAACGCCTAATCCACGCAAAGGCCTCTTTAATGCCTTAATTAGTGCATATACGCATGGAACTCCTGACTGAGTTTGGCATTTTTGTGGTGGAAATTCATTAAATCCATAAAATCCACAGCAATTATAGTATTTCTGGATTTCTAGTATTTCAGAGTTTGCATATCGATCAGTCCATTTAGCCATATGCATTCCTATGTATGTTTCTATATCAAAAATTAATAAATAAGAATAATAAAGCTCGAACGCAATGAATGGAAGCGAAATAATCGATGCAATTCTTGATATTTGCTTTTCTTTTAATCTGTAGAATATCCAAATGAAAAATAATGTAAATAATGATTGAAATATAGAAATAAAATGCGGTAATAATGGAAACTGAGTAAGAAAAATGAGCTTAGTGTGCACCAACCATGCTCTTGTTGAAAATAAATTAAGTATTGATAATAATAAAATTGCAAGTTGGAGCAGAAACGAAAGAAAAATGTAATATTTCATATGAAATTGAATGGAATCAAATGGATGAAGGAGATTTTTGAAAATCTGATGAAAAGACCTTGTGCAAAGATCTTCATAGACCCTATAGTACCAGATACAGAATCATATTCAAACTATTACTCGATTATTGACAATCCAATGGATTTGAATACAATTTATCAGCGAATAATACACAATGTGTACCAAGATGTCGATGAGGTAACACGAGATATCAACTTTATTGTCACTAATTCCATAAAATTTTACGGATCGAATCACTGCGCAACATATCTAGCGAAACATCTAGCATATTTATACGAAAAAAGCATTAGATTGCATTTAAATTGTGATTTTAATGATTGGCACAAGATATTTGTAGATCAAACACAAAATATTAATTCAATGTTGAATAAATTTGCAGAAACGCACGGATTAGAGAAGAGATACTTTGACATTAACGAAAGAAAAGATGCAACAGTGCAAACGAACTCTGTTGAAATGAATATTCATCGCCCTCCTCCAAATGATGAAATAATTAAATCAAATTTGTTTGATGACTACGTCCATAGTAGCAAAGAGAAAAGCAAAAACAGTGATGATAAAAAATATACAAAGAAGATAAAAAGAAAGATTCCTGAAAGCAAAATAAACAATTTTTTGAGTGCACTCTCCAATTTATCCCTCAGCGACGCAAAACAATTAGTTTCGATTACTATTTCAATGCAGCCTGAACTTAACATTCCTTTTCCTGAAGCTCGAATTGATATTGACGAACTTAAGGATAAAACAATCCTTAAGCTAATTGAATATACAAGATCAAGATTCTTACAGCTTAATTTGCCATATCCAACTACATAATTCATAATTATCATGTAGAATTTTATTTTTCTAGGATTGAAGGCATTTTGTGAGATAGCGCTTATCAGTCCTCATTACATATTTGTTTTTAAACGATTTAATTAAGTATAACATAATACAAAAATCAAATGAAAGAAATTCAAATTTTTTTGATAGGAATCTGATTGAATTATTCCATTCATAATGGGCCTCTTCTAATAGAGTAACGTATGATACTATTCTTGTCGTCAAATTACATAATTTTTTAAGGAGTTCATAATGTACAATTATCTATCCTAATTTCCTCACAATTGATCTCAAAAATTAAATTGTTACGGCAAAAATTATAAAAATTAAATAAAAATTTTTAGATATTTTTACTAATCATGCAATATATTACTGATTAATTTCTATTTAAAATTTTTACATTCAAAAAATTTATAACGTGATTTTTATAATTTCACAAAGAAAATTCATAATAAAAGTTTTTCTTATGGAAACATGGAAAACTCAATTTTTTTGAAACTTCAATATAAAAAAGTTTACATTTTTTTATATGAACGTTTGGGAAGCTATTGATAATGAAGATCTCAATGCTGTTAAGCAGTGGGTTAAAGAAACAAGTGACATTAACGAAGTTAACGCAGATGGCCTCAATATCTTAATGTATACACTCAAAAACGGCAAAAAAGAAATTGGTTCATTTCTTATCCGCTCTAAGATCAATTTAAAGTACGTTGATCCACAAGGAAAGGATGCTATTATGTATGCTATTGAAGGTGGTCTCGGTATTGCTGTCCAACCACTGGTTAAGCAAAAACATGTGGTCACCAACGTCGATGTTCACGGCAGGTCACCACTTCACTATGCATGCATATACGGATCAAAGGCCGGTGCTGATTTCCTCTTGAAATCAAAAGTTCCTGTTGCAGGTGTTGATGAAGATGGAAATACTCCATTGCATCTTGCTCTCATCAATAAAACAAAAGGAATGCTTCAATTATTCGCCCAGTACAATCCACCTTACAACAAGCCAAACAAGAAAGGCGAAACCTTGGCTCATTTGGCTGTATACAATCAGAGCGTTGAAGTTATTAAGTACTTAGGCAACAAAAAGTTTGGTGTTGACTGGAATGTTGCCGATAATGAAGGCTTAACTCCAGCTCTTATTGCTGCAAAAGTCGGAGCTGAGAAGGTTTTACAACTTCTGTTCAAGCTTGGAGCATCTCCATCCGCTAAAGTTGCTGATGGATCTACAATTGTCCATCTTGCCGCGCTTGGTGGCCATGCAAACATCATTCCAATTACTTCATCCGTCGGAGCTCCAATTGATGAAGCCAACAACGATGGTATCAAACCAATCCACTATGCATGCATGAGTGGAAGTATTCAGATCGTTACAGCCCTTCAAAAAGCTTTAGCCGATCTCAATTCACCAGATAAAGATGGTGATATTTCAATTCATTACGCAGTTCGTAACAATCACATTCCAGTTGTCGAATTCCTCATACAAAATGGTGTTGATATCAACTCCCACGGCAAAGATAAGAAATCTCCACTTCATCTTGCTGTTGAACTCGAGTTCCCGGAGATGGTTCAACTCCTTACAGAACATTCTTGCGAAACAACAACAAAAGATATCAACGGAGAAACTCCATTGCATTATGCAGTTAAACAAATGAATATTCCGATCATTAACTTACTCATTGTTGCTGGTGCTACAACGAATAACACGGCAAACGATGGAACAGCTCCATTGCATATTGTTGCAGAACAAAATCAAGTCGAAGTTGCCAAAATCTTGTTCGCAGCCGGTGCAGATGCCAATATTAAGAACCAGCAACAGCAGACACCAATGCATATTGGCTCATTGTTCGGTTCCGACGACATTATTTCAATTTTCATCGAACAACATGCGGATTTGAACGCTCAGGATGAGAATGGGCAAACACCAATGCACATTGCTACACTCAACTGCCATCTTGGCATCTTAAAGAAGCTTGGAGAGGCAGGATCAGATCCAAATGTCAAAGATCGTCAAGGAAAAACACCATTACATATCGCCTGCTCTATGCAGAACGAAGAATATGTTGCAACATTACTATCATTCAAGGCAAACGTTGCTTTGGCCGATGAAAATGGCAGAACAGCGTTACATTACATTGCAGATCTTGCCAATTTCAAGCTTACGCAGCTTCTTCTTCAGAATGGAGCCCCTGTTAATGTTGTTGATGTAGACAAGAACTTACCACTTCACTTGGCCGCATTAAAGATGGATAAAAAAGTTGTTGCCGCATTAATCAACGCTGGAGCAGATGTAAAAGTCATGAATACTAAAGGATTGACACCAATGCAAGGTACAAGACTTACTTTCTCCAAATACATGAAAGCTCTCGTTAAAGAAAGAGATGAAAAGGAACAAGTTGTCAATCCAAACAAATATGAGCCAGGAAATGTCTTGGATCAGTCGAATAACGTTCTTCAAGGTGATGCAGAACTCAGAGAAATGATTTGTCTTTTATGTAAGAGAAGACCTGCTGTTGCTGCTATTGTTCCTTGCGGACACCTTTGCTGCTGCGAAGTTTGCCAGAAGGAAAGAGTTTCTTCACTCAAAGTCTGTCCTTTCTGCAAGAAAGAATGCTTCGGAGCTGTTAACATCCTTGTTGAAATTTAATATTTTTTTATATTTTCAAATGTTATTTTTATGAATAAAATACTACTATTTGATGATAAATTTCTTAAATATATTTCCTTAACTAAGAGAAGTGGAATTTTACGGTTGATCATTCAAAATTTCCTAAATATAACTGATTTTAAGCATCAACATGATTCACTCTGTAATATATTAATTATCTGATTATGCCATACTTATATAAAATGATGAAATGGCTTATATTAATGATTTTTTTTTTGAAATTGTTTTGATAAATCGAAAGATGTGGCGTTGAAAACATTGTACTTGGATTATCTTGGGAGTGTGTTATTTAAAAATTGGCTTATTATAAAATAAATAATATTTTATAAATAAAAATTACAAAATCTCTACTACAATACATATACAAATAATGAACGTTCTGAAAAAATAATATTTGCCTTATTTCAGAGCAAATATTCAAATAAAAAAAATATTATCTAACAAAATTAAAAGATATGGTTAATATAAGTCAGATATGGTCTATAAGTTTGATTATATAATATTTGGGTCGGATATATAAACTGAATTAGGAAGAATTAATCCAATGACGGAATTATCATCTTCTTTTTCTATTTCTAGAGGATCTTTATCAGGAATTTTAATTTTATCTAATTTTTCCTGATATACTTTTGAGATTTTTTCAACTAATTTCAGATTTGGAATGAAAATAAATAAATTATCTGCAAAATCAAGAATTGAATATGGTACTATAACAGCGACCTTATTAAATGGTATAATAACACCGTTAACTCTAAAAATATTCGCTCCAATATTATGAATATAAAAATTAAAGTCATTATGTAAAAATATCACTGCCTGATGATTTGTAATATGTTGGCATTTCGTTTTGGCTACTAATTCTAAGTTTATATCAATTTCCGATAAAGGAGAATGATATCCGATTTTTATGCTTTGTTTTTTCATTTTAAAGCATACCTCATCAGACAGTAGTATCGCTAAATCATTTTCATCGAATAGATTATTTGTCAATCTTGGATAATATTTACTTAAATTATCGAGAGTTTTGTTTGCATTAAATTCAATAGGATTCTCGCTACGTTTCATACACTTGAATTGGGAGATGAGTACAACGTTGCTATCTGTATCAGAAGTCTCGAAAATCATTTTATCTGTAATTAATCTTTGTGTCATTAAATTTAGAAGCGAATTGATTTCTTCTTTGCTGTAATTTCTAATTTCGTTTATTCTTTGAATGATTTCTTCATGAGAACGAATTGGAGAAATTTTTTCGCGGCAATGGTCAATAATTTCATCAGGAGTTGCATCAGGAAGACTTGTTGATAGTAAATATAGCCAATAATCTTCTTCAATGTCCCATGGAGTTTGAGTTCTAATATCTTTCAAGTCTTGATAATCTTGTTGTAAGGAATACATAAGCTCCTTATATCTGGCTTGAAGATCAGCTGATGAATGATCTCTTTCAAATGAAATTGTGTAATGAATTGAATCAAAAGGCAAAGACATCGCACTTAGTATAAGTAAATAATCATCATGTTTCGAGAAACGTGATTTAGGTCTTGAAGTATCCGGTTTGACTACATTTTGGTCATCGGATGACTTCATTAAAATTTTGGATTTACCCCCTTTTATTCCGAAAAAGTGACAAAATATTTTAGATTTCATTATATTACAAATATTGATGTTACACTATTATTATAGTGATGTAGTATAGTAGGTATGAGACCACATTATACATGTTAGGAAATAGCTTTTGATTCGTTGAATCTCATAAACATATTCCTAATTTCTTATTTTCCAAAGTAAAAATCGATAATGTATTAGTATTATTTACAGAGCTGAGTGATGTCGATCTGTTGATATCCTTGTAAAAGCAGCAAAAAAGTATTTTTCTTATGAATAAATATGAGATTGGAATAGCTAATTATTTTAATATTTAACGAATCTTTTTAATTAAGCGTGATCCTATTTTTCCTGGATCCTCTCGTAATTTATTCAAATAATTTAAAATATTAAAAAATTTCATCTAATCACTAATTGTCATTGATAAAGATATTTTCTTAGTGTATTAAAACTTATTTATGATATTCATTTCCTGATTTCAGTATATTGATATTTCTCCAGCGTTCGATATTCATCAAATAGTGCTATAAGTTTGGGGTTTTACTTTTTATTTTATGGCAAAGTTAAAAATCTGAACCTTAGTATCAGATATCCAGTTTTTCATTATCTAGGAATTGACAAAAATTGATAATTCATGATTTGTCAATGAAAAATGGTTATGATTCATGATGTACATTATATACCACACAAACAAAATCCAAAATTTTATGATCCATCAAATTGAGAGGAAAATTTTTGAGAACTGTTTCTTCATTTTTCAAATTGATGACAAGACTTCCAGTTCTCTTCCTTGGACATGGCAGCCCAATGAACACCTTGTTTTCCAACAACACATATAACCAGGCTTTTGCCAAGATTGCCCAGACTTTTCCGAAACCAAAATCAATCTTAGTTATATCCGCACACTGGTGTTCAAGAAGAACAGAAATAATGACATGGAAGGAAGCTCCATTAGTTTATGATTTCTATGGCTTCCCACGTGAACTATATCAGCTCAAATATCCATCACCAGGATCTCCTGAATTAGCCAAAAGAGTTTCTGAAATTCTCAGTGAATATCACGTCAAACCAGAAGAAAGACGTGGTTTAGACCATGGTGCATGGTGTGTTCTTAGACACCTCTATCCACAAGCTGATGTCCCCGCAATTCAGCTCTCAATTGATGTGACATTGTCTCCAGAACAACACTGGAAAATTGCCGAAAAACTCCGCGTATTGAGAGATGAAGGAGTCTTAATCCTCTGCAGTGGTGATATTGTTCATAATCTTGGTGAAATGGATTTCGACAGAGCTGAACAGCTTTATCAGTATAAATGGGCAGATGATTTTAGAAAGAAGATCAATGAAGCAATATTGAGTAAGGATAAGGACACATTGGTCAACTTCGAAAATCTTCCTTTCGCAAGAAAAGCAGTTCCAACTCCGTCTGACCACTATTTGCCAATTATCTATGCAATGGCACAAGCAACCGAGAAAGATAGAATTGATATCTTCAATGATGACATTGTTGGTGGTTCATTATCAATGACCTCCGTTTGTATCCATGAATAAAAAAATTTAATTGATTTTTTTTAATCGCATCATTTTTTATTAATATTATTAATAGCCATTATCATTATAAGTTATATTCATATGCATTGGCCGGTAAACAGTGTTCAATGAATTCAAATATTCAATAGCATCTATCCTGGTCTGGATGGACCAGTTCATCGTAATACAAATGTCATTTAAAGAGTAATATTCACTTCTCATCATTAGAAAAAAACAAAAAGATTCCGAACAAATTTGGGTAATTGTCATGAGCCATTTTTATAATAAAATAAAATTATTGGTCATACGCTTTTAATTTATTTAGAAATCTTTGGAAATTGCGCCCCTAAATTGCTCACAATTTTCCGATCGTCATTGTAAACAATTCATAATTAAAAAAATGCTGAAAGACATTTCAACAGTTGGTATCGTTGTTCCACGTCTTGACATCGCTCGTTCATACTTTGAGCAGATATATGGCGTTATTACATCTGAACCAGTTGAATCTAAGCCTGGAATTCTTTCATCCATTGCTCCATTTAGAAATACAAAGGTAGAACTTATGGAACCAATTGATAAGGATGGCCATACATCACAAGCTGAATATCTTCGTTATCATCCAAAGGGTGGAATTCATCATATTGCATTTTCTACCGATAACATTGATAACACGCTTGAGTCATTCTCAGCCATTGGTGTTAACCCACTTGAAAAGCCAAGACAGCACCCATCACTTCACAAGAAGACAGTCATGTTAGATCCTTACTACACACAAGAAATTATGACTGAGCTTGTTGAAGAATAAGTCATTGGTGTTCCAATAATTCTTCATTTATATTAGAACTACTTTTTTTGTAATAAAATTACGAGTAATATTCATTTTCTACAGCCATAATAAACAATTTCATTAAATGCATTTCTTACAAAATAATATATTTTCATTATATTAAGGATTTATTGAAAATAATTCTATAGAAAATAATATAATTCATTTTCATCAATTAAATCATGATCAAATAAGTATAAGATGATTAGCTTTATATGGTATTGCATTGAATTTTATAAAAATCATACATTTTTCAATTAATATTTTGATGAATTAAATTTTTAGAGTTAAACAGCAGATGATATTCATTTCATTTGAAAGATAATATGGTTGGTTAATGCATTCTAATATATATCAAACAAAATTTAATAACAAAAAATTAAATAAAAATATAGTATTATTTTGGATTCTCTTTCTCATCATCACCTCTTTTCTCATTAACTTTTCGGCCTCCAATTGTTCCATATCCGCCAAATTTCGGTGAATTGTCATTTGGAAAAATTGTGTTAGCAAAGGCATTTTGAGGTGAAAAGAATCCGAAACCGTATGGTCCCCTTACAACTGGCAATGACTTTGAAGCAAATTGGAATAATCCGGACATATTGTAAGGAAACGTTTGATTGGAGCCATTAACGATCAATGCTGACTGGCATTCTTCATATCCTGGGTTCTGTGGCCTGAAAAACATATTAACATTTCTTGATATTCCTTTTTCAAGCGGTCCGTAGCACGTATTCTTGAACATTAGAGGGTTTGACCTTACGAAATCTCTCTCATTAAAAGTATCAAGTCGTTTCCTTGTTCCGTATCTTGCTCCGTTATTAAATAAAGCTTTTGCGACACTTGGGAACTTCGCTATGTCAAGGGGAGTTCTGTTATATCCATCATATCTATTTAGATCTATGTCTGGCCTTGAAATTAAACTGAAAACCATGGATGGATCAGATCTTGCAGCTGCAAAATGAATCGGAGCTGCATGAGTAGGATTTTTAGTATTATTTATATCCAAATCTTGTATTATAAGACAATTATTCATCACTGTCGCATCACAATAAAATGCGATCGTATTTAAAACGGAAATACCCGTAGAAGGGATTATAGACTCCAAGAACTCCTTCCCACCAATGGAAACCAATGCAATGATTGCTGTATCATATGAATTTTGTACTGAATAACTGAAAAAATTGCACATTTGCTTCATTGGTATCGATCCTTTGATTTCTATGAGGATTCTTAAGATCTTTGTCGTTGTTACAGGGTCTGTTCTTATTATAAGCTTCGTCCAGATTGATGACATTGAAAATTTCTTTAAAAATTCAGTTACAACGTCATTAAAATCAGCTCTTAACAAATAATCAATGATAATCATCGCATCTGATAATTTTAATGTGGTCGAGCCATGATAAAGTAGATATAAACTAAAGATATCTTCAATTGTTGTATCTGTCGTATAATTCTGGAAGAAATGTAAAGGAATAATCGATTTCTGGACCAAAAAAGCTGATGAAAGTGGCGGAAATGAACTTCTCGAATCATTCATATAAGAATTTGCCGAATAAGTCATTCTACGGCCAAGACAAGTCTCAGAAAGGTATTCTAGCACTTTTATGTTGATCGTAGGAAGGGATTGGACAAATACATATGAAGGAAGTGGAATTTTTGAGGAAATTAATTTGACATTTTCGAGATCTCCATTTAAAGCCAAAATTGCAGCAAGTCTAATTAACTGGTGGTCTTGTTTGGAGTTGGAGATCAAGTATGAAAGGATCTTTTGAGAATTAAACATAGCAGAAATCAAAATTATTTGAGAATTTGATGTAACTCCATAATAATCGTTCATAAATTCATACTTATGCTTTCCAAGAACAGGTGTTGCATCATTACAATGTTTTTTGAACCATTCGAGGTCATCATTCAAAAGAGATGTTAAAATTGAGTTTGTTTTACATCTGCACTCAAAAATTGAAATAATTTCTGAGAAATTATCGGATATTAATTCAATAAATCCACTCTGGTCGATTGTTTGTGGTTTTTCTTCCTCTTCTTCCGAAAACATGTTTAAATCGCCTTGGAACTGTGTTGGTAGAGTAGAATACATGCTACCCATTGTTCCCCATCTGGTGCGATGCATGTAGTTTGTATCTTGTAAATTATTGGATGATAAATACAAATTTAAAATATCTTGTCTGTCAAACACTGAACTTACAATAATTAGTGATCGTATTACCGCAGGATCTCCTTGCATACAAATATTTTCAAATGCTGAGCGATATTGAGCTGGAGTGAAAATTCCAAATTTTACAAAATAAGAAAAGATATCTGTACTTGAATCTAAAACATCTACTGGCGATGGCTGTAACAGTTGTGGTACTATTTTTAATAATTCGCATAAAACCCACATATAATAATGTAATATGTAAGATTTTCGTTTCGAAATGCCAATAAATAACTCGCAGAAGTTTATTACGCCTTGTAGTGTTTGCGGAATCATAGGTAGTAGTTGCTCTTTGATTTCTTTGTAGTTTGTTGCTGAAATTTGAGTAATTAATTCGAATTTCCGCTGTTTTCGGATGAGATGGTCCCTATATGTATCAGGTAGATCAAATTTTCCTAAGTAAAACTCCATGTTCTAATACAAAAAAATCCAAAAAAAAATTTTACAAAACAATTGTTGGTATTTTTGACATCGTATCAAATCAATAAAAATAAAGAGCTTATGGAATAGACAAATCGAGATAGAGATATCGCCTGGGATAGAAACCTTAGTATTAAAATTGATTTGCTCATTGATTAAAATCTTGCGTTATAATGAACATTTCACATTCATTGCTTGCCATTACAGGATATGTTAAAGGTAAAGGTTTGTTTCATGTAATATTTATTGTTTAAAAACAAAATTTTTATCAATAAATTTCTAGTTTTAACAATAAATTGCCACAAATCAATATAAACATCATGCATCAACTTGAATTCGTGGAATAAAAACTGTGTGTAAAATAGCGTAGAAACATTTTTTTTAAGTGTCGTGGTAAATTTTTACAAAGCATGACAAGTTCTGAACAATCAAAAAATGAAACTGGATGTTATTTTAGTGACATTAAACCGATTGAAATATTTAAATACCCTAGTCAAGCATCAAATATTATATGGAGTGTCAATTCGAATAATATGTTACAAATATCTTCACAAATTATAGAACTCATTACAAATAACAAAATACCAATCCAGATGTCGCTTAACTTGATTGATGTTATTTCACAAATTCGTGTTAAAGATATTAAATTATTCGCAGAACTTTACCAAAAGATATTAAACGAATTTTCATGCATCATCAAACCGAAAAATGATAAATTAGCAACGTTATTATATTATAAAGGTATCAAATTTGAAAACTTCAAACCTACATTTGAAGAAGAAGAAATTCTGAATTTATACTATATTGCATGGGATAAAGTTGATGATCTTAAAAGTAAATTCCCAAATCTTGATATTAATGAGAAAATTGATTATCGAATTACATCACTTGATTGCGCGATTAAATTTGGCTCATAATTATGTTTCAATTACTTGAAAAATTTAGGAGCTAAATATACCAAAAACTCCGAAAAATATGCAATTCAAGGCGGAAATAAAAACATTTTTATGCAAATGATAGAAGATGGTAAATCATTTGATAACATGATTAATACAGCATTGGATTATCGACACTATGAAATTGCTGAGTACCTTAAATCAAATTGAGGACAAACTCCTGATTCAATAGCGGAGTGCATGTATTTCGGAAATTATGATTTTGCATCTTATTTACTTTCTAATGGAGGAAATATTAACAAAATTTATAGTCTCTCTCTTTTTATATTTATCATTATTTTGTTACATTCTCTTTCTCTTCATAACTATCATTATTTTCTGAAATTTACTTTCTTGTGATATTTGTTATCGTTTAATGGCATTCTTTTTCTTTTCATATATATAACAATGAAATTCTCACAATGTTAATGAATGCCCTCTTAGTATTGCAATAAAAGCAAATTCAACAGAAATTGTCAAACACTTAGTTGAACACGGTGCTAATGTCAACGTGAAACTTATTCTCTATCTTTTGATATTTATCATTGTTATATTACATTTTCTTTCTATTCATTTATCATGTCTGATGAAGCTTTTTTCTTTTCATATTATCATTATTTATGACATTTTCTTTCTTTTCATATTTATCATTGTTTTATTACATTATTTTCTTTCATATTTATCATTGTTTATTACATTATTTTTCTTTTCATATTTATTATTTTTAAAAGATTTTCTTTCTTTCATATATCATTGTTTTATAAAATTTTATTTCTTTTGATATTTCTCATTGTTATATTACATTTTCTTTCTATTCATATTTATCATTGTTTTAAAAGATATCTTTCTTTTCATATTTTTCATTGTTTATTACATTTTCTTTCTTTTCATATTTATCATTGTTTTATAAAATTTTATTTCTTTTCATATTGTCATTGTTTTATAGAATTCTCATTCTCTTCACATTTATCATTGTTCTATATTTCTCTTTCGTTTCATATTAATTAATAGTTTTAATGTATTCTCTTTCTCTTCATAATTATCATTGTTTTATATGATTCTCTTTCTCTTCATATTACCATTGTTTTATAAAATTTTATTCTTTTCATATTTATAATATTTTTATAAAATACTCTTTACTTTCACAATTATCATTGTTAATGAAATTATCACAATGAATGAATGCCCTCTTATATTGCCATCAAATGAATTCAATAGAAATTGTCCAATTCCTAGTTGATCATGGTGCTAATGTTAACATGAAACTTATTCTCTTTCTTTCATATTATCATGTTTGATTTAATTCTTTTTCTTTTCATATTATCAATATTTTATTATCTTCACTTTCTCTTCATAATTACATTATTTATTACATTCTCTTCTTTTTATATTTATCATTGTTTAGTGAGATTTTCTTTCTTTTGATATTTTTTATGTTTAATGGCATTCTTTTTCTTTCTTATTTATCAGAGTTTTATGACATTCTCTTTCTCATCACAAATATCATTATTTTATTACATTCTCTTTCTCTTCATAACTATCATTATTTTCTGAAATTCACTTTCTTGTATATTGTTATCGTTAATGGCATTCTTTTTCTTTTCATATTAATAACAATGAAATTCTCACAATGTTAATGAATGCCCTCTTAGTATTGCAATAAAAGCAAATTCAACAGAAATTGTCAAACACTTAGTTGAACACGGTGCTAATGTCAACGTGAAACTTATTCTCTATCTTTTGATATTATCATTGTTATATTACATTTCTTCTTCATATCTATCATTGTTTTATTACATTATTTTTCTTTTCATATTTATCATGTTTATTACATTTCTTTCTACTCATATTTATCATTGTTTTATTGCATTTTCTTTCTATTCATATTTATCATTGTTTTATTACGTTCTCTTTTCATATTTATCATTATCTAATGAAGCTTTCTTTCTTTTCATATTTATCATTGTTTTAAACATTCTCATTCTTTTGATATCTATCATTGTTTTATGACATTCTACTTTTGATATATATCATTGTTTTATATATTCTTTTTCTATTTCACATTTTCATTGTTTTATGAAACTTTCTTTCTTTATATATTTATTATTGTTGTATGACATTCTCTTTCTTTACATATTTATCATTGTTTATGAAACTTTCTTTCTTTTTATATTTATCATTGTTTTATGAAACTTTCTTTCTTTTCATATTTATCCTTGTTTTTTGACATTCTCTTTCTCTTCATATTTATAATTGTTTTATTACGTTCTCTTTCTCTTCATATTTATCATTGTTTTATGAAACTTCTTTCTTTTCATATTTATCATTGTTTATTTAATTCTGTTTCTTTTGATATTTGCATTGTTTTATAGCATTCTCTTTCTCTTCATATTTATCATTGTTTTATGGCATTCTCATTCTTTGATATTTATCATTGTGTTATGACATTTTCTTTCTCTTCATATTTATCATTGTTTTATAAGATTATCTTTCTATTCATATTTATCATTGTTTGATTTAATTCTTTGTCTCTTCATATTTATCACTGTTTTATATAATTCTATTTCTTTTCATATTTGTCATTGTATAATGAAATTCTCATAATAATAGTAAATGTCCTCTTAGTATTGCAATAAAAGCAAATTTAACAGAAATTGTCAAATACTTAGTTAACATGGTGCCAATGTTAACATGAAACTTATTCTCTTTCTTTTGATATTTAGTATCATTTTAAATCATTCTATTTCTCTTCATATATATCATTGTTTAATTGCGTCCTCCTTCTTTCATATTTATCATTGTTTAATAGAATTTTCATTCTTTTCATATTTATCATTGTTTTATGAAATTCTCTTTCTTATGATATTTATCGTTGTTTATAGAATTCTCGTCCTCTTCATATTTATCATTGTTTTTTACATTCTCTTTCTTATGAATTTATCATTGTTTTATAGAATTCCCCTTCTTTTGATATTTTCATTGTTATATGAAATTCTCTCTCTCTTTATATTTATAATTTTTTATATGATTCTCTTCTCTTAATAATTATCATTGTTTTATGAAACTTTCTTTCTTTTCATATTTATCATTGTTTAATGAAATTCTCACAATGTTAATGAAATGCCTCTTAGTATTGCAATAAAAGCAAATTCAACAGAAATTGTCAAACACTTAGTTGAACACGGTGCTAATGTCAACGTGAAACTTATTCTCTATCTTTTGATATTTATCATTGTTATATTACATTTTCTTTCTATTCATATTTATCATTGTCTGATGAAGCTTTTTTTCTTTTCATATTTATCATTATTTTATGACATTTTCTTTCTTTTCATATTTATCATTGTTTTATTACATTATCTTTCTTTTCATATTTATCATTGTTTTTATTACATTATTTTTCTTTTCATATTTATTATTGTTTTAAAAGATTTTCTTTCTTTTCATATATATCATTGTTTTATAAAATTTTATTTTTTGATATTTCTCATTGTTATATTACATTTTCTTTCTATTCATATTTATCATTGTTTTAAAAGATTATCTTTCTTTTCATATTTTTCATTGTTTTATTACATTTTCTTTTTTCATATTTATCATTGTTTTATAAAATTTTATTTCTTTTCATATTTGTCATTGTTTTATAGAATTCTCATTCTCTTCACATTTATCATTGTTCTATATATTTCTCTTTCGTTTCATATTAATTAATAGTTTTAATGTATTCTCTTTCTCTTCATAATTATCATTGTTTTATATGATTCTCTTTCTCTTCATATTTACCATTGTTTTATAAAATTTTATTTCTTTTCATATTTATAATATTTTTATAAAATACTCTTTACTTTCACAATTATCATTGTTTAATGAAATTATCACAATGTTAATGAATGCCCTCTTTATATTGCCATCAAAATGAATTCAATAGAAATTGTCCAATTCCTAGTTGATCATGGTGCTAATGTTAACATGAAACTTATTCTCTTCTTTTCATATTTATCATTGTTTGATTTAATTCTTTTTCTTTTCATATTTATCAATATTTTATTATCTTCACTTTCTCTTCATAATTATCATTATTTTATTACATTCTCTTTCTTTTTATATTTATCATTGTTTAGTGAGATTTTCTTTCTTTTGATATTTTTTATTGTTTAATGGCATTCTTTTTCTTTTCTTATTTATCAGAGTTTTATGACATTCTCTTTCTCATCACAAATATCATTATTTTATTACATTCTCTTTCTCTTCATAACTATCATTATTTTCTGAAATTCACTTTCTTGTGATATTTGTTATCGTTTAATGGCATTCTTTTTCTTTTCATATATATAACAATGAAATTCTCACAATGTTAATGAATGCCTCTTAGTATTGCAATAAAAGCAAATTCAACAGAAATTGTCAAACACTTAGTTGAACACGGTGCTAATGTCAACGTGAAACTTATTCTCTATCTTTTGATATTTATCATTGTTATATTACATTTTCTTTCTATTCATATCTATCATTGTTTTATTACATTATTTTTCTTTTCATATTTATCATTGTTTTATTACATTTTCTTTCTACTCATATTTATCATTGTTTTATTGCATTTTCTTTCTATTCATATTTATCATTGTTTTATTACGTTCTCTTTTCATATTTATCATTATCTAATGAAGCTTTCTTTCTTTTCATATTTATCATTGTTTTATAACATTCTCATTCTTTTGATATCTATCATTGTTTTATGACATTTTCTTACTTTTGATATATATCATTGTTTTATATGATTCTTTTTCTATTCACATTTTTCATTGTTTTATGAAACTTTCTTTCTTTATATATTTATTATTGTTGTATGACATTCTCTTTCTTTACATATTTATCATTGTTTTATGAAACTTTCTTTCTTTTTATATTTATCATTGTTTTATGAAACTTTCTTTCTTTTCATATTTATCCTTGTTTTTTGACATTCTCTTTCTCTTCATATT